AATTGATAGAGACAGATGTCTCCTTTTCCAGAGATAACTGTAATGATTTCTCTAAATAAGAGAAAGCTCTGTAAAGCTTTAAGTTCTGACGATTCCATAGAATTATTGGATGGGCGACAAAATTCTATTTGTAGAGCACTCGAGCTATTAATAACTCAATTTTATAGAGTTCAAAGGCTTTAAACTTTATCTTTCTTGTGGCTTCGAATTTATATATTCGAGACATCGGCAATCTGTGAATATATTATTCAAGCCATCAAATGAAGCTAGACCACCCCTGGCGAATAAGGCGGCTACAAAAAAAGTTCAAAGCAACTTCCGAAATTGCGAAGCGATTTCAAATTATTAAGAACTTGACCTGGTAAAAAAAACTTGCAAATTTTAAATACTGACTACTCCCCTCTCACAGCCTAGAAAATTCATCCTTTAGCACTGATCAAGCTTAGCACCTTACTGTACTTACAAGTATGCTCAGGCTCGTTTTCAGCATGCTGGAAATTAATCTTCTCTACTCTTCTGTTCTTTCTCTCTCTCTTTTTGTCTGTTTCGTTTTCTTGTTTTATTTTTCTGCTTGACAAACTAGCTTCTTCGGCTTTGGAGGAAACTAGAATTTCTCTTTGTGAGTTGTTGAGGCACGAGTCGCACGTGTGCCCAATTCAGAAGGCGTGTGTGCCCGAGGAGCGCGGTCGTCTGGCGCGAACTAACGATTTCAGAAAAATAAGCAACTTGAGTCTCTCTAAGTATAATTATATCAAGTGGCGGCAAACTTGGCGACCTTGGCTGAGTAGAACCCTTCCCCGCTTCCGAGGCAGGGCGATGCGCGGCCGCGCGCGCTCCGGCCGCCACCTTGAGGAGGCGCTAATTAGCGCAGCAACGCAAAATGCGCGAAATGACGCTCGATCTGTCTGTTCTAGTGCTGGTATGATGAAATTCACAATCACTTACTGTCTCCTAGGATGTAACAATTTAGAGCTGGAATAAGGATAAGGGTTCAAATAATCGAGAAAATCATCGGAAGTAATAAGGTTTTTTTGCAAGCGAAATATTTGAAGAAATGTCTGTCAGACATGTCTAAAAACAGAGTTAGAGTTAGGGTTAAGAATTAGTGCCGATATCCTTCAGTATGAAGCTTTGCTCCTTAGACTAGGTTATCGATAAGAGCGGCAGTAAAATATGTTGAGCTGGATTTACATGTCAACTTTTGAGCACTTCCCTGCATGTGCATGTCCCTGTTGACAGCGCAGCTGTGGGTTAAGCAGCGAAGATATCCACACCATGTCGCGCATATTATCTGAAAGATCCTCTCTCCCAAGGTTAAAAAATCTGAAGCGAAAGGAATGCGCCGCGGAATCGCTGAGCATGTATTCTAGTTGCCCAGCTTTACTGTAACAAAGGAGGGCATTCTATTTTTATAACACCACGTTCGTGCCTGATTACACAGATTTCGGCAATGAACGTGAGAGAAACGGAAGTCTACCACCTTGCAGCCCGCGGCTCAGATCAGCGCAAAATTTTACAATAAAAAGAAACCAAATACAGACATGATGGAACACCCCGTTCTCCGAAGAAAACTTTCATAACTCTAAGAAATGCACAGTAACATTTCTAATTTGTAAGCAATTTCTAATTGGAAGCAGTGAGTGACAATATCTCTCACCTGCCCAAACGGCTCTGCCCATTTTTCGAGGGCCTCCAGCTTTGAGTCCTTCTTTCACTCCGATAAACGACCATAAACGAGGATCATTCATGTAACAGCTCACTAGGAGAGCTTTAACCTTTCAGATTTAAATTATCGTTCGGCGTCTCATAAAGATGCTGTCTCCTAAAATCAGATTAATAAAAGCAAACAAATATTTTATTCGTTATGTACCAACGTCATTTTGTAACGGGGTTTTATGGCATCCGGTCTATAACTGACAAACGGATCTCATTAAACGATCTAAGAAGTAATACTTTGATCGCTTTTTCTTCGCTTAGGCGCCGGGTTCAGAACGATGTTTTCTACTTTTTACAGTAATGCTGAAAATCATGAATAATTGTCGAGAAACTGCGCCCGGCCGTCTGTCAGCCGGGGCCGTTCCAATTACTCCGGAAAATTTTTCATTACAAATCAAATCGCTTCGAACTTTTTTCTTACTCTCTTGTGCCTACTATTAATCACATAATTCAATTTTAATGCCCGGAAATTATTCAATCCTCTTGATAAGTTATCAAGATAACCGCAGGTAAACAACCGCAGAATCAGCTTTTAGTCGGACTCAGATGACCCTTCCTTCCAATCAGCCTGGAAGTACTAATAAGAAGATTCGCGTGATAAGGAATGGGCTTGTTTATTGATGCATTCCGACTCGCAAATCTTCAACGGGAAAAGAATGATTCTACTCGTCAAATAGAGTAGAGGACTCAGCAGCTTCTTGACAGCTGGAGGAGCCGTACCACAACTCACGGGCTTACTCTGTCAATACGCGCGCTAGATTCCCTAGACAGTGCAAATATACAGCTCCATTTAACTTGTTAGTAATTTCCATTGAAAAATTCATAATATTCTAATCATGTGGCCGCGAAACAACAAAAATGCGAAATTCGCTGCGCGCCCGTCTGGCGCAAATTGTCAACTTTTGCTGGAAATCGGCGACTTCCGTCGAGCATAAGACTCGCTTTACAAGCCTGTATCTATCAAAACACATGATAGTTGATGCGCGTGTCAATGTTTTTGGAATTTCAGATTTGTACTCAGCACGGATTCACGTGACTCTAGAACTCGTGTGAAGATTGACATCCAGGAAAGTGGATTCGACAAATAAATATTTTAGCCGCACTTCGGGCGGCTTTTCCCAAAGTTTGTTCAGAGCCGCAAGCGGCTTCTCGAGTTTTACTGCTAGTAAAATAAGGGTATCATTAGGTAAAGTCAAGGTCAAAAGATCGAATTTTACGATTTGTTCCTACTTTAGAAAGTTAGGTAGAAATTATTCTAAATATATTATAAACAAAATGATGGTTTGAGAAGCGTTATAAAGTTATTTTCCTGTCTGTGCTACATGAAGGCTTTATGTTTGTCGGGGGTTGTTTCTGCTTCCGATAATTGTTATGCTGCTTGACAGTTACACGATTGAAGTTGTAGACCACCAAAGCGCTCGCTAGTGGACCACACGAGACCTCTGGTCAGGAATTGTTTTTGTCGAGGCGTCTCCTTATTATCAGAAATGATTTTATCAAAGTCCAGTGGCTGATTGATTTGACAGCTCTATCGCCGGTCTCACTATTAGTGGCCCTTATGGAATTAATTTTTAAGTATTTATGGCCTTAGATGAACTCAGGCTTTTCACAAAAGCAGGTTTCAGGAAAATGCTCAGTGAGAAATTGGGTCAAGCTAGAACTGTAAAGTGACCTTGAATTTGACGGATAAATCGGCCAAAAGCTACCTATTTCGCCCGACTGACTAAATTAAACGTCCAATTTAGCAGCATGTAAGCTGTTATCCATCATGTTCACGCAATTAGCATTCACTTGGCCAACAACTTGGCGCTGCCAATTACAGGAGGCGAAATCAGAACGCCAATTTGATGAAAAGCAAAGAAGGCACATTAGTATCAAGAACTGATTCGAACTTGCTTCGGAATACTTTCTTCTGGCAATAGCTGGTAATTGGCTATCAATAACAGTTTCGTGGTTGAATTATTCAACTCATTCGTTGTCGAATTTCTTTACTACCGTCGCTTAGACAGATGAGATTTAAATCGAGTTTACCATCCTGGGAAAAAGTACTCTTCCTTGAGCCCAAATCATCATGAAATCTAGGAACCAGTTTGAGAGTCACCTTGATTTAGAAATTGCTGATAAACTAAAACTATTAGAAGACATTTTGAATTAAAAAGTTCACCCAATTCACTACTAGGTACTGATTCCAGAGCTAGAATATAAATCATTTCCGTGACAAGCTGTCCATGAAATTGAATTAAAAAAAGTTTAGCGCAATCATTTTCGAAATCAGCCTTTCTTGCAAGAAATAATAGAATGATGAAATGAACGTGCTCTTGAAAAATATGACCGCGAGATCCGAAAAATATTTGGTTTCGGTTTTTATTCTTGAGTAACCTTAGCCATGAAATAAGCGGGTCAACTGGTGAGCGTCAGCGGAATTGAAGAGGTTTCAAGATCTGGGAAGATCGTATGAGCTCGATATGCATCAGCGAACTCAATGCAGCGTTCCTGAATCAAGATTTCGATACAACTTGGGATTATCTTTAGACGATATAAAAGACGATATCATATCGTCGATATGATTGGAGGTAGCCTTGTTCATCTTCTAAACGTCTGTAAATCTCAGAGTCTGTAATACAGACCGTAACTTGCTGCAAATTGTTAGCCCTCGAGGGTCGCATTTTTGGAGGGAATCAATATTGGTCGCCACTGTAATTGAATGTCTTAATTTGGAAGTGGTACTGATACGTTAACAGTAGGAACTGCAGTACCATTTACATCTAATCATTGATCATCGGGAAGAAGAATTTCTAGAGCTAACAGAATAATAAACAAGATTCAAGCGACTTGAAAAGCGATTCTCAACACGAAACTTAGCTATTCCCCTTCAACCCCGTCGGTAACACCGGTCCCATTGAAATTGATTTTTCTGCTTCGGCAGGAAATGCAGGTGGCCCGAACCAGGTTTTGGTTCGTTTGCTCCAATCTCGGCGCCAGCGACACCTTCTCATTGGCAACCTGACTCATCCAATCGTCGCCAAGCGCTGCGCATAAGACATCATTTCCCTCGCCGATTTTCCATCTCCGTTATTACTTGCTTTTCCGAACAAAAGAGAGTTGCCAAATGGAAAATACGAGATTTTAAAAAATGAAACAACAACAGCAATCAAATCTAAAACAGTTTTTTCGAGTATTCTTAGATAAAATTATCTCTGCATTAAAACCTGTGCCCCATTTGAGTGGTTAAACGATATATTTTATCTGCTTTATGTCGATATTAATCCCTATTCTTTTCAGAAATGAGTTACGAACCCGAGAAGGACTATCGGGCGCCAGATGAGAACAAGGTAATTCAGTCGAATACTGTCCCCTTTCAAGTTGACCCATCTATGAAGTGGATTGCTCCCTGTCCCGAGCCGGTAGCCCAGTTTTTGATTTGACCAATCTTTTGCGTGCGTGATTATTTCATATTCATAACAAAACTCATAACTAGATAGCGAAAACAGAGCATCTGAGAGCAGTTTCAGTTATTGCATGAGCTCTCAGTTGCTTCTTTCAAGTACTCCTTTTTGATTAAGGAGCTACCACTTGGCGACGGTATTAGACTGTTATTTTCTTACCGAAATTAGAAACGAATCAGTTCTCTTTTCTTTGATTATTTCTACTAAAACCAATCTTTGCTTGATCATTGCCTCGTTTTTTTATCATGATTTTTTAGAACTATTACCCGCAGAATAATGGTGACTTCAATCACGGCCCGGTAGGAGCACACTGCGCCAGAACTGTTTCTCTAATCTGCTCTTCTTTAGCGCGACTACAGACAAGACAACCGTGGTGGATACGGCGGATATGATCGACGAGATGACCGCGGGTATGGCGGCGGCGGAGGATATGGCCGGTAAGATAAAGTTTGAAAGATCCGATTATTTCCTTCTCACTCCCGATCGGGACTGATTTTCGCGTTTTCTATTGCAATATTCGTTATTTTTCACTTTTTATCCAAACTGGCTATATAAGCCAGTTCTTTTCGCAACTTACTCAAACACGAGACTTTTTAATTTTGAAGAGAGAATATGTCAAATTCTAGCTCGAACTATGGCCAGCCACGACACGGCGGCTACGACAACAGACGTCACGACGATCGCAGAGGCGGCGGTGGCGGCTTCTGGGGAGGCAGCAGAGACGGTGGAAGCCGCGGAGGTGGAGTCGACTCTCGCTGGGCTAACCTAGACAACGACAGAGAGGAGTACGGCGGCAGCAGACATCACTACGGTGGAGGCCGAAGCGGAGGCTACGGCGGCGGTGGAGGATACGGCGGTGACCGAGGCTACGGACGCGGAGGACCTCACCGAGGAGACGACAGACTTGCTGGCAAGTGGGACAGCCGTGGACAGTACCACGACCCAAGCAACGTTGATTGGACAAAGGTAAGCCTAACGCGTCCCTGAAAATCTTGACTGTCGCCTTCAGCCTCTTCCACGAGACGAACGACTCGAGAAGGAGCTCTTCAAAGGCGCCAACTCCGGCATCAACTTTGAAAAGTACGACGACATCCCCGCAGAAGTAACCGGTGAAGATCCACCAGGATGCGTCAGCACCTTTGAGGAGTGCAATCTCGGCGAGATCATCAACGAAGCGATCAAGCTCGCGAACTACACCACCCCTACCCCCGTCCAGAAGAACGCCATTCCAATCATCAACAAGGGACGAGATCTGATGTCTTGTGCCCAGACTGGTTCCGGAAAAACTGCCGCCTTCTTGCTCCCCATGCTCTCCAGCATCTTTCACAGTGGACCCGGCGACAGCGTCAAACAGAACAACAGCGGTTACCGAGGTCGAAGAAAACTCTACCCACTTGCCCTCGTCCTTTCGCCCACTCGAGAGTTGGCTTCCCAAATCTACGATGAAGCCCGAAAGTTCGCTTACAGATCGCATGTACGACCATGCGTCATCTACGGTGGTGCCGATGTTGGCGCTCAGATGAGAGACCTTGATCGAGGCTGCCACTTGCTTGTCGCCACTCCCGGTCGATTAGCTGACTTCCTCGACAGAGGAAAGATTGGCTTGGACCACTGCCGATACCTCTGCCTCGATGAGGCCGATCGAATGCTTGACATGGGTTTCGAGCCCCAGATTCGACGAATCGTCGAGAAGGACAACATGCCACCAAAAGGTAAGCTTGTCAAATCAAGCTCAATTTTTTATTATATGTTCAGGCGAGCGACAAACTCTTATGTTCTCCGCTACCTTCCCCAAGGAGATCCAGCACCTTGCCCGCGACTTTTTGGACAACTACATCTTCTTGACTGTCGGTCGAGTTGGTTCCACCTCGCAAAACATCACTCAGAAGGTCGTCTGGGTTGACGAGAATGACAAGATCAACTTCCTTACCGATCTTCTCGCCGCTACAGATCAGAACAGCCTCACCCTAAGTATGCAACCCTTTACAGAAAAATTTCTAACCTCTTCTAGTTTTCACCGAGACAAAGAAGGGCGCTGACTACCTCGACAACTACCTCTACGATCGAGGATTCCGATCGACCTGCATTCACGGTGACAGAAATCAGCGAGAGCGAGAAGGTGCTCTCAAGAGCTTCCGTGAAGCGCAGACTCCCGTCCTCGTCGCCACTGCTGTGAGTACTTGATCATACAAACACAAATCTATCTTCTTTAAAAGGTCGCCGCTCGAGGTCTTGACATTCCTAACGTCCGACACGTCATCAACTTCGATCTCCCCTCGGACATTGACGAGTACGTCCACCGAATCGGTCGAACTGGTCGAGTAGGAAACATTGGTCTCGCCACCTCCTTCTTCAACGACAAGAACTCGAACATCGTCCGAGATCTCCTCGAGCTTCTTATCGAGGCTAAGCAGGAAGTCCCAGAGTGGCTCGAGAAATGCGCTGCCAACAACCGACGACCAGGAGGCCGAGGCGGACGACGATTCGGCGGTCAATTCGGTGCCCGCGATTACCGAACACAAGGTGGCCGAGGAGGCGGCGGTGGCGGCCGAGGCGGTGGCCGACAAGGATCCGGAGGGTGAGTCATTCTTGATTTATATCAAAATTTATCTTCATTTTACAGATACCGAAGCAACAACTACGGCTCCGGAGGTGGCAACCGATCCTTCGGCGGCGGCGGAGGATCCTCTGTCGACTGGTGGGCCAACTAAGCAAGCAGAACCCGCTGCTTCTCACGTTCGTATCACTCTTTTTTCCCGATCTCATCGTCTACTTTCACCAGTTAATAAGACAACACTTGTTTCGCACTATTTTTTATAGCGAGATTTCTCGCCGCTCTCTTCTCATTTACACTTTCTTAACGTAATTATTTTGTCGTACGGTGCAAAACATACGACACGAAGTCAGCAAAAGTTGGCGTGCTGATACTCAAGCATAAACTTGTCCCTATCTCTGCCCTCTCCATCCCTATCCCCCTCAATTGCATTTCCTTTCCCCCCGAAGTAAAGATAAACCCTTAAATTATTTTTGAAGGACAAAACAATTTTTTCACCAAACCATTCATTCAAAAGATGTTCTTCTTTTTCGCGAGGCTATATTTTTTCTAATTTTAATTCCTCTCGCTCGCGATATTGCCCGAAACATTACCTCAGGGGCGGACCTAAAGACTGGTTTCGAACAAACTCATTCGAAGCCCGACACGCACATTTTCTGTTATTTATTGAATACGAGGATATTATTTATAAGAGCCATAAAAAGGAGACCCTCGCCCAGATTAATTCTGAGCACGATCAGGTCTCTTAGATTTACGAAAATGACAGAGATGATTTTGTAAAAACTTACGGTAACAACCTCGACTGCCTTTATTCCTAGACTTTCTTATTTATTTCTACTACCGATCCCCCCAGAAAGTCTTTCTTATTCCAAACACGAATGAGGCAGCTTTACTCATGATTTTTTGTTGATAAAAATATGGTTTTTACACAGTCGCATATTTTAATTTAATCTTTCGAATCTGTACTCCAAGTGCGAAGTGTAGATAACGATATTATAAATAAGCTTGTTGCTTTTTTTCTCGCGTTTGATTCTAAAAGTTCATTTTATACATTTGATCAAGGTGTTTTTGACACCTTTTTGAAGGTGCAAAATAAGCGTTGGGTTTCTGATCTCTTCAGAAACTCGCTTCAGCTTGCCGAATGTGGGAAATCAGCGTTGGAGAGTCCTCTCTCTCCGCCGGATATGCCCAGTATCGTCAGGCTACATTCAGTTCTAGTTCCACAAGAGCTGTTTCTGTACCTCAGCTAGAATGGATACAATGCGATTTTCCTCTAGTAACATGCACTAATCATGCGGCGTACTTTACATATAACTGCGATTTTATATGATATTCAATAACTGACTCGTTACGACACAGAAAATTCATTTCAAGGAGATGTGCGCATTTTTTATTAATTTCAAAAACGGTTGCCCGGGGTAAATAAAATTCTAAAGATATTCCCAAATTAATAATACTCAAGTACCGCACTGTTCGCAGGAAGTAATTGATGACCAACGAGCTGATCGAATGTAATATCAGGCCATCGGTAACTGCTTGTATTGCCAGTGCGTTTAAGACTAATCAGAGGGACATTAATTGAGTACGCCTGCTGACTGTTGTATTATTGCGCCAAAATCGTTAAATATCCGTATCTTAGTGGTGCAAAGTTAAAAATAACAATCGTGCTTCAAGATATCGTACCTTGAAGCATTTTTACTGTCCTACTATTAGTATTCTTCCTTGCTGTAGTTTGCACGATCTAACAAATTTTTCCCTTTCAGAATCTGTTTACATAAATCAAGTTATGAAGCAGGTATGAATCCGTTACTGCATATTACTGACTGTAATGCTCATAGACTAAATTCGGACTCACTACTTTTTTACTCTACTGAAAAAACCACATCTTTAGTTAAAATTTTAAATTTCTCAATTGTTAGGATTTATTCAATTTCAAACGCATAACTGAGACAGAAGTGCTCCTGTTATTGTTCCTGAAAATGTAATCAGACTGTCTGTTTACTATCAAAATATATTGAATAAATAATATTTTGTCAAATCATTGAATTCGAGCGTTTTATTTTGTTTGTTTTTATGCTTATCAATGCAGCGAAAATTGCTTTCTAAGAAGCAGGTTCTCTTTGAGCAGGAAAGGCACAAAAATTTATGGTTAGCCGAGACTTAGAATATTTTTTTAAAGAATGTCTATTTCGTCGTTAATCGTTCCAGGTGCAGCGGGCGCTGTGTCCGCTGTTTTGGGGGCAAGATCATTCAAAAGTGGCTACCATGATCTCGGTCTCCTCTTCTGCACCGGAACAGCAATTAGTATTTACTTCTGCTACTATGATTACAAGCGTCGATCACAGCCAGACTACAAAACAAAGCTTGTTGCTCAACGTCGAGCAGAATTCGAAGAAGCAAATACTCCTCATATCGTCAAGCTCCTCGGCACCCTTCAGGGTCAAATCATTCCACAGGATGACGGCGATATCAAATTTGTTGTTAACCCAATGATGCAGCAGCAGCTCGGTAAGTATTCCGATCTCGATTCGATCAATTCATAATCATTTTCCAGTCATGCGAGAGGTGCAAACTGGAGAGATGCTCCTCGGACAGGGCGACAAAACAAAGGCCCTGGAGCGATTTTCTTCTGCTGCTGTTCTGAGTGCTCTTTCTGGCGGTACTGCCAAGGGAGACAACCTCATCGCTACTGTTTCTCGCATGCTGCCAAATCTCGCTGCGGTCCTCCAACAACAGTACGAAAATGATTACAACGCAGCCAGAGCTCACTTGAAAAAGGCAGTTGCTTCTCAAGCTCCTGCACAGAAGTCGTTGACCCGAGAAGAGATGATCGCTTCTCTCAAGACGCCACAAGTTGCCCCAGCTGACACTTTGGAAGAAGATTCTATTGATGACTCTGACGAGGAGAAGGAAGATATTGAGGTCCCAAAGCCAGCTGAAGAGAAGGTCGAAGCTAAGGAAGAACCCGTTGTTGAGCAAGGCAAGTCTTTTATTACATTTTTTTTAATCATGATCATTTAGCTATCCAGCAGCCATTCGAAGCGCAGGTCCCAGTCGTTGCCGCTGCTCCACAGGTTGAGAAAGTTACTGTAGTCGTCGAAAAGAATGAAGAAAACAAGGCCGAAGAAGTTGTCGATGAGGAAGCCGTCGTTGAAGAAGTTGCAGCCGAGCCGGTCGCCCAGGAGCCAGTTATTGAAGAAGCTCTCGTTGAAGAAGCTGCCCCAGTCTCACAAGATCTTGATGAGCCAATGAGCCAGCCAGAAATCTTGACCGACAGTGCATTCCAAGAGCCCGCTTCATCTGTGCCCGCGAAAGAGCAAACGCCTGAGATGGACGACGAAGACCTCGAATAACTTATTTATTTGTAAATTTATAATAACTGTCAGACAAAATAAAAGGAAATCGGAAATCACACAAGGTCCAACCGTCTTCGCTACAAATAAAAAATGACAATTTACTCGACTCTAATCTTCACGGACTGTGTACAAGTGTTGTAAGAAAAGTTTTGCTTTGTTGAACTTGATGATTACTTGATTGAAAATCGCGCTACTGTAGCTTGAAATGATGCCTTCTTCCTTCAACTAGCGAAATTATTATACAATAAACATTCACAAAACAACCGAATAAAGCCTTCACTTTCAGAATAAAGTGTAAAAGCAGATGCGAAGAACGTTCACAAATTTGTTTGCCGGCTTGTTGTGCGTAACAACTGTTCTCTATTTCTTTCTTTACGACGCAGGCAGTCGAGTTCGGACTTTTTTGGCAAAGGGCACCGGGCAAATTCGACTTTTCAACCATTTTCCGCCGCCAGAAGTGCCTCACAAGACCGTACATGTGGATAAAAATCGCCCTGTTGTTGTTATCGGCGATATACACGGATGCTTTGATGAATTTGAAGATCTCCTCGACCTGGTCAAAGAGGAAGTCTACGGTGGTAGGGCTGGAAACTTTGCCTTGCAACTCTTTCTTGTTGGGGACTTGGTTAACAAAGGTCCGAAGTCCGCTGAAGTTGTCAAAAAGGTTCGTGAAATGGTGGAAACTGGAAGCACTCATGTTGTTCGCGGTAATCACGAAGAAGCGTTGCTGGAAGAGTGGTCCACCACAAATTCTTTGACAAGAAGATCCAAGTACAGTTACATTAGCAAGTTGTCCTCTACTGACATTGAGTTTATCCTACAACTTCCGTACACGATTTCTATTCCAGCACTTGGATGGATGCTCGTTCACGCGGGATTAGATCCACAGAAGAGTCTTGAACATGTAAGAGCTAGTTACATCATTCTTATGTTCATGTATCCATCAGAACAAGATAGATAAACATTTTACTATAGCAAGAGCCTGACTACATGGTCCGCATGCGCAATTTTAACAATGACAAGCCGACCCATCTCATCGACGAAGGCGAGCCTTGGGTCACCCGATGGGAAAATGAAGGCGAGTTCCGCGTCATCTTCGGTCACGATGCCAGAAGGCGACTTCAACAAGGCGAGAACTATCTTGGTCTGGACACGGGAGTTGTTTACGGCGACCGGCTAACTGCTCTTATTCGATTTCCTACAGGAGAAGAAAAATTTCTGTCAGTACCGGCGAAAGAAGCATATGAACCAATCAAAGGAGTGATGTACCATCGTTAATACTAACCAAGAAGAGAAACAGTATATACCCAGCTTCAATCAAGTACAGACATATGAAGAGAAAAGCGAGCTCGCATCTCACAGAACACAGTTCAGCTACAGATATTTCCCACTTATGATTTTAAAATGAAGACATTTTGGCACATACTCAGTATATATTGCTGGCATTTTTATAAACAACTGCCTTTAACTATTTATCAAGAAATATTATTTGAAGTTGATGTTCTTGACGGATTTCTTTTTTAGAATGCTCCGTGGTCCGCAGAAGTCGATCTCGCGATGCCTCTCCACCTCCGCGCCAGTCTCTTCTTTCCGATATGTCAACTCTGAAGGTCTTAACACGGACCTCAAAACTCAGATGGTCGGCCTTTCCAACTCTTCCTTCATCTCCGAGATTTTCCGAGGTGTTGGTATGGGTCTCGGCAAGTTCTTCGTTGAGCCTGCCACTATTAACTATCCCTTCGAAAAGGGACCTCTTTCTCCCCGATTCCGTGGTGAACACGCTCTCCGAAGGTACGGAAACTTCTTATGAAGGGAGTTCACCCATACGTTTAGATACCCAACCGGCGAGGAGCGATGCATCGCTTGCAAGCTCTGCGAAGCTGCCTGCCCAGCTCAGGCTATCACCATTGAGGCCGAAGAGCGAGCTGATGGATCGAGAAGAACAACTCGATACGATATTGACATGACCAAGTGCATCTACTGCGGCTTCTGCATGGAAGCTTGCCCAGGTAAACCTTTACTTTCGTGTCCCCATATTGACCGCTTTGTCTAGTTGACGCTATCGTCGAAGGACCCAACTTTGAGTACTCGACCGAAACTCACGAAGAACTTTTGTACAACAAGGAGAAGCTCCTCATGAACGGCGACAAGTGGGAGCCCGAAATCGCCGCCAACATCCAGATGGACTATATGTACCGATAAAGCGATAAATTCTGAAGATATTTATAAAATCCGCCTGGCTATGTCCCTCAGTTCTAATTTAACTTATTCAAAAACGAAGAAAAATAAAAAAAAGATTTCAAATTATCTCAGTGTTGCATTTATTCAAGTTTTAGAATGGGCAAAAAGAGATCAGCTCCTAATGCAGGTTCTAGTGGAGCATCAGTTGGCAAAAAGTCCAAGTCAGCAAATAATGCAGAATTGAAGAAGAGGCTCGAGGATAATGGAATCTTTCAGGTTCGTTATTGAAAGAATATGGAGACAGCCATCGATAAAAAGTTTTGAAACATTATAAGATGAATTAAAATGACAGATACCTCGGTATGTGCTCAATTTATTGGCTTTGATTTGAATCTTTTCGCTCTAAAAATCGACACCTTGGCTAGCACCTTATTGCCGCTAGAAGAGGGTTATGGATGGATTATTCCAGGCTGTCTCTCTCAGATAGACTATCTGATAAGAAAATCATCATCGAAATAAAACCATTTTAGTCAAAGAAAGAAAAAATCCTGAAGGACTTCCTCTATCCCGTCTCAGAATCCGAATTCTTTTCATCAATTTACGAAAAAACGCACAAATTATTCATCCGCCCCAAACTCGCATCCAACGCGTCATCCCTTTTCAACAAAGAGCGATTCGAGGCGATCTCGAAAACAGAGCAGCTTACGGCCTTCCGCGATTTCACGCTTTTGCGAAACGAAAATGGCGAGAGCACGGCGTACGACCTGGCAGCATATGATGGAACTCCCAAGGATTTCGTGGCCTACGCGAATGTAATGCGAATCGTGAACGATGAAGGGTACACATTGGATTTCAATCAACCACAACGCTTTTGGTAAGAAAGAGACCTCCCTTTTTGTTGAAAGAAAAATTTAGCGATGATCTGTGGCGAGTTATTGCCGATCTTGAAGAGACCTTCCAGTCCCTCGTTGGAGCAAAAGTTCGCATCTCGCCCGCGAAATCGAAACCCCTGCCACCCGTATTCAACTCCACCGACTCCTTTATCCAGCAGGTAATTGTGGCACTACTATCTAAACTTACAGTGAGCCAATCAGCGACTCTGGTTGAGACTTGTTGACTTTGCTTTTAAAACAGCTTCTTTAATTCCCGAATTAGTCATTTATAAATTGTGTTTTAGCTTAATGGAAAAAGCTCGATTAAATTATGGAAGGCGTCCGAGATCGATCTTCCTCCAGAGCAGACGATAGAAGAATTCAGAGAGGATGAAATGCGCGATGCAGATGAAACGCTGGTGCTCTCGCCCGGGGACATGTTGTATATTCCTCGAGGCGCCGTGTTTTCATCTACGCTTGGAGTCGAAAACGAGTCAAGCACCTTCATTCAGTTTACGACCAACAATCAGAACACAGTTGCGCAATGGTTGAATGTCAATTTTTCAACCTTCTTAGACAAGGCTGCGTACGAAGCCAGATGGTTGCGGTGAGTAATTATTAATTGTTAGCAAAGTGCTTGTTTTATGTACAAAAATGATCTAGCCTCGTTCTCAACGCCTTCTCCTAAACAAGGAAGTTTGTTTAGCCCTTCCCGACCCTTTTAATGGCGGTGTTTGTGGCCCCTAGGCCAGTTCATTTTACGTTGACGCATAAATGGGTAAAGGCATTCCACTTTCAGAGAAGCAGTGTCCAGATCTATCAGCACGAACGCGGAGAAACGGGATTACTTGAAGGGCTTGTTGCTCAAACTAGCGGAGAGTGTTTCGGATGAAAATGTGCCAGAAGAAGATCCGATGCGAAAGGACTTCTTTGCTCACAGATTGCCACCATACAAAGGTCAGTATAATAGCCTGAATTTAAAGACCACGTTTATAAAAAATAAAAATATTAATTTTAAAATAAATCAAATATAATTTCGTCTCTAGAACCAAAAACGTTTGGCAAGATGAAAAGCTTCGATCTCAACTGCTCAGTTCGTCTTAGCACAAAGAAGCACATTTACATCTTCGAAGACGACCACGACGATGACAATGCCGATGAAATTCCGGAATTGGTCGAGAGCGACTTTGAGGACGAGCCAGGCAACAACGAAGAGAACGGTAAAAATGGCGGGGAGATGAGTGAGATTGAGAGAATTGCTGGGAACATGCCCAAAGAAGGAGACATGGAGGAGGATAATAAAAGCGACTTGGAGCCAGAGAGCGAAGAAGAAGCAGAAGTATTCCTACTTCACTCGTGGCAGAATGAAAGACGAACGCACATGATTAGGCAGCGGATAATCGCTTAATTTCTCCGAGATTTACCTCAAGTCATTTGCAAAGATTTATTTTTAATCGTCTTTGGAGTCCTAACTTCCCTTTAATTCAAAAAGTCGATGTCCCCTAGGCCCGCCCTGCCGTTTAATCTCGCTGATCCTTTGCCCATTTCAGCGCGTAAAGGTCTTTCTTTGATTTAGCTTGCTCTTTATACATCTCCTTATTTATCCGCGCAAAAGTGAAAGTGAGCCCAAATGCATTCGCTTTCCCTTGGCTTACAAAGAATCACTGATGAAGCTTATGAATGCGAAAGATGATGAATTTATTCTGCTATCCGACCTGGAGCTACCCGCTAGTGAGGCGGTCCAGTTTGCCGTCTCACTCTGGGCCGAAGGGTTGTTGATTCCGCAAGAAAATAACTGAGCGAACTTCTGTACAAAAAGACGTTGTACTGAGAATAACTTGACATCTTTGTTTCTTTTCAGTATGGTGACCGCCGAAGAAATGAAAGCTAAAATCGAATCGTGGGGCATCCCTCCCTCCGACTTCATCGAAGACGTCGGAAAGTACCTGTCTGAAAAGTTCAAGGGAGATGGCCCAGAGGTCGGCACTGACTCCGCCGAAGCTGCTCTTAGAAAGCTTGATGAGCTCCTCCAGAAATACAAAATGTTCGAAGCTGGACTCGCTGAAAAGGTACCTCTTTCTTACTGTTCTCATTTACGAACTTATCCGCAGAAAAGAAGATTGGAAGGCCAGATCCCCGAAATCTCGCAGACACTGGACGCAATCAACCACCTCAAAAAGAACTCTGGAAACACGATCGACACCTCATTCCAGCTTTCCGATGCTGTTTTTGCGAAAGCAAAGGTCGATTGTGGCGGTAAGAAGTTTTAAATTTTTGATGACTGTCTTTCTCAACAAGAATCGTTTAGACAAGGTAATGCTCTGGCTCGGTGCCAATGTTATGCTTGAATATGACATTGATGAGGCGCAAACTCTTCTTGGAAAGAACAAGACGAACGCTATTAGCAGTTTGGAGGAAGTTAAAATGCAGATTGGTAGGTCACACTCAGTAGTACTCCTGTTAACTCTTCTAAGCCTATCTTCGTGATCAAATGACCACTACCGAAGTTTCGATGGCTCGAGTCTACAACTGGGACGTGAACAGACGCAAGGCTGAAAACAAGCCCTGAAGCGTGCCTTCTGCTGCTTCTGCATAGACGCAAAGTAAAGAAACATAGAAACCCTTAACTGTAGTTCCCTTATCATAATTTTTATTCTACAAAATCTTCTTTTTCTACGAACAAGAAAGTATACCATCAATCAAAAAGTGTCACAACGGGGATCCATCAACGCAAAATCGACTCACCACACTACTGTATTCACCAACTACTGTATCAATCTGTTCACATGAAAACTGCAATTCTGACGAACTACGATTTTATTATTTTATTACTGTGGCTTCCTCAATCCCCTACCTGATTAATCCCTTCTAGAGATTATTATATATTTATTCTTAGAAAAATATAATACAATTCATTTGCCAAGGTATTCGCGAAAGCAAAAAATTAAAACAAAAAGGAGTACTAACGGGCTGCGGCCTAACTGGTTTGGTGCCGGTGGAACATTCTATCACTAACGCTTAACCAAACTTACATTTCCTACCTTTCTTCTTTTCTTTTTCTGTTCCGAAATATGATTTTGAAATTTTACTCTCCGCCTTCTGTCATTTCTTGCAGGGCAATATCAACGCAAAAGAGCAATCTTTCACCGTAAAAATTTAATTCTGAGGCACATTTGAACTCATCGGCCAATTGCTGCGCCAAAAATGTCAGTTTATCATTAGAAGAAGTAGCAGAAAATGTGTAGTGGCTGGTTTTTTTCTTTCGTGAAGGCTTGTCGAAAACGGTTCGGTCACGTTTTGGTTTTGTTGTTGGTTTCTGAGTTGTTATTCTTCGGTGTTATCGAATTTGATCTTGACGCTTGAGGAGTGCTCACTTTTGAGTCCAGCTCACTAATTACAGTTGAGTTGATAATTTAGAAATGACCGCACCTTTTTCTTTTTGGCATCATTTCATTCTGACGATCTAAGCTCTTCGCATCCTCGAATAAGGAGATTCCCTTTTGTCTGTTCTTGATCGCTTCGACAGATTGATTCAAGCCAGATTTACTGTCCAGAACTCCGGCGGGGAGCATGCCATTTGGGGTTAAGCCCTTGAGGTGCAGCACTAGGGCGGTTGAAAAATTGACTTCGTGACTGTGTCTCTTACCTGTTTCAGATTCCTCTCGAAGCGTGTGGAAATACTTTGCCATCTTTGCGACTGCAAGGATCTTCTTTTGGAGAGCGATACGCCTCTCTTCTGTTTCCTTTCTTTTCTGAATTTGCTCGACGCTGAGTTGATCAGTGATCTTCGTCAGGTCTTCCACAGAGTCCGTTTCTGCCATGAGTTCTTCGTCCGAACAGATATTGAGCACATTTACGAGCATTTCTGTGACCTAATTTAAATCTGTTGAGTATTGGATAGATTTGAGGGCAAACCTTTTCGCCAACAAAGGGCAGTGACCATGTGAAAACGTCCATAAAATTTGGAAGCCTTAGAACGAGTTCAAAAGAGTTTATGGAAGGTGAGGAGTCCATATAGGTACTGATTTGAAAATGAGATAACAGCTGTGAGGTAGCGCGGCGGATCAAAAGTAGATTGAGGGTAGAAGTGATGGTAATCTAGGTCGTAACCGGGATGGATCTCTTCGGTGCAAGCGTAATTCCAAAAAATATGGCGGCTAAGCATAAATTTAATTTTCCTTCTTACGAAGAAGCGAAAGAGAAAATCAAAATGGCTCGAGAACTCAAACAAGGTCTTTCACTCCCCCCTAGTCTATCTAAGTACCGCGGGTCAAATGATAAATATCAGCATTCTCTGGATATTTGATGGGTCTTACCCCGAAATTTTGCAATGAATCTCTACTTGTTGACTTACAAAGACACTTTTGACTTACAAAGTTCACACAGAGCATGTTCTTTAAGAAAAAAATAAATCTTTGATTCAATCTTTTGACACAAAAGTTGACACAAAAAGATCTTACTTCTCAGCTTTTGCATTCATCTCGGACTATTTTTCCTCAAGAAAAACTAGCTCAATTATTCTTCTTTTTATTCTATTATTGTAGCTAAGCTAATGTGACATTAGTAATGTTATAAGGAATTAAATGAAAATGAAAGTGTATACAAATACTTGTCGGGCATCAGAAAGGCTCTGCGGATCAATGCCCACTTTGTTGTTGGTTTGAGGAAATTTCGAATCAGCCTGAAGATTGCCAACGAAGGTCAATTCAATTTAAAAGATCCTTTTTTTTAATGATCTCCTAGAAATATCCGAGAAATTTGCCATCAACTAGGCTGTCGAGATGAGCCAATCGTCCAGTTTGAATCAGTCTTATTGCGGATTATAATTTGTACAAATTCATATTGATTGTGTATTTATCAAAATCTCGTACATTTTTGTATTTCATCGTCGAAATATATTATCCAAATGTCCAGTTTACGTCAAATTATCTCTCTAAGGGGGGTACCGGATGTTGATTTTATCTGAGATACAAGGCAGTTTACGCTACTGATCCGCCGCACTTGCTCGCATCTGCACGGTCCCGAGACAACGAGGTGATACCACCTGCATATTTGGACTCCTCACCTTCCAAGACCCCGTTCAAAATAGATTTAAAAATGAGTCAAAGACGCATGCATATTGCAAACATGCTAGAGCTGATGCAGTATTCATGAACTCTGGACAATATGGATGCGGTGAGCAATTGAACTGTCGAATATTCATCACATTGTCCTCGTACTAAAAGACGGAAATTAGACTTTGCTTATTTCCCTTGGGGAAGCGACAATTGAAGCGCGCTGCTGCGCACGAGATTGAACTTTCTAATTTTCGTCGCTACTTACTTTGAGGATTGCGGCCTTGTTATTGTACACGTCCAAGTAATTTGGAGCAGAAAATATCGTTATAAGGCTGAAAAATAATTGAGTGGATTTTGATGTTCCCAATCTACCTTGGAAATCCGGTTGCAGAATTGCGGCGGTACATTTTGTATCCCTGATCTTGAGCTTCGTGAGCCCGGATCATAGATAGGAGGTTATTTTGTTGTAGAAATTCACAAACGGCAGCGAAACTTAAAAAAAAGATGTTGGCGCCAGATTAGACTAAGTTTTTGAAGAGCTCAGCTAAATCGAATATATATAATTTTAAACCGATTTCCTATCAATAAATGGTCATGTCTGGGTTACACGCACCATTACAGTGCATGAAGTAGACTGTAACTTGTGCACAGCTAGTTTGATTAACGCCGGAACGCATAAAATTTTTTCAACGTCGAACGCAGATCGTACCAATTAATTGGTATGCCCCTTTTACCCCTTTTTAACAATGAAACTGATTAGCTCACTGTATAAATGATATAGATAAATAATTCTCAGACGCTAAGCTTCAATTTCATCCCAATATTATATCCATATCATAACATTAATATGAGTAAATATGCAAATTTCCAAATGTGTTGAAATAGCATTGAAGGGGTTGTACCAATTAATTGGTCGCTGTGCGTTTCGGCGTTAAGAGACTATTTGGAAATCATATTGGCATGACAAGATGTCAACTTTGGGTCCATAAATATCCCGTCCAACTGTCAATAACTGTGATCCAAAAATGCAGTCGAAATCGATTTACTGTAATGACTTCGAAAGGTCTTTACCTGTAGAAATAGGAGCACCCCTGACAGAATTATGCGTGAAGCGCTCTGAGCTTGATGTTTCTTTTCCAAACTCTTCGAGCGGGTCCGACCAGAGCAGATCGCACATCGGACCAAATGCGGGAGGTTCTTTGAATCGGTCCAGGTTTTTGATATCGTCTGCAAATGACAGTTAAAGCATCAACAAGGCAGAAAATTGAAAAATCCAATCAGAGGCAATTTCCAATTACGGCATCTCACTAACCTAATTTGGTTATTTCAGGCGAGAGTCCACCATGGACGCATAGAAATTGGCCATTCATGAGAGCGGCAAGGGGAAGACAATCAAACGCCGTCATGCATGCCTCGTAGACGTCTTCGCTATACTGAAATATTAAATTGTTAATATTATCTAATATGTTCAATAGTTAAAGTTCAAAAGGAAAGCAAATTTTCACTGCAAATTATTAAAATTAACCCTTGTCTGAACCCCAGACTCCGGGTCTCTTAATTTCTTCGTGAATGCACGCGACTCGGGCGCTAGAATTATTGAAGAGTATTGATAGATATTTGATTTTGTTGAACCGGCAACGGAGAAATTTACCTTCACTTTGCATTCTTGCTTGAAGGTAAAGTATTCCGTCAAATGGCGACATTCGTGGTTCCCTCGAAGTAGAAAAATCGAGTTCGGATGGCAGATCTGAAATGATTCATTTCAAATGAATGATATTACTGATATTGACTGTTATTGACCGTTAAAGCGATAGTGAAATTTGTTATTAATTGATTTTACCTTGAGAGCCCAGAGGTAGAGTACGCATTCGATGGAGTAGTATCCTCTGTCAACGTAATCGCCCAGGAATAGGTAGCGAGTATTACTACCAGTTGAAGGATCGCCGACAGGACCACCAATTTCGAAGAGCTAATATTGTGATGAATTGAACACGGACTCATTCATTACTTTTAACAGATCGAAGAATTGACCATGGACATCGCCGCAAACTGTTACTGGCGCATCAACATCGATCATAGTTGGTTCTGCCCGCAAAACTGCAGCGCCTGAGCAAAAAAGTTGAATTACAAGTGCTTTTGTCCGCTAGTACCGTCTTGAATCAGCTTCATCGCACATTCATTTGTGAGTCTGCCTTCTTTCCTCAAGTGATCGCGCAGCACCGGAGGCCTAGGCTTTCCTGAGCTGTCGAATAGTTCATCAATTCCAATTCTATTTGACGGGGGGAGCGTCACATTTGGGCAAGTCCTAAATCATCTTTACACAGTAAAGTTTACACGAAACACAATAGAATAATAAAGGCGTGTCTGTTTCTATCAGTAGCTATAGCAAGCAAAATGAACTTTTCTACAATGGAGCAGATTGACCGCAGAAAACGATCCTATTTTCAAAATTACTCGGGTTACCTTACAAACACAAATTCTTTACCTGTCACTAAGATTCGCTTTTGAGTTTTTCTTTGACCCCAAAGATTTCTTTTTATCATTTTCTGAGGCTTTCAAAAGGTCTTTAAACGTTTTTCTTTTTCTGAATTTCTCCTCTTTTGACATTTTCAAGACATTTTCCTGATTCGGCTTTTATCGGACTCTCTGTTTTTGATTCTTTCTCTGTTTTCACCATATTTCAATCTGTCTTCTTTTTCTGATGAGAAGTGATATTTGTGAATATCTCTTTGTTCGATTTTCTCGTACTTCAAAATCAGTATCTTCTTCTTACAGTATGTTGGCGCTTCTTCAACGGATCATCAGTGCTCTCTCGCAGAGTGATGGTACTCTAAAGCCAACATGAGCGCCAAATTACTCGGAAACTGGGTAAATATTTGCGTTATTATAATTGCGAATAAACTCGCTCCTTTTCGCCAAAACTAATCTGTCTGTACAGTGTGCTTCGCAATTGATGGGCCTCGAACAAGACAATAAAAATTTTATAATGGGCGCAGTTAGGGCCTTTGGACACCTCTCTATTCAAAAAGATTGAAGTTTTGACAAGATTCCATTCATGTAAAACGTAAATTGAAATCAAGGAGGAGTACGAAGAATTTCTCTTCTGCCCCTTTTCTCTTATTTTCGTATTCAATTTGACGAGGGCAATTTGTCAGGGTTTCACTCATTTAATTAAGATAGAGAAAGATTAATGTTCCGGATAAATGGGTTCTTTAATGTTATGAGATACCAACGCCCTTTAGAGAGTGTGTCTCAATAATTCTTACATATCGGGTCTGAAAATTTCGGACTGAAATTTATCACAAATACTGAAATTACCATAAATGATCAATAACGAATGAATAAATTTCTCTCTTCTTTGAATTTTCTCGCTTGATTAAACTTACCTATCGAATATCCGCGAAGGTTGAAGGTATTCTTTTCGTTTCTTTAGGTAAGGATATGTGGTTCAGTATAGTTTCTCGAGTTTTGGATCTGGCGGCTCTAATTGCGGGATGGGGATGGCGGCGGGCGATCGATTAGACAGTATTCGATTTCTCTCTTCTCCTTTTCGACGCCTGTTTCGCACTTTTCAAAAGAAAGAAGGGGAAGGAGGAGGAGACGCGCGCACGCCCGAGGATGCGTCACCAGGAGCACCTATTTTATTTTACCCCCTTGCATGCGTAGCCACCGGATCACGCATGCGCAACGCCACGAGATGGCGCATCAGGGGGAGGCGCGTGATGTCGACCGGGGATGAATAAATACTGAATAAACTCGACCGCAAATCCCAACTCGGGACAATTTGGCTCTATTTCGAACAGACCTTTTTGAAGCTTTTTCTTTCAACTAGATAAGTAGCCATAATATTAAAGTTTTATAAAAGGCAGTTAATGAAACATGCAAAGTAGACAAGTTGTGCAAATAGACTCGAGCCTCGAGGATGATGCTATTCCCTATAATGTCAAATTCCGTCATGCGGTTGACAGTCCAATGTTCAACTAGATATACCACTCTGGTAATTAGGCGCGGGTCAAGCAAGATATATACTGAATATTGAATTCATTTGTCAAACTCAGCAGAAAAGCATGATTAGTTCATTACCAGAGTAGGTGATGCAGGTATATTTGGATCTAATTAGTTGGACTCAAAACTGGTGCTTTACTTTGGGTCGTTTATTTTTGCAGAAAATAAGATCAGCGGAAGTTAAACTGGTCTTTTCTTCATTTGTCTCGACAGGCAGATATTCGTGAAAATGTCAAGGGTGTCGTGGATATCGTCCATTATTGGAGTCAGCGGCTCGATGAATGAGGACTCCGCTGAAAATGGAGTGCAAGGAACAAGCGGTCGTCCGACCCATACAATGCACTGATTAGATTTATCCGAGCCATAATCAAGCTCATCATAACAATACCAGCTTGAAAACGCATCTTTCTTACGGGCGAATGGGTAACGTCCTTCTGAAATTTCACTGCAAAAGCCATCCATTTTCTCTTGCAGACAATTGAAGATAGGATTATCGGAAATTTTCGCTAACGTTGTGCTGGGTGTAGTACTGATCTCTAAAATTCAGGATAATTGATCGTAAAACATTAAATAAATGTCACCGACCGTTTAAAGGCCACCAAAAAAGCTTCATTTCTAAGAGAAATCACTAATAAACAAGTTTTTCTCTAGTCTGAGTAAGGAAGCTATATAATACAATTTCAGAAAGCTCGGATGCACGAGAGTATTTATAGTATTAATACTTGAGGACTGTCCCTAACCTAAGGGCATTTTGATTCACCCGAAGTGTTATGAACAGTGTTTTTTGATGAAATGGCTGACTTTGCAGGTGGCCTGCATCAGGGCGAACTCGGCTATTTTGACGGGTCTCGGCGAGAGGCTCTCGCCATTTTTCTACCCACCAAAATGATCGTCCGGCCCTCTTTTCCCTCATCGTAAGATATGTTGGTAAAACATGATTTATTAGTGATTTCTCCTATTCGTTTCTCGCTAAAAATTCTCTGATTTTCGAATGAACCGAGTTCAAGAATATCAAATCGAATATCCGTATCGTTGTGACAATAAGGATGGTAAACAGCGCACTCGGATAAAGTACGTGGCCATAAACAAAAATCAAGGATTGTAATGACCCAACGACCCAACATAATTAAAATTTGATTCGGGAATCCGGAAATACGGCTCTAGCTAATTTCTTTGGCCAAAATTAATTGAAAGGTAATTGAAATGTGCTGTTTTTGAAATAAATCAAGAGCGTTCTCTAGAATCTGAACTTTGAAACTATTGAATGCTAATTTGCACGATAGGCACTGAATTAAATAAAGCAATGGAGATAGAAATAACTTTTGCCGACGGTTCCGGAACTTATGAAAAGTCGTTTTTAGAGGAGACGTATCCCTATTTCAAAATGCTGTTTGATTCTGGCATGAAAGATTCTAGGTATGAATAAAATAAATAGAAGCTCGAAACTCGAACGACATTCCTAGAAACACGAAGTTTTCTTTGCCGATGAAAAAAGTCACCTTTCACAATCTCGACTTCTCCGCAAAGAAAGTCAGGCCTTTTCTTGATATTGTTGGCTTGGCAAGACATACAGACTCAGTTGAAATTCTGAGGAACGCGATTATGTTTCTTCAGGCAAGGATTCAATGAAAAAATATTGATTTAGAAAACCTCATGTGAATCCGAATTAATGGTTGACAAAAAAATCAAACAAGTTTTCGGTGAATCGAATGTGATAATGGAATGGCTGGTGGACGGAAAGATGATGTGCGTGAATACAATCGAAGATATGCGCCGCCAAATCAACCTCGTTTACATGGACACGCACTTGGTGGACATTGGCGTCAGTTTCTACACGCAAGACTTGGAAGTTCATGTCGCAAAGAAACTGCCAATTGTCGACTGGAGGTACAAATATGTCAAGTACAATGCATGGGATGCTCCGGTGTTTATCTTCTTCAAAGACCAAAATATGACCAATGATGATATCGAAATTCTAATGTAAATAGAGTTTTTGAAAATGAAAACTAAAAATGATTTAGAATGTTTGAAAAGAGCGCGTATTACAACTCGTATGCCTTCCAACTCAACCAGATTCTACCTGACAGCTACAAAAACCACGAACTTATGTTTGATCAAAAACGAAGTCTCTACACTGGTTACCCTGCTCAAGCGATTATGCGAAATATCAAGGATTACGGCGGTAATTTTCTCGCGACTCTGAAACAGACGGAAACTGGGAAATTATGGAAAGTAAAGATCAAATTCTATAAGAAACGAGTCTTTGTGAGGGACGGAATCAAGGCCACTCAAAGAGAATGGGAAGATGATTCTCTTGTTTTCATGTTGTATGAGGATGAGCGATCTGTTCAATACATTCCGTCCGGTGAATTCTTCAGAAAAGAGGAGTTTTTGACTGTACCACATTTTGCGATTGTTGAATAAATTTTATGCTTATCAGACTATCTCTAGAACACGGGTCGATAACGTTTACTGTTGATGAGCATTGAATCAGTTTTAGATCAACAAGATCATTTTTGGGGGTGATGGCTGCATTTTTAAGATTTAGCAATGAAGACTACTACCAACCGGCGGACTCGATGATAGTCCCCATCGAAATTGAATTTACAGACGGCGTCAGATCATTCGAAAAGAAATTCTTGACAAGGAATTATCCTTATTTTCGGACTGTTTTCAGACCTAGAAAGGGAGAACCAAGGTTAGAAAAGTAGCTCTCAGCAAAATCAAAATCCGACTCTTAGAGTGGAACGAGTTTCTCTTCCAATGACCGAGTACATGTTTCGATTGTTGGACTTGCGAGTAAAGAACCAGCCACGGACTCAATTTTTGCGCCGCCTCGATGAGTTTCAACGACGCCCTGAAGATCTAAAGAGTGCGGTTGAATTCCTGAAAGTCGAAAAGAAGCTCGCAAGTTTTGTGAAAAAATCATGGGAGTTCCGATCATGGCTGCGTTTTCCAAATGACCCCATTTTCCTTGACGTGCACGAAATGAAGAAAGAAGTGAATCTGAGACTTATTGACGAGAACATTGTTAATCTTGGCGCGAACGTTTGTTACAATCAAAAACGAATCCCCAAAGTGATGCCAGAAGTACCCTCGGAATTCGGCTTCGCGCGCTATCATCCATTCGGCAAGTACTTTGTGTTTTCCGAGACGGGATATGGATGGAGATATTCGGGCATTCTCTTTCGCATGTGAGTTACAAAGCATGAAGTATAGGAAGAACTAAATGATATTTCAGTGTTTTTGAAAAGGATGATAAATTTTTATCATACACTTACGACTTCCGCGAAAAGAAATCTCCCGAGTTCAAGAATGAAGTCTGTGAATTATACAGGTATTCGTAGTATCATCAAATTCACTTCTAATTGAGACAATTATAGTCATTTGGACCAAGCATTATCTGTCGAGCCCGCCAATTTAAATGAATACGATGGTCCCTTCCGATGTTCCATCCCAGTTACAGCAGAGAATTCTCCTTCCGCTTGGAAAATATCGATCAAAGCTAAACGAAGAAAGATCTACAAGTTTCCTGGTGCCCTGCGATTGCTAGAAAAGAAATGTCGAGATGTTGGAATCCACTTTTTACTCGTCGAAGATGGTGATGATCTTAAATTTGTGCCCGCCTCTGACTTTTTTTTAATTTCTGAATTTTCCTATGAAAGGATTTATTAACTGTTTCTCACGGTTATTTTCGCAAGGTTTTTTTTTATAAATAAATATTCTGTATTCAAAAAGTCTGAAGATTGAAGGTTGAAATAATTTATTTACAGTGAACTTTTCAACGATGTTTTCAGTTTGGCATAAAAGTATTAATATTCAATAGCAAGTGAGTCGGATATTCCTTCAATTTGTCGCTGAAGAGTTGCTTGGCGTTTTTCGAGGGCGCGAGTTTGTTTTTCTGAAGCATCGTTTCTGCGTAGATCGGCCAACTCCTTGTTGATTTCGCCGAGCTCATCAGATAGGGCTTCAAGATCAAGCTTTTCTTTTCGCTTGAAAATGGCCTTGATTTCAGCAGGCGTGTACTCAACATTTTCTTTTGACTTTCCAGAGAATTCAAGTGGCAGTTTCATTTCCGGCGTAGTTTGAATTTGGAAGATGTGAGTCGATATCTTCGCAAGGAGCTGGTAGAACTCGTTTCGGAACTGGGGGTTTAGATCGTTGGTCAAATCGCCGGTTCGAATGTGCGCCATACAGTGAGCCATAAGAACGTACAGGTGTCCTGGGTTTTGCTCTTGGAGCTTTTCTTTTGTGATGAAGAGGAATCTGTTGGTGCAATCATAGGAGAACCATCCTTTGAAACCGTTCTTTTCGAGTTCTGGATTCGAAGGAATCTTCGATGCCGCGAGAAGAGTAACTGGGCGATATCCAGCAACGTTGACGATAAGACTTAGAATGTACTGACAGAACTTGAAGACGACGCGTTCGTTTTTGCCGAGCAGAGCGGTCGGAATCGTTTCCAAATCATTACCGACAGAGTTTGATGACTTGAATGTGTAGAGCGTTGTTGGAGACGAGTATGTAGATTGTTTCAAGCTTCTGACAACCTTGTACAAATCGCTTGATTTCAGAATGCTATCAAAGTCTTCTTCCGATAATTCGTTGTTATTATCGGAAGTAGTTTCGACTGGGCTTTCAGCAACCTCAACAGTTGCTTTTTCACCATCTGTCACGATTTGTTCAATCTTCTCGAGATTTTCTGCTTGCTTCAATTTCTCTTCAGTCGCGAGTTTCGCTTCTTCGATCTGTTTGTGCTCCTCCAATTTCGTCTTTTCCTTTTGCAAGCGCTCCTGTTTGAGTCTCTCGATCTTATCTTGAACGGCTTTCTTTTGTCCAAGATGAGCGGCTCCCTTCGCGAGTAGAAGTTTATTCTGTTTTTCTTCCCATTCCTCCATCATCTTTTCAACTTCTTCCGGCGATGACCCCGAGGCTTTAGCTGCGTCAAGTGCTGCTTGCATTTCCTCGTTCAGTTTTTTCAATTCATCGGATTCGCTACTCTCGTTTTCAAGTTTTTCTAGCTCCGCTCGCATTTCAGCTTCAAACTCTTCCTCCGCTTTGCGCAATTTTTCCTCGATCTTTGCATTTTGCTCGGCTTCCCACTGCGCTCGCTCCGAAGCAAGCTGTTTTTCAAGTTCTTTTTGATCTTTCTCGAGTTCTTTCAGTTTTTGCGCGTTTGCTTCGTTGTTGGCACGGACGGAATCGGCTGTTTTTGGACAAACTTGGTCGAGGTAATCGATAAGTTCGTTATAGTGTTGCTGGCGAAGCTCGACGATTGCTGATTTTAAAATGATTAAGAGGTCTCAAGATAACTCTTACCTTTATTCATTCGATATTCCCAATCAGAGAGAACCATAATTCTCTCATTTGGATCACAGTTCAAAAGAAGCTCCTCTCGTTCTTGACCAAATTTATCCTCCAACTCAGCAAGTTCTTTTTTATGACGAGCATCAAGGACAGATTTGACAATTTTCAACGGCTCTGGTTTGTCGCTTTGGTTCATTTGAGTTTTAATAAGGTTGATTTCAGCACGCTGAGTATTTTCCTTTCGCTTGTTGTTGAGGTCGACTTTGTTGGCGTCTTCTTGTTCTTTGATCTTTTTGGCAGCTTCGTCCGCTGCTTCTGCCATTTTTTCCTGTTGTCGCTTTTTCAGTTTTGCGACAAGACGAGCTCTAAAAGACTTGATCAAAAATAAAAAATTCTTTATATTTTTACCGTTGAAGAAGCAGGTGCTGTCTGGCCTTCTCTTCAGAAACTGCCATATCAGCACTCAACTCTGCGAAGAGCCTGTCTGCTTCTTCTGGGTCCACAGTTTTCAACAGCTCGAGTTTGCGTTGCTCGAATTCAGCTTCAATATTGTCCATTTCTTCATGATACTCCTTATCAAACTCTTCCATTTCTTTCTCTGCCGCAGCCAGTTCCGCAAGATACTCTTTATTTGCTTGAGCTTGGACAGAAGAAGCTAAGTTTTGATCTCGTTTCTTTGCTTCTGCGAGTTGATCTTCGAGTTCAGCGTCCGAAATGAACTCGCCGTACGATGGCCGACCGATTTCTTTGATAAGAGATTGTCTGCTGTTGTACTTGTCGACAGTATCTCCTATAATCTTACTATCTCGTGCGGCGCGTTTTGCTCGTCTTCGTTCTTTTAGCTTCAAATCGAATTGATCTCGAGCGTTGGAGCGCCGTGAAGAGGCTTTATCCATGTGAGCCTTGTATTTCTTCATCAGTTCAATCGCAACTGCTGGTGGTAAAGTTCCGTTTGCTTGTTTTCTGAGTTCTTCTTCGAAAATCATTTCTCGATCTTCTTGCGCACTTTGCATGATAGCAAGCATATCCTCTTCCATTTCGGAATCAAGTTTGAGATCGATTGCTTCTTTCTCCATTTCGTGTCGTACCAAAACTTCGGAGAGATCGATCGTTCCTTCTGCAAGTTCTTGGAGCTCTGCTTTGTGCATGTCTTCGAGTTCCTTCCGCTGCTTTTCTTTTCTCTTGCGGTAGTTGCGCTTCAGATCTTTCTCTGCATCCGATTGTTTCTGATTGATCTCGTCGTATGAGATGTTAATCATCGCAGCAACAACGGTTTCTCCGCCAGCTTGGCCGGAAACTTCACCTTTTACGAATTCGATATTGTCCGATTTCATCTTGTCGTTTAGCAATTTCTCGTTGTTCAATTTTTCCGATGCATCTTCCTTGTCGAGCTTATTTTCGTCTACTTCAGTTTGAATCATTTGTTGAATAAGGACTTCGTCTTTGTATCTCGGATCCACTCGTCGTTTAAGACGCTGCTGAAGTCGCCATTTTTGACGTTCACGCTCATCGAGATATTTTAGATCGGCTTGTGCGTTTTCTTCCGCTGCTTTTTGCCAGTATTCTTCAGCCTCTTCAGCAGTCATTCCGTAGGTGCACGCTGCTTCTCGATTTTTTGAGTTTTCGTCGAAGGCTGGTCGAATGTCCTCTTGGTTCAACTCAACTGCATTTCCAAGATTAGTGGTATCCGTTTTCTCAGGAATGTCGATGAAATCCTTCTGCATGCGTTTTCGTTCGCGATACAGCCTCTTTGCGTCCTCAAGTGTGTCATCTGAAATCAAAAGTCGGCCTCCGTGTAGCTTGTTGAGCACTTCTTGCATAGTGACAAAGAGCGCATCTTCCTCGACTTGCAAGTCATCTGAGTATCTCAGATTTGTCTGGTGGTTAACTTCCACGACGTTTTGCCCATTTTCTGCGATTCCAGATTTGTTGATTTGGATTGAGTCCAGATTCATTTTCGAAACTTCATCAGATAAACGCTTCGTTTCTTCGTTTACTCGCGTTCGGAATTCTCGGAGCTTGTTCTTGGAAGCAGAGATTTGTTCGTCGAGGTAGTAGCGCTGATCTTTCAGTTTGTCGATGAAGTTTTTGACACTGAAGTCTTCGAGCTCAGACGAGTTTCTGTTGTATGGAAGAAGAGCTCGACGAGAATCATCGTCCGGATCGAGTTTTTCGATTTTAGTTGGCAGGGGTGGCTCGGCGAGATCCTTGAATTTTGGCTTGAATCGTTTCGTCGAGAACACTTCCCAACCATAAGGATCGATAATCAAGAAGATCAAGACTCCGATGATGATGAGAATGGCAAATGAAGTTGTCAAACCGATTATCAGAGGCCAGTTCGGCTCCATAACAGGTTCAGTGGACACCACTCCGGCATTACGTAAGGACTCTTCTGAAATGAACTGGATTGGAGAACCGTCGCAGTTTTCATTTGAAACAACAATCAAAAGAGTGCTGTTGCTGTTCTGCGAGTTAGAGAAAGTATACGTTCCTTCTTCCGTAAATGCGTAGATAAAATTGTCGACATTTGATGATGAAGTTTTTGTAACATAGTATCGCAAAATTCTAAACTCTCCATAATCATATTCAGGATTCGAATTGAGTGTGCTGTCTTGAACATATACTGGATATTCGCTGTTGACTCTGTCAGTGTTGTCGATCTTATTTTCGAAGACAACTGCTGTGTTTGGTGGAATACAAATAAGAGGATCCTCAATGTATGCAGTACTGTCCGCTTGTCTTCGTTTTCTCGTTGATGCAATGTATCGAGTACCTTGAATACCATCGTCGAAAACGGTGAACTCAACATTGAATTCGTTCCCTAAGCTTGCGACGACATCTTCAATACCAAAAGCGTCGAAGTCAGGTTCCAATATTTCGCCTTTATTATTTACGGCTTCAATTCTACCGTCAGGTTGTACTTGAAGTGAAATTTTATCACAGCAATTTTCGTCAATCAGAGGAAGATCTGTGCCCATACAGAGTCCGTATGCCTTTGAGAACTCATGGTCCTCTTTACCACATTCTTCGATGCATGTCTGATCTTTCGAGCTAAGATTATCACATCTTGGAGCCTTGATAAGAGAACAATCTCCATCAGAGTCAAATTCAGAACTGTCCATTTCCCCATCATTGCTGTAATAGTACTGCGGCCGACAAATACAGGTTGAATCCGTTTCCTGGAATACTCGTGTATCTGAATGGCAAGTGCATGTGCCGGCTCCTTCTGGAGAATACGAGGCAGTTCCGCAGTTCTTGCAAGAAATGGCCTTCTCCTTGCTCGCATAAGTGTTTGGCTTGCATTTTGAGCAGATTTCATTTCCACGACCGAAAGCGTAAGTTCCAGGTTTGCAAGGTATCATCATTCCAGTAGGATTTCCACGTGGGCACTCGTGTCCTGGATCACATTGATTTTCAGTGTAATCGCCGGTTCCCTCCGGACAGAAGTATCCTGGTTCACACTGAGAGCAGCTCTCAGAATCGTAGGTATTTCTGTACGTTCCGGCAACGCAAATTCTGCAAGAGTCCGCTTTCGATGTTCGAAGGCCATCAGATGAGTTTGAAGACTCTTTTGCCTCAAAACCGAGGTCACACGGTTGAGGAGTTGAAGATCCCTTTGGACAGAAGAAGGGGAACTCGCACTTTAGATCTTCAATTATTGATTTCGTTCCTTCTGGGCAATAATAGCCTTCTGGACAAATTTCACCGGAAGCCATGCCTTCTTGATTACAGACGTATCCCGCTCGACATTTCATGGCAATTCTAGTTCCGCCTGGACATTCATATCCGAGAGGACACAGAATTCCATCAATATTGATGAGTTTGCCGATTGGTTCAGGACAATAACGTCCAGGAGAGCAGGGCAAGCAATCATAGGAGCTTTCGGCTAGATGATTTTCTGGTGACATCCTTCCAGCTGGGCATTTTCGTGGAGGTAGACCTTGACCAGAGCAATAATATCCAGGTTTGCACGGGAAGTCTTCTTGATTGACAATACCTTCTTGGTCACAGAAATAGCCAGGGTCGCAGAATCGACAATCATCAATACTTTTTCCGCCAGATTCATTTCTAAATGTGTAGATGGGACAACGCTGTGGTCCTGGAGCGGGATGAAGGAGAACGTTCTCTCCTCTAAAAGTTCGTATTTGTTCCCCGTGTATTTTAGCTTCTTCAGGTGTATTATACCAAGCTGGGCAATAGTGACCCGGAGGACAAGGAACCGCCTCGGTTGCGCCGATCTCGCAGAAAAGACCTGCTGGACATGTTGAGCATTGATATGGAGACATACCACCCGGTTGTTCTCTGTAGGTGTTGTTAGCACAAGGCTCGATGGTTGAAGTGTCTCCGTTCGGATAACAGTAATACCCAGGAGGACAAGGACCCGCACACACATCGCCAGATGTACAGTTCATTGGATCATTTGCTTTTAGAGGTTCGTATTCGATAAGACCCGTTGAAGAGTTGTAAAACAATTCAATCTCAATGTCGTCGCCATATTTTGGATTTGGCGCGTTTGCTCCACTGTAACAAAGGTATCCGAACATGCAAGGTCCTTGAATCTGACCATCTCGACAGTACTTGCCATATGGACATGGTCTGCAGTCACTGAGTTGAGTTCTACCGGTCTCATCGCTGAGTGTGTAGGTTCCCGAAGGGCACTTGATAGGATACGCGGTTTCTGGGGGACAGTAGTACTGAGCTGGGCAAATCTCTTCTTTGATGTCAATCGGCTCGTTAGGATTCAGAGAATCAGGTTTTGTGGGCTGGCAGTATGAGCCTGCAGAGCATGGAATACAGCTATCGGCGCCTGTTGAGCCTTGATAGAAGCCGAGTGGACACGGAATCGGGTCAGCAGAACCTTCAGGACACATGTGATGTTTAGGACACGGTGTACCGTATACAGTCTCTTCATCACTTGGGCAATATAAACCAGCGGGACAAAGAATCTCCGGTGTAACAAGGCCTGACTCGTCACAAACATACCCACCCTTGCAAGGCAGACAGCCAGTTTTACGATCCCTAGCGTGAGTCGACGGATTGTAGGTTCCGATGGGACAATCGAGTGGTCTGTAAATACCATCAGCGTTCGGGCAATATTTTCCAGTGGGGCAAGGTTTATTCATATCTGTATCTGGATCTCGTTCTCTTGCGCCTTCTTCACAGTAAAAGCCAGGATCGCAGTCATATGTACCGTTGCTGCCAAAGCCTCCCATTCCAGGATCGGGGCAGAATTTTCCTTCTGGGCACGGAAGACAGGAGTCTTTCGAAACAGGCTCGCTGCCGATTTCGGAGACTGGATTGTACGTTCCTGGCGGACAACTTATTGGCACAATGGTGTTGTTATTAGGGCAATAAGTTCCGACTGGACAGATTTTTGGATTAACAGTACCAAAGAAATTATCGCAGTAATAGCCAGGTTCACAGGGCAAGCACTCAGAAAGACCTCCAATATCATTGTAAGTTCCCATCGGACATGCGATCTCAGCGGGAGTACCTTTCGGACAATATTTTCCGAGGCCACATGGAATCGTTCCGGACTCGGATCCTTCTTCGCAGAATGAACCTTCGGGACATTCAATCGGGCAGTTGTCATTGCTTTCAGTTTCATTGCATTCTTTTGTGCCAATAATTTCAGCAGTTTTCATTGCTTCATTCGGGCAGTAAAGACCAGGTGGACAGAAAATGCATGTTTTGTTGAATTCTGTGACCAGACTTGAGTCAGGAAGTTCTTTTGTTGCTCCTGTTTCAATACCTATCATTCCTTTAGGACAGGGCGATGGTTCTTTGGATCCTTCTTCGCAGAAATATCCAAGTGGGCACTTGCCGTTTCCACTCCATTTTCCACTGTCTTTATCTTGCTCGACGATTCCAGTTGGTGTTGGACTAAATGAACCAGAGGCGCAAACGTAGCCGGCTTCGCAAATAAGATTATCCATTTCACTCTGCAGTAATCCCTCGGTATCACAATAGTGTCCGCCGTCACAAGCATTACAATCTTCAACTTTGCTGTATGTTTTTGATCCGTCTCTGCCATAAGTGCCGACTGGACACGGCTGAGGTGCAGTTGAGTTTCCTGGACAGTAATGGCCTTCGACACAGTCGCAATATTCGCATATATAATTCGTTTCTGGATCCTTGCCCCAGATGTCATCAACTCCGCGCCAAAGCAATTCAGCATTTCCGGTGCAATAATGTCCCTTTCTGCAGAAATTACATTTGCTTTGTTTTTGAGAGTTCTGATAAGTTCCTGGTGGACAAGGCATCTCAACTTTCGAGCCACTTGGACACATATTTTGCTCGCTGCAGGTAGCACCATCGGGTTTAGATTTATCTGAACCCTTTCCACAATAGTATCCATTTGAACAGCTGATAGAATCTTCGATCGGATCAAATGTTCCTTCTCGAGTGCAGGCTCTACCTTCAGGACATAAATTGCACTCCTCAGGCCCAGTGGTGCTATTGTTATAGATTTCGCCCTTAGAGGCAACTGACTGAGACCACTGGCCTTTCGGGCAGTTGGTTGGCGACGCACTTCTTTGAGGGCAATAGACGCCCTTTTCGATTTGATTGTCAAGAAAAATCGAGAATTGGAAGATGATCTGATTGAATGTATTTGGATTTGCCGATTCTGGTTGGAGGCCGCATTTGACGGGTTCGTTCCCGTCAAGTTGGTCAAGGAGATGATCAGCAGAGAAGCTGATAGTTCCCAGCGGGCAATAGTATCCTGCTGGACAATCTTCTGCTTGTGACTCATCTGTAAGACCGTATTGCGAGCATGTCGTTCCAGCACTGCACGGAAACTTAAATCCGTCAACGCAGTAATGCCCGAGAGGACAGACTTCTCCTCGACCAGCTGCTTTATCCGAACATCCAGGCGATGGCGAATAAGAACCACTGATACAATGGAAGCCATCGTCACAAGCAGTCTGGTTCGTACCGCTACACCAGAAGCCCTCTGGACAAGGATCACAAGCGCTTATGTCACTAGAGAGAGTATTCCGGTTGGTTGTTCCAAGAGGACATGGTTGCGGAAACTCTTGTCCCCCTTCACAGTAATGGCCTTCTTCGCAAGGTTTACGTTCTGTGAGCATATTGACTGTTCCATTGATATCTGTTTTTGTTCGAGGACAGTAGTAGCCAGGCTCGCAAGGTTTGCATTCAGAAGCAAGCGGAGAAATCGAGTAGAACCCAGCATCACATGGCTGCATTGCCGAAGCTCCGGTTGGGCAATAGTAGTCTGGTTGACACATATTTTCTGTTTGGGCTTTCGTTCCAGGAGGACAGAAATAGCCAGGAAGGCAGCGAATAGACTCATCAATTGCTGCAGTACCGTCCAGGCAATAATAACCGCCTGGACATGTGGTACAATCCGTTTGATTTCTTGCGCCTTCATAAGAATTAAATGTACCAGCAGCGCAAAGCTGAATTTCATCACTGCCTGCAACACAGAACGATCCAGCAGGGCATATTTTTGGCTCAACATTGACATCATCTGGACAGTAGAAACCCTCAGGACATTCAAGGCAAGCAGTCATTTTTATGATCGGAGCATATTCTCCGGGACCACACGGTTCAGGTTCGGATGAACCAGCTGGGCATTCATGTCCAACAGGACAAGCTTGGTAGTTTCCAACATCACTTCCTTGGGGACAATAGTATCCCTCTAAGCACACATGCTGGGTTCCGTTTGTGGAAGCTCTTGGGCAATAGAAACCAGGCTCGCACTCGAAACAATCGTCAGAAGATCCAGCACCTTCATCTTCCATATAGAAACCGGCGTCACAAGGCTCTGGTCTCAGTGCTCCAGCTGGACAATAATGACCCTTCGGGCAAATATATCCTGTGTCTCCATCCTCTGGGTCAGGTTTGGTAGCGCCCCAAGAGCAAATATATCCAGCTTCGCATTCGATGAGTCGATCGTCTTCGATACAATATTTTCCCGGGTCACATGGTTGACAAGAGGCTTCATCGTATCCGAACCAATCACCAGTGTTGTTTCGATAGGTTCCGTCAGGGCAAGGGATTCCTTCAAAAGAACCAGTTGGACAGTATTCGTGCTCTTCGCAAGGATGTGCTTTGCCATTTTGTGCTTCAAGTCTTCCAGCTGCGTTATTTTGCCGCTCCGGACAATAATAGCCCGCATAACAAGGAGTTTCTTCGGTATCTATTAGGCCAACACCGGTGCAGATCCATCCTTGCTCACATATTTCACAGTCTCCATCCGTCTCTCCTCCGACTTCATCCCTGAATGTTCCAGCAGGGCATGGAACTGGTCTCGTGCGGAGAGAATCCTCAAATGATTCACAGTAATGACCTTCGGGACAGTCGATAGGATTTATGGTTCCAACATACGGATCGTTGTTCAAATCGCCTATACAGTAAGACCCAGCGGGACAAGCTTCACATATTTCTTGTTTGGTGTTATCTTGGTAGTATCCATCAGGACAAGGAATCGGTCTCGCGGAACCTTCTGGACAGTAAGTTCCAACTGGGCACACATGTTCAGGCTCTGAATCTGTTCGCCCCTGCGATGTTTCTGAACCAGCTGGGCAGTAATAGCCTTCGCGGCAAAGATATTCATCATCTGGCGGAGCGTTCATTCCAACTCGCGGACAGTAATATCCAGGGAGGCAAGGTTCACAAGCATCTTCAGACGGTTGAAGCGGATATCTGTTGAATTTTCCTAAGGGACAAGCTACAGGAAGATCGTTGTCACTACTGCAATGATATCCAGCTGGACAAGGATTCATTTTCGGTGAGTCACTTCCTTCAGGACAGAAGTAGCCCGGGAAACATTCTTCATTTGGAGCGTCGAGTTGATAATCAGTACAGGCCATGGTTCCATCACAAGCTTTCTCGGATTCGCTTCCAGCAGGGCAATAATGACCTGGAGTACAGATATTCTGCCTTGTTGAGGTTGATCGTCTTGGGCAGTAAAAACCTGCTTCACATTCAAAATTCGAGACATCATTTTCTATTAAACCAATTGTTGGACAAGCAAAACCAGCTTTGCAAGCAACACAACTGGCAGAGCTTGTAGTTTTTTCGCCACCAACATGATAGTAACCAACGTTGCAATAAGTTGGCCTCGCAGAATTCGATACACAGTAAGCACCGGGAGGACAAGATATTTCTACATCACTACCTTGAGGGCAATAAAATCCTTCGCGGCAGTCTTTGCAAGAGGACTTTCCTTCTTCATTTTGGAACTTACCAGCCGGACAAGTTGACATAAGTCCGTCAACACAAAAGTGACCTGCAAGACAAGGACCAAAGAAGGTTCCATTGAGTGTCGGTGTGTTGCTGGGAGATTCTGTGTTACAGAAAAATCCATCTTCGCAAGTGCCTTGTACTTTACCATTTGTGCAGTAGGAGCTACTTGGGCAAGGATGACAATCCTCGATGGATGCACCAAGATCAGTGTCTCTATAACGGCCGTCCGGGCAAATTTGTTCTGGGGCACTATTTGTTCCGTCGCCACAGTAGTGCTCTTCAGGACACCGATAGCCAAAGATTTCATCTGCTTCGGGAGTGCCTTTTTCAGCCTCTGGATCTGGAACGCGAGAGCCAAATGTTGTTCCTTTCTTGCAAACGTAACCAGCTTTGCATGGTTGTGGAGTTGTTGTTCCAGAGTCTCCACAGAAATGATCATCTGGACATGGTTCGCAATCATCGATTGAATTACCGGTTTTAATATTGTTGAATGTACCAGCGGGGCATGGTATAGCCGTACCATCTTGGCAATAGTAACCTGGAAGACATTCTGGAGAGTACTGACCGTTTTGACAAACTCCGGAAGGTTCACAATCCTTACATTGGAGATTGCCAAATGATTCTGGATCAGAAGAATCAAAATCTGGAGTATAAGTACCATCTGTGCAAGGATTAGGCTCCATACTACCGCTTGGGCAGAAATGGTATGGCGGACACATGTATCCCTCTTTGACTGGATCTTTTGAGGCCGCTGCGCTGTATCTTGGATCGCATATTTCGTCAGTTCCGGTTTTTCCGTCACAATAACCAAGATTAGGGCAGAACTGCCCAGCATCACATATCTCTGGTTCAGTCATTCCAGCAAATGGACATTTGAATCCACCAGGACAAGATTGACAACTTTCTTCGCCGGCACCACGAGATACATTTCTAAAGGTTCCTGGTGGGCAATCATCAACAGCATCGGTTATTCCAGGACAATACTGTCCAGGCTCGCATTCTGATGGGAAGGGTTCGTCTTTTGTCTCGCCGTAAGGAGAATAAGCACCGCTCGTGCAGTTGTAGCCGTCTCCGCATTTGAAATCTGTTGACGACAAATCAGAGATCATGTCGTCTGAAACAGCATAACCAGGACAGTAAACTTGAGCATCACATGGCTGGCATGAAAAATTGGCGCTGATAGCACTATATTCACCGGGCTCACAAGGATTTTCGTTCTTCAAGAATGTTTCTTCTGGGCAGTAGTAACCTGGTACACATTCATGTCCTGAGCCGACTATTCCGATTCCCATAATCAAATTGGGAGCACCAACATCAGTAACTCCGTCGCAGAAGTACGAAGATGGGCACAAATCACAAGTATCTTGGCCAGTTGATCCTTGGTGGAAACCTTGATTGCAAAGCTTTGGTTCAACGGTTCCTGCTTCACACATCGAACCCGCATCGCAAGGATCTTTATTTTGAGATACACCTGTAACTCCGTAGCAATGTGAGCCTCCATCACAATCGCCATTTGCAAAGCCACCGGAACAAGTCTTTCCTGGTGGACACTCTCGACATTCAGGTTGACTTCCCAATCCAGTTTGTGGATTATAAAAGTGCTCAGGACAGCTGACAGGAGATTGACCTTCTTCGCAATATTTACCGTTGGGACAAATTTCACCAAACTCGCCTTGTTCCTCGTTGAATCGATCGTTAGGTGAATTCGTTGTCGCTCCTCCTGAGCAGTAGTATCCGGCTGCACAGTTGAAATCGTTACTTGACATGTCCGAGTCGCCGAGGCCTTCATGAGGACAAAACTTATTTTCTGGGCATGGTTCTGGCTCAACTATTGTTGCGGGGCACACACTTCCAACTGGGCAAATACCACCAATGTCCTTGTTGTTGCAGTATTCCGTACTTAGAAGATCCCCACTGCAATACGGTCTTGGTGTCCAACTTCCGTCGTTTTCATTTGAGCAGTAATACCCTTCATCGCAATCGTAAGCCGGGTCATTTGCAACATCTTTATCAAGGCCGAAAAATGGACAGAATTTCCCTGGTGGGCAAACTTCGCACTCATCTTCGCTATCTGCGGGTCCTTCAGCGATTCTATATGTTCCTGGAGGGCACGGATTAACATCGTAAGGTGTGCTACCATCTACTTCGCAGAATTGACCAAGTGGGCAAGAATCATCGGCGTCAGTGTAATCAGTCAAGACACCTCTGCAGAGGTAACCGGCAGGACACTGGTCTTGACACTCGCTTTGGGCAGCATTCGATTGGTAGTATCCATCAGGACAACCTTCGGGCTCTGCAGTACCGTCTTCTGGACATTTGAAGCCAGGTGGACACTCGCCAAATAGCGCTGGAACGTTCGTATCATCATCTGGTTCTGGCGATGTTGCTCCAGAGAAGCAAAAAAATCCTGCTTTGCATTTGAAATCTTCATTTCCAGTGTCTTTTGGATTTTCTTCAAGAGCTTCAGTCTCGCAAAACCAACCTGGAGGACACGGTAGACAGTCATCGAGTGTCCTTCCTCCTTCGATATTCAAGAAAGTGCCGACCGGACAAGGAGTTTTTATTCCAGCAGGACAAACATATCCTTTCGGGCATTTTTTATCAGCAGGGGATGGTATAGATTGTCCAAAATCGCAGTCGTAACCATTCATACAATCTGGCAGATCATTAGGAGAATCCGGTCCAGCTTTATAGGTACAATATTTTCCTTGTGGACAAGTTCTACAATTAGCAAAAGAAGATGCTCCAGTATCATCGTAGTAAGTTCCAGGGGGACACCCGAGCATGGTTTTATCTGATGAACCTTGAGGACAGTAGTGTCCTTGAAGACATTCCTCTTTATTGCCGTTTCCGTCACAGAAGAAACTTCTTGGACAAAGATCACATTCGGCATGCGGCGTTGCTTTATCATTCCATTTTCCTTCTGGGCAAAATTGTTCTTGATAACTTCCAAGAGGACAGTACTTTCCTGAACTAGTACAAGCTACAGGCACTTTAGATACACCATCTACGCCAGCATCACATGTGTACCCAGCTTCGCATCGATGATCTACAAGATTCCAAACTCCTTCTTCTGAGCAATCAAACCCTTGTGGACATTCTGAGCATTCAGAACTGCTGGTGAGTCCGCTTCGACTTCCATAAGAGCCGACAGGACATGGTTTTGCAGTTCCGTCGTCACAGTAAGAGCCTATTGGACAGATCTCACCATATTTCCCATCAGACTGTAGGACATCAGATGCTCCGCCAATGCAATTAATGCCTGGTGCGCAATTTGGTAGACTAGTAATTGGGTCTTTGATTCCCGCCGTTGTGCATGCTTTACCAGCAGGGCATTCCTTGCAAAATCGTTCATAAGAACGTCCAGAATTAGAACTATCAGCGTCGTTGTAAGTGCCGGGAGGGCAAGGAATTGGAAAGCCAGTACCAGCGGGACAATAATTTCCAAGCCCACATTCTACTGGTTTTTCTGTTGCTCCCTCGCAGTAATTACCAGCTAGACAAGTCTCGCAAGACGATCGTCTCTGCTGGTCTTGATACGTTCCGTGCGGGCATGGGAATGCCACTATTGATCCTTCCGGACACATATGGCCTGCCGGGCAGGGTAGACGACCAGTGGTTGTATTTGATGGGGGGCAATAGAAGCCTTCCGGACATAAGCTTATCGAATCGCCGCCGCTACACTCATATCCGCCTAAGCAAGGGAAGCATTCATCCTCGCTGCGCAAACCTGTTGAGTTACTAAAAGTTCCTGGTGGACAAGGCAACTCCGAGTCAGCTCCTTTTGGGCAATAGTTTCCGACAGAACAGAAAATAAATTCTCCCGATGCGTCTTTTGGTGTTGCTGATATTGATCCAGTATCACAGAAATAACCCGCTGCGCATTCGTTACTATCCATCTCTGCGTCTGTGAGTCCGACTTTATCGCAGTAATGTCCTTTTTTGCAGTCTCTGTATTCACTTGCGCCCTCTGCTGAATAGGTTCCGATCGGGCAAGGATCCCCATTTTTATTCTTTGGTCTTGCTTCAATCGTTCCGCCAGTACATTTGAATCCAGCTGCGCATTTGAATTCAGTTCCGGATCCAAGCCCATATTTTGGACAGTAATATCCAGCAGGACAAGGATCACAAACACCGCCATCTTTCTGTCCAAGAAGATTATTATAGGTTCCAATCGGACATGGCGTTGGTAAGTAAGGTACTGTGCTTGGGTCATATTTGCAGTAGTAACCTTTTCTACAAGGTCGCATGACTCCGTTTTCACAGTAGTTTCCATCTTCACATGGCTTACAGGAGTCTTGAAGGTCAGCATCTTGGTATTCTCCGATCGGACAAGGAACCGGTTCCGTCGAACCTTTCGGGCACATGAATTTACGAGGACATTTGCCTCCTGAGTTCGAAACAGAGCTGCTACAGTCACTTGATGACAATGGATCTGGCTTTGTGCAGCCTGACTTACAGAAATAACCTGGTTCACATTTAACAGTGCCATTAATCGCATTGCTTGTACTGTCATAAATATCATCCCACGTCATTCCGACACTTGGGCAAAAGGTTCCTCCAGGACAAGGGCTACAATCGTTCCTACTTTTGAGCCCAGGAATTGACCCAAAAGTTCCGATCGGGCATGGTTCTGGTTCTTCAGTTCCCTGTTCACAGAAGAATCCAATTGGACAGAGAGTATTTGAATCATCGGTTTCGGTTTCTTTATTTGGATGCGAATATAGAGCTTTTGTTTTACAAATAAAGCCAGCCTCACACTCAGGCCCTGTCGCGTTCATGCCTCGCTCAGGGCAATAATGACCAGCATCACAATCAATACACTCGGTTAGAAGGCTTCTTCCATCATTTGGAGAATAAGTTCCTCGCGGGCACTTTTCACCTTCATAGTCACCGCCTGAGCAAAACTGTCCTACAGGACAAACTTCTTGGCCTGCTGTCGGATTTTCCGGAATGTTACCAACACATAATGAGCCAGCGGGACACGCCAAACATTTATCTTGTGTTCCAGCAGTGGAATAGGTTCCTCTTTCACATGGAATCTGATCTGGGGACCCTGTTGGGCACTTGTAACCAACAGCACAAGGTTGAACAGGATAAGTTGCTCCTGATGGTCTTGCAGCTCCACCACTGCAGTAGTAGCCAGCAAGACAGTCACCATCTGGTGCTTCTAATCCAGGAACAGAACAAACTTTTCCAGGTGTACATTCAATACAATCCTTTTCGGAGAGACCGTGATATCTAGGATTGTAGGTGCCAGGAGGACAACGCTCGGGAGATTTGCCCTCTTCGCAGAAATAGCCAGGTTTGCAAGACTTTGGATTATAGCAATCAGTGCCATCGCAATGTTCCTCCAAAAGTGGATTGACTATTCCTGTTACCTCGCATGCATACCCTGCTGGACAAGGCTTAGCCTCCGACATACCAGCAGAATCACAGTAATGATTAACCGGACAGAACTGACAGTCGCTTTCGCTTGTTGATTCGGATAGTGGATTGTATTTCCCCGCTGCACATGCAAGTGGTTTCCTGGATCCGGTTGGACAGTAATAACCTGGTGGGCAGGAGTAACCTTCTGTCATCTTTTGAACCGGGCAGAAAAATCCAGCAGTACACTGTTCACAGGTTTCTCGATTTGAAGCAGCAGCAAAGCTTCCAGGAGAGCATGGAGCTGGGTGAATGGCTCCAATCATTGTGAAGTCGAGCAGTGTTCGCTGCTTGCAGTAATGGCCCGCTGGACAATCTTCACCTTCGGATGAACCTGCAGGGCAGAATTTACCCGGCTCACAAGGAAGTTTGTTGCCTTTTGGACAGTAGTAGCCAGGATAACATTCTTTGCAGTCGGTACTTGAGGTGGCTCCTTCAAAAAGAGTTGCAAAACCCTCATTGCATTCTTGCGGTTGAGGAGTCCCAGCTTCGCAGTAATATCCTTTAGGGCATATATTTCCTGTTACGCCGTCGATTGGATTCTTAGATTTTGAGCCTCCAGAACAGTAATAACCAGCTGTACAGTTTTGACCAGTGATTTCCATTCCACGCTCAGGGCAATATGTCCCTTCGTCACATGGAATACATTCATATGAAGATCGGAATCCTTCAGCGGGTCCATATGTTCCGGCGTCGCAAAGCTCAGGGAATATAGAGCCGGGTGGACAATAACTTCCCTTGGGACAAATTTTGATAAGCTGAGTTGCGTCCGTGAAGTCATCAGGGACAGCGTTGCCAAAATCGTCGTGTGTCCCATATTGGTCACAATAATAACCACTCTTGCAAATACTGCAACTTGTTTGGTTTACTGCAGCTTGCGTGTCAGTTATTGATCTATAAAAGCCAGGGCCGCATGGAACTGGTAGCTCACTTCCAAGTTCACAATAATGTCCTTTTGGACAAACTTTTACTCCATCGCAGTCATCCCCATCAGGAGCACCGTACAGAAGGCTTTCGCATTTGATAGCTTCGGTATCACAATAGAATCCAGCAGGGCATTTATCACACTCATATTTGTTCGAAAGACCCACGCGTTGGCCGTAAGTACCAACAGGACAGTTTTGAGGCTCGGACTGATAAGCTTTCACGTCACCTTTTGCGCACCATTGTCCAAGCGGACAAGCATCTCTCTTGAGATCTGGAATATGATCTTTTCCGCCTGCTGAGCAATCAGTTCCCTCTGGACAAACATTATAGAACCACATATCTTCATATGTTGTTGTATTTAGATGGCAATATCGTCCTTTCTCGCATATCAGACAATCTTTGGCACCATAATCTGAGTAGAAACCAATGCCGCAAACTTCTACAGAGCTTCCACCAGAGCATTTGTATCCAGCAGGGCATCTATCACATTCGCTTTGAGAAAGAATACCCGTTTGGTCACTGTAACTTCCCGGTTCACATTGAGTGAAATCTGAGTCTCCAGATCCACAGAATGATCCCGCCGGGCACACAACACAATCTTCTACACGTGACATTCCCGTCTGATTATTATATGTTCCAGCAGGGCATTCAGGTATATCTGGGTCATCGTCGTCGTCGCCACCAGTTCCTGGAGGACAAAAATGGCCAGTCGGGCATATATTTATTCCTTTGCCATCATCTATTGCACCAATCTCGCAGAATTTTCCAGCAGGGCAGGTTGTACAGTTCACAGAATGCGTGAGCATTTCTTGATTATTGAACGTTCCTTTTGGACAAAAATATGTGCCGTTCTTTGGTGTTCGCTCCATACAATATTGGCCTGGTGGACAAGGCGTTGGATGTTGACCTGCGCTCATCCAAGTGTTTCCATCAGTATGATCGCAATAATATCCTGGTGGACAGGGCTCACAATCATCCATGCTTGTTGCATTCAATCGATCATTCAAGAAGCCAAATGGACATCGCACTGGTTGAACGGTATCTGCTCCGGTGCCAATCATACAGAACTTGCCAAACTCACAGTCAAGAGGCATCGTCATTCTTTCATCGGGACAGTTTTTGCCAGCGGGACAAAGATCGCATGTGAATTGGCCCCGTCGTTCTTGATAAGTACCCTTTCGACATGGTTGAGGTTCAGCGACACCTCCAGTGCAAGTGTCCCCGTAGACTTCCCAAGGGGCGTTCATGCTGTCGCAGCAAAAATGACCAGCAGGGCAAGGGATGCATTTACTTGCGAATTTCGCTCCTCTGCCAGAATTATATGTTCCTGGAGGGCAAACTTGAGCATTTGCCATTCCTTCTTCATGACAAAAATGTCCTCTCGAGCAAGGATTGCCAGGTGTTGTCCAACCAGTTCCAGCAGGGCAAAACCGTCCTGCTTTACAATCCTTGCAGTGAGATGCATCATAAGCACCTTTCATGTCATTGTATGTTCCTCCTGGACACTGATTTATCGATGTTCCCGTGCAATAGTGCCCTAGTGGGCAAAGTTGTTTTTCTGATGGATAACCAGGGGTGGCGGGTGGGCAAAAATATCCATTTGGGCATGGCATGCAGTCGCCTAAACCAGTTAGCCCCATGTTGGGTCCATATGTTCCCTTTGGACATTCCTTAGGCGCAGGACTTCCTGGGTCACAATAGTAGCCAAGAGGACAAATGACTTTAATTTCGTTCTCCATTTCAGTTCCATCTGAAGGACAATAAAACCCAGCCTCACAATTCTTGCATGCCGATTCCAGCATATTTGAGTAAGTTCCAGGCGCACAACGAGTAAGAACATTATTACTGCATTGGTGACCGGCAGGGCACGGCAAGCAGATAGTTTGGCCTTTTTTTGAATAATAATAAGCAAGACAATCCTCTTTTTTGCCATGAGCGCAACGGCTTCCTGCTGGACATTCTGTACATTCAGTATTGCCAGTGCCCACCGTAAATGTTCCAGGAGGGCATAGAACTGGAGCCGAAGCATCCTGGGCATTGCAGAAATATCCAGTTGGGCAAACATGACAATCCATATCTCCGATATTCGAATATTGCCCACCGTTGCATTGCGCTGCACTATTCGAAGTGCAACGATAGCCAGCTGGACATTCTTTACACCAAGTGGAGCCTGTGCTGTCCTGATAATATCCATGTTGACAAGTAATAGGACTTCCCATTTCAGGATAAGGGCACATACTTCCAATTGGACATTGAGCACAGTTTCTGTTATTTGAATAAGTCCCAGGCTGACAAACTGTAAGTGGATTATTGTTGTTATCACATGCGTAGCCATCAGGACAGGCAGCATAAATAATTGAGGATGTTTTCGTTGCGCAATATTGAATACTTCCTGATGTCTTCAGTTCTTGATTAGCTTTGCATCGATATGGAATGCCTCCAGTAGGGCAAACATGCTCAGTAGGACATGGAGAGCAAGTCATTTCACCAAGAGCCGAATATTGACCATCAGGGCAAACTGTAGAGTCAGAACTCGTCGTGCTACAAGAGTAACCTTGTGGGCAAGGATCACAGAACGCAGTGCCATCTTTTGGATAACTTCCATCTGGACATGCAAGAGAATCGCTCCAGTTTGTGCAAGAGCTCTGTCCAGCGGCTGCATGTTCACCTTCAGGGCAATCAACAGGCAAAGCAGCTCCGCCAGCACAAGAATAACCTTCCGGACAATCCATGCATTCATCAGTTGAAGAGTATTGATCTCGATATTTTCCAGCAGCGCAGTCATTTCCAGTTACACAGTCTTTGCCAGCATCACATTTTTGCACGCAGACATTGCCGCTTACGATCTGATTTGTGTTGCAGAATTCGACGACTCCATTTTTATCGCAAACAGCATTACTTGGACAACTTGTACATTTAGTACAGTAATCGTGCTCGCAAAAACTTGAAGAAGAGCTGCAAGGATCCGTACTGCTACCGCCAGGACAACTAAAGGCATCTCCTCTTACGCATGGTGTGCAGTCGCTAAATCCGCCAGTTGTGATCGTTCCATAAGTTCCAGGAGGACAAGTAACTGCACCAATACCGATAACCTCGCCAGACTTCACAGAACATTGCTGTTCATTATTAGCACGAGATGTCCCAGCTGGACAAGCGGGTTGGGTGTCATCGTGATTACCATACTCCCATCCTTTTATGAGTTTGAATTTATTTTCATGAAAAGGTTTCAACAAAATAAAACACTTTAAACGATGACCAAGAAAATTGGAACTTACTCAGAAAATAAATTCGAACTCATTCCTGAACTGAGTCCAATATTACTTGTCGGTTTGCACCGATATCCATCATTTTCCATATTCTTTGGACAAGTCGTGCAGCTGGTCGAATCATCCTTGCAGTTTAACTCCATTCGGCGGTTGTCGACTTCATTGCAGTATTCCTTTGGCCCGCATTTAAATTGATTCGGACCATTGAATTGCGCATTACTGGCATACACCAGTATGTACAATATTTTCTTCATAGTTTAAGTTTTTTCGTTCTTCATAAGTATCTCTAAGTTGAAAAGAAATTAAAAAGAGATTTCGTTAGAAGATGGATTTTTTGTATTTTTTCGTTGTCTAGCTACTTTGTTTGCGGAAGAGCAATTGAGAGTAAAAATGCGAATGTCCGTTCAAACAATTGTACTCTCCACGACGACTGCGCTTGGCCTTTGACAGCCACAATGAAGTAATCAAAGAAGAAATTTCCAGCACTGTTCTTTATTTGCCCGCCCGCCTATTCATGCTGACAGCTATTGGAACTTTTAAAGTTAATCTGCGAAGGCTGAAGAAGAAAAGACTGAAATAATTTTCATTTTTTATTGGAAACTATCCGTTTGATTTTAAGTTAATATCATAAAGAAACATGCAGCAAGTAAAGTTTTAAAGTGGGTTGTAAGATTCTTCCCAGAAGACAAGGGAGTTACCAGAGCTATTGTGGATGACGGAAATGTTGAAGTTGATCTTTTCCGAATCAGAGTCGTCTTTTTCTTCGAGGAATAGCGATTTTGGTGTGTTGGTCGAGTTTTTCTGAAGCTTCAGCATTTTCTTCAGCTTATTCTTGATCTTTTTGATGGGCGAGTTTTTCGGAACTTCCTCATCGAGTACTAAAGAAAAGCGGCGGACTTTTTCGGAGTAGTCGTCGTCGATTTGAAGGCGAGGGCCGGAGTTGAGTCGAAGTCGGACTGGTGAGGCAGTGATGGTCATACTGAGGCTCTGTAGAGAGTTTGATAGAAGCTTTGTTTTTTACACTGTGAATGTGAGTTTGATGCTAAGTTCAAAATCTCTTTGCTTATAAAGGCGAGCACCAGGTGCTCAGGTGGAGCTAACGCAGCGAGCAGCTTTTTGCTAATTATACTTACCACCTGCGATTAATTCTCGATAAAAAAAGTTCATCTGATAAGAGAATCCGCACAAGGTGCAAGTGCTATAATTCTCGGATAATAACTGATATGAACGTTTGATTGTGCTTTAGAATTTCACACAGATACTTGCAAGTACTTTTGGAGGGCATTTTTTCTTTATTTACAGTTTTGGGAGGATGCTTATAAATTATCGACTCGGTTGACTTCTTCTGAATTGCTGAGGAGTTGCTGCAGGAGTTGTTGTTCGCTAGAATTGATATAAAATTGTTAAGCAAAGAGATGAAACTAACAGATCGTCGAAATTGATTCTTTCTCTTTGCATAATTCCACAGATCAGCCATGTTGCTGGACTTGCTGCAATCATCCCTGACGTCCGTCGACATCATGTTCAGTGAAGCTTTATTACGTCGTAAAGACTGCGTGAGACTTTTATGGAAGTGGTCGATTCTTTTCGATTTTTCTTTTGTAGGTTCGTTGGTGAGCTCTTCTGGTCTGAGCTTGCACTCATCCTTGTCGAGGTTGTAAAGATAGTTGAACTCGAAGACGATGATCGGGAGAGAAAATGCTTTTGTGGACTTAAAAATCACTATCAAATATTCATTCCGTGGATTGAAATAGCCCTTGCCCATATCAAGCAATCCAAGAATCGCACAGCAAGTTCCGAAAAATCTCCCAAGGGGCGACACAGGAACATAGTCGCCGTAACCAACAGTGTACATTGTAATCAGAGCATACCAGGTAGAATCAATCATATCGTGAAATTGGTTGCCCTCGTATCCTTGCTCGACGATAAAGATGCAGACGGCAAAGCATAGCGCAATCGAGAGCTGGATTATCGCAAGTTGGAGGAGCATTGGCGCAGAATGATAGACAGTAGTCGCTTAAAATGGTTCAGATTTTTGCATGGAGAATAAATTAGATTCATCATTGAACCATCCCTAAAATTCTAAGCGATCTTGAGTAATTCGACAGTTTAAAAATCCTGACAATTCTTGTAAGTCGGAAGATCTTCAGCGTGGAGCTAAAACTTGAAGAAGTGCCGTTGCCCGCAATTAGCATAATGAAATAAGGGAGAATGGCGATCACATCAATTATATTGAGCCAATCTTTCACAAAAGACCTTTTCTGATCGCAGGACATAAATCTGGCAATATACTCCAGCGCGAACCAAGAGTTGAAAATCGTCTCTAATTATAAAAATTAAGAATCTAATCAGAGCCCTTTTGACTCACCCATAATAAACAGAATATGGTCGACTGAAAACTTTGGGCAGTCTCCTTTATGATTTGCCTTTGTTCTTATCTCAGAATCGGTCGTGTTATGACACTTGTCCAACTTCTGCGAAAGCGTTTCTAGCGCTGGCAAACTGTCGATGCAAAGCATAATGATAGACGAAATCGTTATGACCATAGAAATGACCGAATAACAGAGCGCAATTTTAGAACTCTGCGGATCTTCTAAGCATTGCCAAATTTTGAACTGCACTTTTTCTAATTTCGATTTGAACTTGGTTTTTTCTTTGACAGTTTTCTCCTGCTCGACCATCAGAAGACCTTCATCATTTAGAAACCCTTCGAGTCCCTTCTTATCCAAGTTGTAATAACATAGCTCGTTGACGAAAATGTCCAAGGGAATGTCTTGTGGTCTTCTAAGGACTCCATAAACGAAGTAGTCGAGAACGACTTCAAATGTGGGCCGATGTCTGTCGATAAAATAATCTCCATGTTCAATCGAATAGAATCGCCGCCTTTTTCTCCAGGTTCCGAGAATGCATTCAGGAAAACGATTCAGTGATTCAACGTCGACTTCATATCTTTGTCCGCAGCAGTTGAGGATGATGTTCTCTGACGGATGTTTTCTCCTGGCAGAAGGAGAAATGAAAATATCTCTAGAACGAATCGAGGCTGGCGTCGAAGAAGCGGAGGACGAATAAACCGACGAAAATGGACTGTCTCTTTTGTTGGAAGTCGTTGAAGAGCGGCAAGTTGCTTCTTCCATTGCTTCAATTCTCTACGCTTCCCTATGCGGGCCTCATCTTTTCATTCTCAGCCGATGGGATTGATTGAGAATACGCACTTAGATAATTGATAATCATTTAGAAAGCGCCCGAGTTGTAGCCTAACGGTGACACTTGGTTGATTTGATCAATGCCTAAAATAGTATACGTCAGCTGATGCCCTACTTTTTAATACATAAGCTGGTAAGGAGTCATTTCGGAATATTTAAAGCCCTAAAAAGGGCTTTGTTTCTCCGTGTATCCGTTTTGCGGTGAGTTGACGATTTTCCATCTGTCGGTCAACGAAGTTCTGAGAAAGGGGGAGATTCGCCCTTGTCTTTATAATTGGGGTCCAGCTTCAAGACATTTTCTGTCAATAATGTGCTTTAATGAATGAGTCTTGTTTATATAGCCAGTGCTGAGAAACTAAAGCTTTTATCTAGAGACTTCTTGGTCGTTTTTATAGCTATATTTTCCGCTCTAGAATTTTTATTATCCGCCGTGAACTCGTCAAAATTTTAGTTTATTTGCACTAAGATTACCTTGAAGGCTAGACTAGAACACTCTGATGGCTGCACTCTTCTGGTGGGAATCAACCAAATGGAAGGTGGTAGATGTGTTGGTATTTAAAAGTTCAGCTGGCTATTATTAAAAAAATAATGAGCGTTCTGAGTATTTCACCCGATGTAATCCCTGTTACTCCTCCGCCAGCTTGTCCGTATGTCAAGAGAGTATAATTTATTATTAACTTGCTTTGTAAAAACTCGGCTATAATAAGTTTTATTCAAGGGACTTGGACAAATTTGAAATTTGCATTTCTCAATGTGCAACAGACAAAGATGAATGCAAGAACTTCTGCACTCCAGACGACTACACTTGCGGAACAAGATGCGATGCTGCGTTCCTCGAGTGTCAGAGCTCATGTCCATGTGACACCGAATGTCCTCAAGGCTGCGCTGGATGTGGCAATCCAATTTGCACAGCCTCCGACTATCTCCTGATTTTGAACGCTTACCGTGCTTATGAAAATGTTGGCTTCTTGCTCGATTTAGAAAAACAAAGCTTCCGTTATGCAAACATCGACTACAAAACAGACTTCTTTGACATTGATGACGCCTGCTATGCTTTTTATCAAAGGAGAACACTGGATTCTCGGAGGATATTACATCGAGCGGCAAATGGTCAAATTTGACGCTGACAGTTGCGAACTCAATCTTCAGTCGAGTTTGCTGGAGATTGGACATATTGACGGAATGTGGGGCTCTTGCGCGGTTTATAATGACTTGGCTCATTTGTGCTTCGACGAAGAGGGTGTTGTTTTGGGTTTCATTTTCGAACTATGTTTCAGAACTCTAGTGCAAGTTTGAAACCTTTTAAAGATGAGTTCAGCTGCCAGACTTTTGATGGTGAAAATCAAAGTGTCATCGATGCGAAAACAGCCTATCCTCATGATTGGGCGAGCATGGCAGTTTATAACGATAAAATGTGGGTTGTCGGAGGATGCGACCCTGGTGAATTCGAATGCACGAATAAAGTGGAATCTTACGATGGCACCTCATGGCAACTGGGAACCGATCATCCCACACCAGAACTAAAGGGCCACTTAGTGATGGCCGAATCACATGGTCTTTATGTTTGTGTTAAAAGAGTCTATTTAGAAAACTTCCAAGGAATATCATTTTAACGCAAAAAGACAATTTCAAAGGGTTACAATGGCCAAACAGTTCATCGATTCAACGGCTCGGTCTGGACAGTTCTTGGAAGAATGTCCGATGCGCAACAGAGCTACGATGATGTCAACTCAGGCAAAATCGTCAACGGATATGCTTACGCGGGCACAGAGTGAGTTCTGACAATGATATTATTGTGAAACAAATTTTAGTGCGATCGACAGGATAAATATGAGTGAGAGCTACTTCTACTCTGTTAGCTTGGGAAAAGATCCTGATGGCAGGGACTTTTGGCTCTACTATTCACCGATGATTTTGGTCGAAGGACCGCTTTGTGGAGCTTGATGCGACTATAAAACAGGCTATTTACTCTTTTCCATTCGATGAAAATTGTCTAATATATAAATTAGTTTTTTGCGCAGAAGTTTTTCCTTACACTGTTCTGAAAAAAATGAATAAACACGGTATATTTGCGGTGTTGATACGTATCTTATACCCAACACCGCAAAATAATTGTTGAGCGAATTGTTGAATATGAATTTTGAATGAAAAAATATATAATCTAAGGATTCAGATAGGATAGATCTGGAAGTTGCGCCAATAAGTTCTATGTCGAAGTCAAAAAGCCGAGAAATCTCAAACGATAAAATTATTGAATAGACTTTTTGACATCTCCTTTGCTCCGTTACTCATGGCGTTTTTCGTAGCAGACTGTTCTTCCTTATCTTTTCTGATCTTTTCTAGCTCGGCCTCTCTCTCCTTCTCCACATCTAAATGATAATAAGGCGGATAAGTGTGGGGGAATAGGAACCTCGGGTTAGTTGAAGAAATTTTGGCATTATGTACTCGAACATCTTTTTCGTGGCGGAGGAGTTCCAGGTGAGATCTAGCGCACTAGCGTTGAGAAAATCGTTTAGCTTGTCTATTGACTCCTGTCTCTCTTCCCAGGCGTATTGAGTCTTTTCTGGCTCTTCTTGCTCATACGACGTTGCAGCTATTGAACAATCATTAGCTGGGAAAGGCGAAGCAAGTTACCTTTTAGTTCCTCCCATACTGGTCCAAGAGATACAGGCTCCAAATCATTCACTACTTCTGGCACTTGCGGCGGCGGCGCAACCGTTTGCGAAAAGTCTCCAAAGTCATCATCGCCTCCGAAGTCGCCGAAATCATCATCTCCTGCTTCGTTTGTCTCTCCGAAATCCCCAAAATCATCGTCGTCACCATCTTCTTGTGGTTGATTTGCGTTTGCATGTTCACCGAAGCTCGCGTTGAATTCAACACTTGGATTTGCTGTAGCTTCGCCGAACCCGCCGAAATCGTCTTCTAAAACTACTCCTTTGCTTTTATCTTCACCTCTTCTGGTTTTATTTTTGTCTCAAGAGACTAAAGAATGTATTTTCAAGAAAAAAAAATGAAATTAAAACCGTCCCTGCAGTATTGAAAGCATCGTCAAAATCGCCAAAATCATCATCATTATTTGGTTCTTTCTCCACGGTTTCAATATCTCCATAGATTGACGCTTTCGTGTCTACGCCATTTTCTGTACAAGTATTAGTGTCATCTGTTGCTTCGGGATTAGCTTCAGTTATCTCTTCTGGATCATCTTCATTAATTTCAGGTTCGTGTTCTCTTTCTTCTATCTTCATTTTTTCAAGGTTAAGTTCTTCCAGCTCTGCTTTTGAAGGTTCATTTTCAGGTGATACTATTCTCTCGAGCGTTTGAAACTGTTCTACCGCTTTATCAACGCTAGAATAAAGCTTTGAAAAAGGTCAATTGTGGCGGCTTTACTTTTGAATTTCTTCTTCTGATTCGGAATTGTCCGTTTTTCTCATTGTCTCACATTCCACACGATTCCAGTCTGTGAAATCCGAGTAACAATAGCACCTACTTTTAGTCGCTTCTTTATTTTCCCCGCGAGTTTTACGGGGCGAGTTTGAATTGCAGAGCATGAATGAGTTTGAGCTGCACAGAAAACAAGGTAGAGATAGGTTGAAGAATTGGCATGAAACAGAACTTTTAAATTGCATTTTATAAATCTATGGCCTTCTTGTCGATAGTTGTTTCTTGGTTGTTTGAAAAATTAGCATCAACGGAGCATATTGCGATGAATTGATAGGTTGACCGTAAACAGAAAGAACGGAGAGTAGTTAATCAACGATGTGGTTGTATGTTACAAAGCTTATCGCCAATACGGTCCAGATAAGAACAACAATGATAGTCCAGTTAGAATTGATCCTCAGTCGATGAGGGTTTTTAGCCTGTGGATCCAAAGCAGCCACGCTTTTTCGAGCATAATAAACCAGGGCGACGGGTATCACGTACTGGATTCCAGCGCCGGCGTAACTGAATTTTCGTTGTTATTCCGAATCCCTCGACTGTATTACCTTCCAGTTATACCAACGAGTGATTCAAGATTGTCGGTAAAAAAAGCAAGAATGATAGGCGGGCCCATCGCTAAAATGGGAAAGAAGATCTTCCACACGAGTCGCTGATCATCGTCCATGGCAAAGAGTGAGCGAAGGTTATTCCTCAGCGTGACTGTAATGATTGGGAATGATGTAGACAGAGTGAGGACTGGAAACAGCGCGAGGAAGTAGCGGAGAAAATCGCTGCTGCATACTTGGCAATCGAGAAGGAAGTTCAAAGTATACAAGTCCTAAAATAGGGAGTCAAATAGAAGAGATGAATTTTCTATGAAAAGTTACCTGGATAGTTTTGTGGTCGAAGCAGAATGCAGCGGTGATGCAAAGAAGCATATAAAAAGTAAGAACAAGTAAGAAATCCCCCGTGAGCATTTTCGTCAGTTTGGACTTTCTCGAAATCGGCGTCAAAAGAGCAGGAAGCGAGTGCTGGCACATGAATGAGTAGACTGCCACGCCGAATAAATTTGGTACAGCAGAAATGTCCGCGACGACTGGAGTCACAGAATTTCCATTAGCGATGCGCATGATTGCTAAAGAAATAAGAATATGCTTTGGAGTCTTTCTTTACCTAAAATGATCATCGAAAGAAACGAGATCCAGCGGACGAGGGAAGTGACCAGTTGAAGAAGTTTCGTTTTCGAAACGTCGAAGAAAGCGAACGGTCCAAGGATGCCAATGAAAACGCCTAGGACCATGTGATAAACAGTTCTACGCGACGAGCGCTCAAGAAATTTCGAATGAAAGCCAGGGCTAAAAACGTTGATGAGTTTGGTCACATAGACACGAGTCTTACGTGCAGGGAAGATTGAGATTGTTGTCCGGGAGCGTCATGTTCGGGCGGCAAGTGAGATTGTTGCAGAGAATCGAGACGACATTCTTTGGCACAGCTACGGCGTAAATCGCCAAATCCCCGTAAAGATAGATCACCATACACGCATAGAAGAGAATGATCCCGTAACGATTGAAGAACATCTTCGCCATCATTCCCAGCTCGACTCGCTATAAAAAATAACTCATTTTTCATTTTTCTAATTCAAAAAATACCTCGGAAATTTGAAAAAGTTCTTTGTTCCTGCTCGCCTGTCTAGGCAAAAGAGGATCTTGGTCGTCATCATACGCATTTGGGCTTTCTTCTCCATTTTCGTTGTCTAGCAATTGAGAGTTGACCGAACTCGAGCTTCCAGAAACATCAGCCGGTTGACGTCGCCGCTTGGCTTGAATCTTCCGAACAGCGTTTGCACCAGACATCGCTTCGACAATACAAGTGCATGTGATGAACGAGAATATGCATAAAAGACATAGCAGAGGGACAGAAATTGCCAACCCAGCTGTAGCGACTGCTAACGGCATCGTTAGAGCTCCTGTTTTCGGGTTTTTTTGAATTCAATTTTCAAAGAAAAAATATTGCCAAAAGTACATTTGAAGATAGAAAAACCCTTTCCTGTTCCAACCATAAGATTTGAAACATAAACGAAGCCCATATAAATACTGTAACTTCCTTCTCTTGCCTTCTCCCCTGCATTTCCGCTGCTCGGCATTTTATTTATCGTGAGATACTGTCGATTTTTTCAATTTCTCTCCCCGTTTTTCTTGTTCGCTGTTTTCTCACTACCTCATGAAAATAGACTGCTGACCTGATGACCTCCGGGCGTGGGAAAGGAGGGAAAAATGAGGGCGGAGGACTTCCGCGCTGGAAAATTACATTTTTGCTTGAAGGCGGAGCGCGATTTTTTTCGGAACAACAGTCGAGATAATGTTGAACTTGTTCGGATTTTATTTGATAAAGATTTGAGCTGTTACAGTAAAAAATTGTTAACGGTAAAAATTGAGAAGTCACAGCGGCTCAGAATCGTTCTTCGTGTTGGTGGTCAAGTTCGTCTGGAAGAAAGAAAATGTGAATGTTGTGGAAACCAGTGGACTTACTTTCCATGAGTCGGAATTTGGACTCAGTGTCGGTGTCGGTTGCGCGCGTTCGCCGGTTAGGGAGCACCCAGAACTTGTAGATTGCTGCGCAGAGCACCATGAAGACGATGAGGATCAAAATGATCATGAAGCTAGTGGCGTGCTCCTCGTCCATCGGCGGAATCTAAAATATACTCATATTGAGCCTCGAATGAGTTCTGCTTCGCTCTTACGTTGTGTGTCATTCCAGGGAAGTAAAACATGGTCCTGCCATCAATCGTCTCGTTACCAGTGCTGTTGAACGAGGTGGTAAGGTTCTCTAAGTCATTGTTCAACCAGTCCAAGTCCAGCATCGTCTTTCCAGCAGCTGTATCATTCCCTGTCTGGTTGAAGGCACTTGTGATCTCCTATTCAAGTATTTTATGCCTGTATGAAAAGTCACTACTCACAAAAACGGTTGGCACTGTAGCGTTCATCATATCACTGGCTGTGGTTCCGACGGACATCTCAAATAAAATGCGCCAAAGTGAAAATTTTTGCCGGTAAGAGTGGCCTAATCGAAGCGAAATCTTCGCTGCTGGAGGGCCACGGCCAGGTGCAGTATTTGAAAACAGCTCGCAATTCAGATTTTTCACTCGATTTTTAGATGAAAACAAAGGTTCTCAAATTTGTGTTGTCCTCAATTTTTGATAAGTCAAGCATTATGGACAGAAATTCAATATTATTCTAACACGACCGAATTTCAGAATGGCAAATGTATTAATAATTTCACTTGCTTTTGAGTAATGACAATCGAAACGAACGATTTTCAAAATTTTAGATGCCTAGTAAGGTAAAATAAACAGTACGTCAATAGTCTCTGTAAATAGAGAGAGTATCGAATAAGAATTCGCTGTAATTCACCATCAGTCAAAGAGAACTTGATAATGATAGAGGAAGAGGTAGCGGATTTCAAAGAAAAACTTGAGCGGCTCAAAAATCTTCCAAATCCAAATCCAACTTTCAAACCAAGACCTCTGAATCAACCCAAGAAGAATGACCTTTCTGATGAGGAAGATGAAGATGTTCAGGAAAATGATCCGGTGAATGAAGGCCTCGAGAATTTTCAAAATCTTTATAACGTAAACCCAACTTCCGAGTCAAGTCCCCACAATCACATCAAGGAAAGTCACTGCGCCGAGGAGAGTGATGAGCCAGAAAGGCCGCCGACGAAACCAGCAAGACATGATGAACTTTTTGGGAAAGCATTTTCTTTTAGCAAGTAAAAATATAAATCATCCGTTGAATATTTGAAAAAAATCCCAAAGATGCTTGTCTCTCCTGCCAAAGGACAAACAATGGATGATGTTCAAGAAAATGAGCCAGTAAAACCAGCAAAGCATGATACACCACTTGTTCCGACGCATAAACCCGCACCTCCAGAGCCGCCTGTTCCGCTACCACGTCATTCAAAACCAAGAATAACAGATGCTGAGCTGCAGCAATCAAAATCTTCTATGATTCGACATGTCACAAATGATTCGGAACAGAAAGATCGAGAAATAAGAAAACTGAAGCGGGATAACTTTGAGAAAGATCAAATCATTAGCATGATGGAGACTGAAATCGGAATCTTATACGAGCAAATCAAATGGTGAGGGAGAGAGGCTTTTCCTATCTAAATCTTTTTAAGAAAAACGAAAACAAGCAAGCAAGAAAAAATAATCTTCATGAACTGATCAAGAATGCAATCAAGAACGAATTTCAATCACAGGTACTCAAAATCATAAAAGAAAACCACTCGATCATATCGCTTAGGACTCAAGAACAAATCAACTTGAAGCGGAAAAAGATGATCTTGAGCTCCTTGTCTCATGTAAAATTTGCCTCACGAATAACATCAACGCTACCCTCGGTTGTGGGCACGCATTTTGCTTTCAATGCTTGAAGAAACTCCCCAAGACGCTTGTGTTTCCCGCCAAACGATTGACCACTTGCCCAGTTTGCTCAAAACTCTCACTTATTTTCAGACTGTACTTATAATTTTACTTCCCCAATTTTTTGCTGACAGAAGTGGAATAAAAAAAGAAATATTTTTCTTATAAAAGTGGGTATCTATGAAATTTATCACATTTTTCATTCCTTCCTATATTATCCTTATTAAGGTATTTTCTTTGTTCCTGTGCCTCTGGCGGCCCCTGGCTGACCAGGATAAACTCCAAAACGCGCGGCAAATAAACTAAAACAGAACAGACCCAAACAGATACAATAACAAAGAATAGCCAAAGCAGCCAGAGCCGAATTCTACATTTTTGCCTTCTCTTCATTCGTAAGTACTTTTGGTTACGGTATTGCTTTTATCACCGTCATTTATTATCGAATGATCAATTGGTGTTATGATAATAAAAATGTTTCCTTTCTTTGCTTAAAAAAGAATCGCCTATTTTAAGCTATCCTGGATTCTGGATAAGACTATCAGTCAATTAGCACCTGAAAATGATTGACAAACGCCTACCGAGTTTTAAAGAACGTCTCGAGAAATTTCAAAATCCACTAAATTTGCAGCCAACGGAAGAGGATGATGTTGAGGATAGTGGACCCGTTGAAAGAAGAAGGAACTCTGATTCAGAAGTTCGGCCACCGCTGCCTCCAAAGCCAACAGAAACGATTACCGAGCGACGGCAATCAACATCGTCGACGATCACAAACACGTCGGAAAATAAAGACAGAGAAATAAGAAAGCTGAAGCGGTTTTACTTTGAACAAGATAAAATTATAAGCATGATAGAGACAGAAATCGGAATTTTAAATGGACAAATCGAATATCAGGTACTAAAATAAAAAAAACACTCAGTAATGTTGCGCAGGAAAGAAGGATGAATCATCTGGAAGCAGAAAAAGACGATCTTGAAGAATTGGTCACGTGTAAAATTTGCTATACGAAGAAAGTGAACGCTACTCTCCTTTGTGGCCATCCATTTTGTCATAGATGTCTGAAGAAATTACCGAAGACGGTAGGACGTACTGGCGAACAATTAACAACTTGTCCATTATGCTCAAAACGTTCACCTTTTTTCAGGCTGTATTTGTAACTTTGCTTTGCATGTATGTCATCAATATGATAAATGCACTGAATTTAGTTGGCAATAAACTATTCCTTCGGCAAATAAATGCTCAAAGTCTGGATCTCAAGAGTAGAGCAAATATCGTCAAAAACGAAAAATGACTATTCTTTTATCGTTGAGTAAAAGGGAAAATGACATTTCTCGGGCAAATTCCAACGCGTGAGTCTTAGTCGTTTTTACGGAGAGCGGGCTTTCATTGGACCGGCGAAGGGAAAATTTTTCCCTTAGTAGTTTAACTACTAACTTTCCCGAACGCCCTTTCGTCAAAGCTGCCAGAGTCGAGTTCTGTATTTTTACTTTCTTTATTCGTAAGAAAGGAAAAATACAGGCGACTTGGGCAAACGGAGACCACTCGTCAACAAGCATTTGAAAATGATAGACCAACGCCTGCCAAGTTTCAGAGAACGCCAACAGATGTTTCAAAATCCTCGAAATTTTCGCGCAACTGCAGCTGATGCTGTCCAGAGAAATGAACCCGATGAAACAGCAAGGAATGATAACCATCTCCAAAGCGTAAACCAAAACCCCCATCGCGTACATTTTCAAAAAGGAAAAAGGGTACTCACACCGAGGAACAAACGAACGAGGGGGCGATAAGACCACCACTCCCTCCAAAACCAAGAAAAACGACAGTTGAGCTACAGCAAGCCCCATCATCGATGACCATTTCATCTTCCAGTTCGTTCGAAGAAAAAGACCAAGAAGTAAGAACACTGAAGCGAGAAGTTTTTGAGAAAGATAAAATTATTTGCACGATGGATAGCATGATGAATCAACTGGAAGCGCAAATCGGAACCCAAAACGATAAAATCAGAAATAAGGTAATGAACTTGAAGAACAAAACAGTCAATAACTTTGCTCAGGAAGCAAGGGTCAATCATCTGGAAGCAGAAAAATACAATCTTGAAGAACTGCTTACGTGTAAAATTTGCTATACGAACCGACTCGACGCTACTCTCTGCTGTGGCCATGCATTTTGTCATACATGTTTGACAAGATTTCCGACGACGGCGGATGATGCTTTTCGCGAACAATTAACAACTTGCGCATTATGCTCAAAACGTTCTCGTTTCTTCAGGCTGTATTTGTGATTTTACTTTACTGTTTGTCACTAACGAAAATAGTCCCTTAAATTGGTGCAGCTAAGCAAACAAACGGTGCCGCAGATTTTAGGCATTTTGAGACAAAAAGTCCCTTATCCGAGACTCCTGCTGTAATGGCTAATGCCCTATTCTGTTATGTCTGTTAGATCAGATCTACTTAGATCTATCTTGATAGTAAGATTCTTCTCAACTTGACTCTATGAATCATAGTCTATGATATTTACTCTGTCCCTCAGTCGCGTGTATGACCGATACCGTATCGGCGATACGTTTTCTTCAATAATTTATACTGCATGACAATCACGGAAATAAAATCCCTCAACTTTTGTAGATAAATTATTACCATTAAAAATATCAAACAGGAAGACGCCTTAAAAGCTGACAGACGTCTCAAAGTCATCTAAACCTTTTCTCATATGTTTGTATATTTGAGTAGTCTTACTGTAATCTGGGCGGGCCATTTGTGGCTCAGTGGATTAAAAAGTGACAAAAACCGCGGATCAGAGGAGACATTGATTTCGTGGCTCTGATCAAATGGAAGGGACAGGAATCCGACGAAGCCCTGATTGATGTCAGTTCCACCAACACAAACACACATTCATATACGTGATAAGCTTATTAATATCGCGGATTATCGCCACATGGTGGCGGAAACGTACCGCCATTAAGGTCACACTAATGGTGCGTTACTGTAGCGCGCCAGTTGACAGTAAGCTTCACCAGCAAGAGGACTGAAAATAAAGGCTCAAAACCAAAACGATTTCTCAAGTTTACTAAATCAAGTTAAGAAACTTATGTCTAGAAAATAATTCTTCAAAATGCACTTGATGCGAGGGGAGAGTCAATCAATCATGATGCGCGCGTTTTGGAAAGTTGGAAGGTGTCATTTGAAGGATCAGGTGCGCGAAAACAGGAAACGATCTGACAGAGCCGATAGCATCAGAAACATCCAAACTCGTGTCAAAGTAATAACCAAGTCTTCAATTATCCAAAAGGATTTATTTTACGAAAAGAGCTTCTTGATGAGTTTCTGACCAGATTCTTGACTCCAGAAATCAGACAAAGACTAAAGATCAATTCATAGTCAATACGTTTCCATTATCCTTCAATTTGGTCGTCGGTGGCTTCCAATACAAAAGCTAACCCTAACCCTGTCAGTTTCAAAAATGACCAGAAGAGTCTTCCGAGAAGAAAAACTTCTGTATCTTAAAGGCACCGAGTTAACCTTCGATCCTAAAAGCGCTACAAAGAATGTTTCTTGCTCTCCGCCAAGAACATAATTCCATCTCTCGGCGGGAGATCATTATTCGAATCAAATCCAAAGAGAAAATTATAAGCTTGGCACACTGTCGGAAACACGGATTAATGCAAATCCCCAAATCGATTCTTGAAAGAACTGAAAGAATTGGAAAGATTTTCGCGGAGATATGTCACGCGGCGCCGTTCGATGGCGCTGTTTTTGCTCGTCTCATCTATCACTGAGCCAATCTGATAGAGTCTCACTTTCAGAACACCTTCGACGAGCCAAATAAGGTCCTAGAAATTTTTTAAGTATGGAGCAGCTCAAAGATTTGCCACAACAACCTGTGATTCCTATTTCGCCGATTTCAGAGAGCTCTGGGTAAAGCTATCGTTAAAAGAGATCAACAACGCTTGAAATTTTTAATTTAGGTCGAGTTCGAATATCGCCTTGAACAACTTATTAATACAGAGACAAAACCTCGAGCGGATTCGAAATCTTGGTTCACTTATTGCAGCTTCAAGGGGAATTCAAATCCCTTTAGTTACTTTTCCTGCTCAGCCAAATGTAAGTTTCATAGATTCCACAAGTTATGAACAGTTCTTCTCAGTTTGCCGTCCAGCACGTGATCAACATCTGTTCGACATTAGAAGATTGCGGGGACATTGACCGACTCGGACAGTATCTTTGGAGTTTACCGGCTTTGCCGGCCGTACTGGACGCTCTTTCAAAGAATGAATTCCTAATCCGCGCTCGAGCTGTGGTCGCCTTCAAGCAGGTCAATAATACCTCTAAGATACCTCTAAATATTCCATTAGAGCTTTGCTTCTGGCATCAGATCTGTGTATACTTTTTTGATTTTTCTTCTCTAGGGAAACTATCGGGAGCTCTACGCGCTTATAGAATCAAGAAGATTTTCAAACATTCATCATGCCAAGTTGCAAGCTCTTTGGCTTGAGGCACATTACGGGGAAGCTGAGGCAGCGAGAGGAAGACCTCTTGGTCCAGGTAAAAATAGCTTTGTTCTGAAAAATGAAAACCTCGAATCTTCCAAAAAAATTTTTTTTGCAGAAATTCTCATCCTTGATTTCAGTCGACAAATACCGCGTGCGCAAGAAACACCCGTTTCCATCAACAATCTGGGATGGTGAACAAAAATCTCATTGCTTCAAAGAGCGAACTCGAACAATCTTGCGAGAGTCCTACCTCAAGGATCCATACCCAAATCCTTCGAGAAAACGAGAGCTCGCGGAAGCCACCGCGTTGACTCCAACTCAGGTGGGTAACTGGTTCAAAAATAGAAGACAACGGGATAGAGCTGCTGCTGCAAAGCACAGGTATTTTTTTCCATCCAAAGTAAAGGTTGATAATTTTCATAGAGCACAGTCAATTGGGGCAAGACAAGATCTTAATGAAGATCGAAAACCGGCCGTCGAAGAAGAAGACGACCTCGAAATATCGGTTTTTGAAGAAGACGATCTTTGAATAATGCCGCACGTTTTGTAAATTTTTGAATAAAATTATTTTTTACTGTTGTTCTTGAGCTAGGAGTTAGGTTTTCAAAAGACATATTTTACAGTTTTCACAATTGACTAATTATATTTATTCATAAATAGACTATAAGCAGTTTTTCTTGCGGCTTTTGTCCGGCTTTTGCGTATATATCTGGGCTTGCGATCTAAACCCCCGTCCAGTGAGGATATTCTTGAAGGTTTTCTTGAACGTCTAAAAATCATTTTTTATCTAAGATTCTATCAATTCTGCCTTTCACCTTGTTACAAGCAGCATAACAGGCTGGATTCAATGTTGAATTCAAATAGCAGAGCCAGTATCCTAAAGCCCAGGCCCAGTTCGGAATCGATTCAAAACCATATTTAGAGGCATACAATGCCATTATATTATACGGCGACCACAGCAATATGAAGACTGTAATGATCGCAAATAACAATCTCGCCGCCCTTATACAGAGTTAATTTGGTATTCTGTCGTTCGGGTTTTAGGTCAGCTGCTGATTGGTTTTATAGGCCGAAATGGAATAATTAGTTGTTTTAGACCGTAACTTTGTTCTTTGTTCAGACTGAGATGGAGCTTCTTCGCTTTCGGAATTGATTTTGCTTTCGGGGAGAATTGAGCAGAGCACTGGGAGTATCTTATTCTGAAGTCCCTTTCTGAATATCGGTTCTAATGGAGTAATTACCCATTGTGAGCACTTTGCGCAAGTAGATGGCCGTTCGATTCCGGTTGCCTTTCCATTAGCTCTTCAGAAATGTCAGACCCGTTGAAAGACTGAATGGTCAAATGCCTTCGAATCTGCTCGGGAGTCGGAGTATTCGATCCCGAAAAGTCTTCAGTCTGCGTCAAATTAGCGTTGTTTCTAAAAATTTCACGATTCCACTTCCTGAAAAAGAAAAAAAAAATATGACATACGCTGATTCCAATCCCTCATGTGAGATACTCGCAACAACAACTTGCGAGCCATCGCGCTCCCCATTCACAATTTTCCTCATCGTCCTAATGACAGCTTCTACGCTTCTTCTGGCGATTGTAAACTTTGTCTCGTCATCCGTTACGTTTCCAAGCATTCTATCAATGAAAATTTTATGGATAAAAATGTTGAGACTTACTTTGCTCTCTTTTGCAAGCCAACGTAAACTTTGTAATAAAGTATTACCATGATAAAAGCAGGGAGATAGAATGCGGCGAGTGTTGTGATAACGCTCATGAATTGTCTTTATATGGCTTTATATTGTAAGTTGCTGCAAAGACACTTTGTAGGGGAACTACGCTTGTACCAAGAATTGATTAACCTTAGTCTTAAAAACAGAGGATTATGCAGTTTTAATTTGGGTAGGCTTAGGTGAAATTAAGACATGTGTAAGCCATGGCCATCTTGTATGAATTGTATATAGCAGTCATTCGGGGGCACTGTTCGTTTCTTCCCGGGGATCAACAGAAAAAAAAAGTTGGGTTATCAATACAGTCGCAATTTACGAAATAAACTCATCCGATAATTTTGATGATCCCTCGCCTTTACAATGTATTGCCAGCCAATAATCCATGGTGCCCAGAGTATGAAGCTGACCACCCACGCGAAGAGCATCGCCAGTTTAGCATGGAGGACCTTTCTTTTATTGCGGTATTTAACTGGAAACGTGACCGACAGGTAGCGGTCGATGCAGATGATCAGCAAATTCATCACTTGGCGCAAAGTTCAATTTATATTTTCCTTTCTCAATAGAGAAAATCAAAGTCGGAACAGTTCCTGAAGTATTGGAAGCAACATAATCAAGCGTTAACCAAGCATCACAAACGTGAGGCCCAAATGACCAACCTTGCATTACTAAAAAAAAAATTAAACATAAAATTGGAAAAGAACAAATTTACCGATGTAGGCAGTATAGAAGTTCATGGAAACAAGACCGACAATAAAATCAGCGACTGCCAAGTTGATAATTAAGTAGTTGTTGATCGTCCTCAACTGTTTGTTTGTAATAAAGGCAATGATGACGAGTGTATTCGCACCGACAGTTAATAAGCTAAACAGCATGTCTCAGTTATGAAAAAGAGAAATATGAAACCTGGTCAAAGTGGAAGCAGAAACGATGCCGACGATTTCCCAAACGCTGTAAATAGGAATCTGTTGGTTTTGACATTCTGGGCTGGAGTTTGTGGAAGAATTCGTTTGATAACTTCGCGGCGAGGAATTCTAAGAGCCAGTTGAGTTTATCAGTCGAAAAAAGATCGATCCAGAAGTTAGAATAAACTCGAATGACAATCAAGGTTGCCTCAAGACTCTGACCTTCTAAGAGTTCTATTTTCTTGCATTTTCTATTTAACCTACAGTATAAGCGCGCTAATTAACATACCTCGGTTCCATTCATTCTAAACTCTGTTCTCTTCTTTTCCTGCGACGTTCATCTGCCTTTATCCATCTCCTCTCAACTAAGCAATTGTTTAGTCTAATTGCGTTTCTCGTTCTCTCTTCGTTTCCAAAAAATTGAATTGGTTCAGTAAATTTTTCTAGGCTGTCGAAGCCTTGAATTAATAAATTTTCGAGTTTGCTCTCGTGCTCTCTGATGCGAATATTAAGGCAAGGATAAGGGTTTATGTATTTATACTATTTGTGTATGTCTGTTTGCGCGATGAAGGTAGGAGTAAAAGGAATAAGTGTCGACTTAATATTAGAAAAGAAGCTTTATTGCTTTTTTCGCTCGCGAGCGTGTGGCTGGCAGCGCAGAGTTTAATTCGATTGAGTACAGAAAATATGCGATTATCACACGCAAAATGTCATTTTTCTCAATAATTAATCAATGATATCTCAGAATACATATTGTAAACGACAGGTACATCCGTTTAATCATCTAGCAGACGAAAAAAAAGAGCAGATTCTCTGCGGGCGTCTACTGTTAAGGTACTACTGCTTCGGTTATGAATTGAATATCTACTGTATATAAAAGAGCTTAACTGACATCTGTTTAGAATGTTCATTCTATTGATGAACTTATAATCGAATGTGGCTGTGTCACAACAATTCGATAAACAGCTTAAAACCTTTTAATCCCCTCTGTGACAGTAACCGTAGTACGCTTACCATTACCGAAATTCGTTCGAATTCTCTATTGAATAGAGTCTATTCCCTCCTCTGCATAAAAGTGCTCTGAAGAATCGACCAGTGCGCCAGTTTTTCCCCGCGGTTCAATTATCTTCTAAAAATCGGTACGGGCACAGTAACGACACAGTAATTGAAAAGAAGGTTGACACAAATAGTCAGCACAGAAGACATTGAGTTTATTTCTATTCGAGTCAATCTCTATCGATGAAAAATCGACATTTTTTTTTTGAAAAAGATCCTCAACAAGCATTCTACATTCAGTATTTATTACAGACATCACGCGGTTCAATTTCCATCGCATTATGGAGCATCATAAAAGGATGCATATGCATCTAAAATTGGCTGTGGATCGACATGGAATTCTCTTCAGGGTCGGTTTTCAAAGAAATGATAGGTTCTAAGTAGGATAGCTTAGTAATAGATTTAAAAAATTGGATCAACAAAGTCGCCTGGTCAACAAGTTTCAGCAAGACGGTTTGGCTGAAACTATAATCCAATCACTTTGAGGGCTATTTGCGGGATGTCTTTGGAAAAAAAGATAGAGATAAGAAGATATTATATCATAAGATCTTTATTTTCGAATGAACAAGATTGTAAGCTAAAGAAGAAACGGTATAAGAAGAATCTAGATTTATAATTAACTAAGAAACCACCATGACTGTTAGGCCCTTTTTAGGGGCTCCCGCAGACGTGGCTTTTTGCAGTGACATTTTGAATTCGAATGAACACTCTCAAGAGTATGATAATTCAATTAGGCTTCACGTTGCAAATCGACCGCATCTTCTCAGCCCTTTCAAGTTGTTCGCTAATTTGATAGTTTTGAGTGAACTGAACTTTGTTATATTCTGAAAATAAGCATTATTGGCAAAATTTTTTTGATGAAATAAAGCTGCAGAATGAAGCTGCTTGGTAACTTTTGTCAAGTCAACAACTCACAAGCATTAAAACTAATTGAACTTTAGCAAAATAAATAATTTGATAAAGTCAAGTGCACAGGTTAGCTGCTATGTTTTAAAGATACTTCTCTGTAGAAAAAAGTGCATAGAGCACAAGGCGAAATCCATTTGTTCAAATGAATAATTTCCAACATCCGCACGTATACAGTGTTTTCTCCTAGCTCAGATTCTAGTAGAACACCGTCGGTTTAATCAGTTTTAAAGCTTTATAGAGCCTCTTTTAGGCTAATTGAGTGCATTCAGACAAAAAGACTCGCTGAGAATTCATGCATGGTAAATTGATTAAAATACATTCGTAAGCCCATTTTTGAAGCTTCGGCTTTAAATTTAAATGGATTCTTCTTTTATTAACTTATTCCAAACTCATTAGCTTTTAACTCTTACACAAACTCAATTTTAAAAATAAGGCCAAAGAATTGGAGTCCCATCGGGAATCGCACAGCTTTGGTAAAAGATAAGTTCCAAAGTTCATTGGAAAACACCAGAATCCTTAGCTTAGTCATTTCATCTCGCTCAACGTGATGTCCTGTCGCCGCAACCTTCTCGAGAAAATTGGTGGAACACCACAACGAGCGCCACCAACCGCCACCACTCAGCACTATTCCCTGGTGCTATAAAACTGGTACCTGAGATTCATTTCCTTATCGAATATCGATAACCGATAAAATAAAACAATCAACTTTTTAAAGTGAACTGAAAGGAATTCAAATAATGAAACTTTTTGCTTCCACAATCTTTGCAGTCGCCCTTGGTCAGTACGACTACTCTGAAGGATACGACTACTATGACGAGTCAAATTCCATCGACTTTGCCGACTACGGATTAGATGAAAACGACATCTTTTCCACCGAAGATCTCGATCTTCTCAATGACTACTCTGCCACTGACGGAGCTGATCTCATCGGTGGCCGATCGCTCGGCGGTGTCGGTGCCGAAGGTAGACTGAAGAAACTTCCTCCAGGAATCAAGGTCTCCGATTACTTTGTCAACGGGGTTTTCCAAACTGCTGCTTTCCGACAGGCCCTTCGAGCAGCCATTGCCGCTCAAAATGCCGCCAAGACAACAACTACTTCCACAACTTCCACCACAACGACCACGACAACAACCACAACAACAACTACAACAACAACTACCGAACCACCAACTACAACAGAGATGCCTACAGAGCCACCAATGGACGATCTCTTCTTTGGTCCCTCTGAAGACGAATCTCGACGACCACTTCAAAACCTCGCCGTCGCTGCTGCATCTGCTGCCAATGATCAAACCAGAGGGTTTCTCTCCGGAGGAAACGACTACAACAAATGCAAAGTATGCGATGGCGTTGATTACGCAACTTGCAGATCCTCCACAACAATTGCCACTTGTGATGATACTTCTAACAGCGGCATTGACGATCTCATGGTCTGCCAAATGCGATGGGAGAAAGGTAAAATACAAAAATATTCAACAGAAATGATAACTGATTCAGAAATCGGCGGCAGCTTGAAATTCTGGTCAGGCTGCGCTTTAAAATCTGCCTGCCAAGCTCAAGAAAAGCAGAACTTCGTCGGATCAGTCAAGCTCCGACATCAATGTGCTTCAACAACAACTCTTGAAAGCGCTGTACGAGGAAGATTCAGTAGATCAATCAAATGCAGCTTCTGCCACAAGATGGGATATGACAACTCCGCTACCATCTACGGTCAAGAAACGACAACAAAAGCCGAATCGCTCTTCACCGGACAGGAATCTTCCAGTGACAACATGGAAACCCGGCTCGCAGCTTGGGCAGCCGAGCAAGCCAATGCTCCCTGGTACACAACTGAAGTTGCCAGCATCTTCTAATTTGATGAAAATCTTAAATATTTTATTCCTTTATTTGCTGTAATCTCGACTTGACGCCATTATCTTTGGCGATTCAAAAATTTTATCTTGACTTTCTGCTGTATTTTGTGTGTAATAAAATTCTAAATTAAATTTTTGATCAAAGCCTAAATTTTTCTGCACCTACGAGATAATTGGCTGAAGAAAAAGAGACGCATTCGTTGATTCTAATATTGATTGAGGTTGTTTTTTTATTTACGATATAAAAAATATTAAAAATGTACAGTGAAAGTGACAGTGAATGGCAGTGAACTGGAAGGAACTTTTTCAGAACTGCTCTCAGGGTCGGAGATTTTCCCTAAAATCTTCGATTAGTACCGTAGTTCTTTTTCAATTTTTACCTCATTCGCTGTCGATTTTGTTGCTCCTCCTGCTCAAGTCCTTCGCGGCACTTACGTACCATTTGCTTGGCATACTTGATCTTCTCCTTCATGCCGTCCGTGATTCCCAGTTTGTTGAGCTTGCGTGCCAGGAACGTCTGCGTTGAGCCGTCCTGGTTGAGCAAGGTGATCGCTTTCATCTTTGGGCAGAAAACGACCTTCTCGTGTGACTCGAACCAGTTCACCTGCATGGAGCCGTTAGACAGCCACAGGCAAATGGCGGTTCGAGTTCGGAACCACGTTCGGAGATAAGGAAGACGAGAGAGCTCGTCGCCTTCCTTAGGTGCAGCCGCTGCTCCCGCCTTGAATTCAGTTAGAAGCAATTCAACTATTACAATGATTACCTTAAGCAAATGCTCGTTCATGTATTTGCGGAAGTAGTCGATGAGCGAGACCTTCTTCTTGACTGCTTGAGGGAAGTCATTCTTGGTGAAGAAGCTCTCCTGGAACTCTTTGTCCAGGTACTGCATGTTGTTGGCATTGGCATGCAGCATCGCTCTTGTGGCGTCGTTGAACAAAACTCCGACAGAGTTATCGCACAACATAAACCCTAAAACGAAAATCAAAAAGAGAAAAAATTTTGTAAGTGTTACCAATGCCGTATTTGTCAGAGTAATCAACCCATTTGGATATCCAGTAGACAGGAGACGACGCTGGGTGCTCAGCATCCTCAGGCATTTCTGGAAGGATGCGAACCGCGTTCAGAATGGTCTCCTGCAACATGTTGTAGAGCCCATCGATATCTTCGCGCTTTCTTTGGAGGCGCTTGGTGTTCGGGTCCACCTTGATGACAGGCATGTCGCTCTTGTAAGAGAATAATCATTAGAAGAAATACTAAGAGTAAGCTTACCGGCATGAGTGATTTTCGAATGGTTGGCCGGGCGTAACCTTGCTCCTCATCCTCTTCGGGCATGTTGTCGACGGCGATCAGTGGCTTCTTCGTCGTGTTGAAGGTCATCTGGCGCTCGGTGAAATGCGGGCGCACAGTGAGTGAAGACGTAGGAAGCCTTTTGGGAAGGTATCCTTCGGTCAGGAACTCATGGTCGAGCATTTCTTTCGCCATGATACGCGTCTTTGGGTTGTTTTTCAGCATCGATGTGATGAGATTTGACGCAGCAGGGCCGACGGTGTCCTCGGGAATGACGTACTCGGTTCGCTTGATGCGACTGTACGTCTCCTAAAAGATTTTTATGTTTGAAGACAACGAGGACTCATCAACGGGATGTATAAATAAAAATTCAACGAACCTTGAGCGAGGAAGTCTCGAAAGGTGGCTTTCCGACAAGAAGCGTGTACATGATGCAACCGGAAGACCACATGTCGACGGCAAAGGAGTGGCCGCTCTTGGTCAGAATTTCTGGCGCAATGTAGTTTGGCGTTCCACACAACGTCTTTTTCGCTCATCTGGCGAGGTGATTCTTGTGGCGAGCCCGAAATCGCCCAGTTTCAGGATCATCTCACTGTTAATGAAGATATTTCCCAGCTGGAATTACAATACATTTAATCGGCAAGTTCAGGGCTAAAGAGAGCTTACCTTCAGATCCCGATGAATCATTTTCATCGTGTTGTGTAAGTAGTCCATTCCTTCGCCGATCTGCTTCATATAATATCTTATTATTGGTCGTTAAAAACTTTCAACATATAGTAAAATTACCTGACTTCAGGCTCAGTTAGTGGACCTCGTCGCTTGTGAAGCTCCATCATTGACTGTTTCTTGCAGATTTCCAAGGTAATGTAGACGAAGTTCGTATCTTGGAAGGAGCTCTTGAACATCACCACATTTCTATGCTTTAGCGTCTTGTGGAGCGCGATCTCCTGCATCATCTTCTCTTTTTGGTGCTGCTTCGTCAATAAAGTTTTTGGGACGACCTAGTAAAGTAAACATAATGAGTTACCAGAGCTTTAAAAAACCTTTCCGGCGACGATTTCGCCGGTAACAGCATTCTGGAACTCATAGCACTTGGCAAAACCGCCTTTTCCCAGGTAGTGAAGTCTATAAAACACGATTAAAATCGACTTTTCTGCGGGAAATTTACCGTTTATATGTAACACCATTTTGAGTGTCGGGAATGTTTGTTGGAATGGGGATGACGTCTCTATTATGTCGGCTCATGATGCGTCAAAGTTGCGTTGAAATAATTACTCGACGAAAAAGTCAGAAGAAAACTGTTCGGTTTTCCCTCGTTTGAAGAAAAAATCGAATGATGCGATTTTCCGCGCGCTTTCTCTATTTATACCGACCGCGATGGTTCTTCTGATTGGGTCTCTCTTTTCCAACTGAAAAAAATTATCTCATAGAATGAACCAAAACCAATGAACCTAAAAACCTTTTGCTGCCGATTCCCCAAGTTCACGTCCAAATAAGGAGATTCGAATTTTCTCCAACGTAAAAATCTCTTATTTTTGACTTTTACGCGCGCTTGGTCTCCTCGAGGCGCTGAAAATAAATCTCAATCTCAAAAATAAAATTTGGAAAAGTCTAGAAACTCACAACGGTAACTGAAGCCAATTGTTTCAAGAAACGCGGAAAATTTGCGTGCATCCAACCTTTGAAAACCTTCAAGTAATCAGAACAAGTGCGATCGACGATCGACTAAGTTGAAATCAAAACTATGTTATGCAAATAAGATCATAATTCTGACTCAAATGTAATAATAATGAATCATTTACTCATAGCCTTCAAAATCAATTTTCAAATCTTTCCTTGTATTTTTTTATTAAAAAATGTATTTTATATTATATTTCGGCCGTTTTACCAAAAATTTTTGACTATTATAATAGAAAAATCAGTTTTTTTATTCGTCTTCAAAATGTTTTCAGTCAAACTGATATTCTTCCAGCACGAAGGGCGCATGAGAAGGTCCTCCGCGGCGCGTGCTATCCTCCGCGTCCCCAGTCATTTTCTATTCAGCCAATGAGGGCGCGCCGCTGCGCATCTCGGCAAATTTCTCCCACGTGCGCGGAGTAGCTGCGCCGCGAATTACGGACAGACTTTTATTTTCAGCGTTTTCCGCCGATTTTCTTCAAAATAATGCTTTTTCAAGAGATTTTTTGTATCAAGAGAACACCTTTCCTTCTGTCTGGAGCCACGGATAGATAAATTGAATGCTAAATCGTTTGTTTTTAGACAAGCGTCTGACTCACCTCTTTTGCAGCGGCATAAAGTCGGTCAGGAGAGACGGAAAAAATGTCGTACGAACCTAAGAAGGAGGACATCCAACAGGAGGAGGATCCTAATCACAGAATCCGAATCACCATTTCCTCCAAGAACTGCAAGGCGATCGAGCGCATCTCCAACGAGATCGTCCGATCCGGCAAGGACAAGGGCCTCAAGGTCAAGGTAAGTCTTCTATATTTCCCACGACCGGAAAGATGATCGAATAATTTTAGGGACCCATCCGACAGCCCACCAAGACTCTTCGAATCACCACTCGAAAGACTCCCAATGGTGAAGGTTCCAAGACCTGGGATCGATACCAGATGCGAATCCACAAGCGTGTGATCGACTTGGTCTCCTCCACCGAGAAGGTCCGACAGATCACCCAGATGTCCATCGACCCCGGCATCGACGTCGAAGTCACCATCTGCGACTAAATCCCTTTTTTTCGTCTTGCTCTGCTTGTGTTACAGCACGAACGGACCTTGTGCAAGTTTATTTTTCCTGAGTTTTGGCAAAACTTTTGCTCTTTCTGAAATTTAACTTGTCTCAAGCGGATTTTTAGCCTAACTTCCTTCCTTTTCAGATAATTAATCGGCTTAACCAAAAATGAAGCTTAACACAGCCGTCTCCGGATCCCGAAGAAAGCAGCGATGCCGACACTTCAACGCTCCTTCCCATCTCCGACGCAAGGGAAGTTAGAAAATCCCACCAGCTCGAATCATTCTTGCTCGGTGCTAGGGTCTTGCATTCATTTTTGATTGCGGGGCGATTTCTAACTCTCTCGATTCTCTAACTTGCCGGTAGATCATGTCCGCTCCTCTTTCCAAGGAACTCCGATCCAAGTACAACGTCCGATCTCTCCCAATCCGAAAGGATGACGAGGTAAGATATTTTTCCGCTTTTCAGAAACTAAAGACTTCTTCAGGTCATGGTTGTCCGAGGCCACTACAAGGGACAGTCGACCGGCCGAGTCACCTCTGTCTACCGAAAGAAGTTCGTCGTCCACATCGAGCGAACCCAGCGAGAGAAGATCAACGGCACCACCGTCAACGTTGGCATCCACCCATCCAACTGTGTCATCACCAAGCTGAAGCTCGACAAGGACCGAAAGGCCATGCTCGAGTCCCGCGCCGCCAGCCGAGCCGCTCGACAGGCTGCTGACAAGCACACCGAAGAGTCTGTCAAGATGCAGCAGTAATTTTACCGTTCCTGCCTGTTCATTTTGATAAACCCGTGATAAAAAAGTCACATTAGAATCTAACGAAATTATCTTTTTAGACCGAACGGACAGTAAAAAATGACCGAAGCCAAGAAGGACAAGAATGCCAACCCCATGCGGGATATGGTCATCGACAAGCTCTGCTTGAACATCTGTGTCGGTGAGTCTGGTGATAGACTTACTCGAGCTGCCAAGGTCTTGGAACAGCTTACTGGCCAGACCCCTGTCTTCTCCAAGGTGATCTTTTCATAATCATTCCAATTTTAATGTCCTTCTTAGGCCCGATACACCGTCCGAACCTTCGGTATCCGACGTAACGAAAAGATCTCGTGCCACTGCACCGTCCGAGGCTCCAAGGCCGAAGAGATCCTTGACAAGGGACTCAAGGTCAAGGAATACGAACTCAAGATGGGCAACTTCTCCACCACTGGTGCCTTCGGCTTCGGTGTCCAGGAACACATCGATCTTGGAATCAAATACGATCCCGGCATCGGTGAGTTGGTTGAGGGCCTCCCCGTTATTTTGAAATCGCTCCGTGATTGAAAGATAATTTATTTACCTCTTTTCTTCATTGAATCTTGAGGCTGGGGAGGCCAAAGTCGGTCCTAAACAACCCCTTTTCCTTCGTTTAGGTATCTACGGTATGGACTTCTACGTCGTCATGAAGCGAGCCGGCTACGGTATCTCCAAGCGACGACGATGCAAGGCCAAGATCGGCAAGCAGCACCGACTCACCGCCAAGGACTCCATGGTCTGGTTCCAGAAGAAGTACGACGGTATCATCCTCCCCGGCAAGAAATAAACGTCTTCTGTCCTGAATCTGACCCTGTGCGATCAATTGAGAGCTCCGGTTACAACTGTTTTGCTAACTTTCGACACTTTTAGAAGCCGGATTTAAAACTACTTCGCCATGGGCCGAATGCACGCACCAGGAAAGGGTATCTCCGGATCCGCCCTCCCTTACCGACGATCTGTCCCATCCTGGCAGAAGACCTCCGCCGAGGAAGTCAAGGACATCATTGCCAAGCTCGCCAAGAAGGGTAAATTTCGATTCCAAAATTTTCATGCTTACAAAGTTACTTCAAGGTTACAAGCCTTCTCTCATCGGTGTCCACCTCCGAGACACCCACGGTGTTGGCAAGTCCCACTACCTCACCGGATCCAAGATCCTCCGAGTCCTCAAGTCCATGGGCGCTGCTCCTGAACTCCCAGAGGATCTCTACTTCATGATCCGAAAGGCCGTCGGTATGCGAAAGCATCTCGAGCGAAACCGAAAGGTAAACTTCCCCTTTTTCCTATATGGGTCACTAACTTATCTTCTAGGACAAGGACGGTAAATTCCGATTGATTCTTATCGAGTCTCGAATCCACCGACTTGCTCGATACTACCGAGAGAAGGGTGTTGTCCCACCAAACTTCAAGTACGAGTCTGCCACCGCCTCCGCACTTGTCGCATAAACTGCACAAAGAATAAATCCTTTCTGTGCAAGGGAAATAATCCGTGCTTTGATGTTGCACATCAAAAAATTGACGGTTATTCACCCTAATCATGAAGGCATCTTCGTGAACTAGTGGCTAATCGTCTTTCATTATAGAACTCGGATCTTAAAATATAACCATGGAAGGCGAAGCTGATTGGGGACAGGAAGACGTCCGCGACCCCGAAGTCGCTCCCATCAAGCTCTTCGGACGATGGGCCACCGACGACATCTCGGTATGTCTTGTGGGGGCCACGACGCATAGTCGGGCCGGAACCCAATTAATCCAACCATCCCCCAGCTCGGCGAAGTGATTCACCGGCGGGGCGAACGCGATGTTTTCTGACACTGTGGCTCTAGGTCAACGACATCTCCCTCCAAGATTACTTGGCCTGCACCGACCGATACGCCAAGTACCTTCCACACACTGGCGGCCGATACCAGGTCAAACGATTCCGAAAGGCCCAGTGCCCAATTGTTGAGCGATTGGTCAACTCCCTCATGATGCACGGCCGAAACAACGGCAAGAAGATCATGACCGTCCGAATCGTCAAGCACGCCTTCGAGATCATCCACTTGACCTCCGGCGAAAACCCAATCCAGATCCTTCTCCACGCCATCATCAACTCTGGCCCACGAGAAGATTCTACTCGAATCGGTCGAGCTGGTACTGTCCGACGACAGGCCGTCGATGTCTCCCTCTCCGACGAGTCAACCAGGTACACTATCAACACTTGAAATCCGAATCACTAAACTCAAACGTAGGCTATCTGGCTCCTCTGCACCGGCGCTCGAGAAGCTGCCTTCCGAAACATCAAGACAATCGCCGAGTGCCTCGCTGATGAGCTCATGAACGCCGCCAAGGGAAGCTCCAACTCCTACGCCATCAAGAAGAAGGACGAGCTCGAACGAGTTGCCAAGTCCAACCGTTAAATCGCTCTGTGTCGCTGTTTTTGCTTCAAAACACCACGATCCTTCAGGGACTTTGTTTCTAATCACCTTCTTTGTTCAGATCGGATAGGACGTTATGCCTCACGCACGATCCCTTGTGCAGAGCAAGACTTTTGTCACCCCCTCTCGATGTTACGAGAAGGCCCGACTCGACCAGGAGTTGAAACTCGTCGGTGAGTTCGGTCTCCGAAACAAGCGAGAAGTCTGGCGAGTCAAGTTGGCCGTCGCCAAGGTCCGAAAGGTCGCCCGTACCCTCCTCACCCTCGACGAGAAGGACCCCAAGCGACTTTTCGAAGGTAACGCACTTCTTCGACGACTTGTCCGAATTGGTGTCCTCACTGAAGACAAGATGAAGGTAATTCATCGTTTCTCATTCTCCTCAATCTAACTCAAACTGTAGCTTGATTTCGTCCTTGCCCTCAAGATCGAGGATTTCCTTGAGCGACGACTCCAGACCCAGGTCTTCAAGCTCGGACTCGCCAAGTCCATCCACCACGCCCGAGTCCTCATCCGACAGCGACACATCCGTGTCCGAAAGCAGGTTGGTTAGGAGTGAATTCAGTCTCTGAATTTCACGCAAACCTTTGTCCTAACCCGGAGGATAACCAATGACCTCCGAAACAGCGACGGTAACCCCTCAATTAGGATTTAGCTGGGAAGACCGTGGGGTTAAACGATTTTTAGGTCGTCAACGTTCCTTCCTACGTTGTCCGATTGGACTCCCAGAAGCACATTGACTTCTCCCTTCGATCTCCTCTCGGAGGCGGACGACCCGGCCGAGTCAAGAGAAAGAACGCCCAGAAGGGTGGCAACGCCGGCGGTGACGACGACGAATAAATGTTGGAACCCCAGAAAAGAGCCTGACTGTGTTTTCTCTGTAATTTCACTGATTCAATACATTCTTGGGCTTGAATTTAACGACCATACTGCCGAAGACGCGCGTCTATCGCAGTAAAATGCTTCCTTTTATTTGCAAGTCTTTCGCAATTCATTTCATGATTTTATTACAGGATTGTAACTTTCCCCATTAGTTTAGTGACAGTCCCAGAGTTTATCGCTGGCCGCTTTTTTTCCTAACGCCCTACGGTAGAAGTTATATTAAATGAACGAGTCGACTAGTTCGATCCTGCATCGGATGTCGCTCCCCGCTGTGAGAAGTCCAGTGAAGCGCCCTCTTTTACAAAATGAAACAAAAACTTCATCGTGGTTTATTATCGCCATGCCTCCAAATTTTCTTGGGTTTTTAAACTGAATCATGAAGAAAGCGAAAGCCTTTAATTACTAGAAAAAATAAACCTTTATCCTCTTTACTCTCCTTTCATTGAATACAATTTATTTTGGCAGTGCAATATACAAATGAATCGTAAATAAATATAGTATCATAGTAAAGTCAGCTATGTTTCACACTTGTGAGCATTTGAGTTCGAGTGATAATACTGACGCAGCCAACACACGAAATACTGCTGGGTGTTCTTTTGCCAAAGAAGCCGCTCATCTGTCTTCTTTTCAAGCTCGGAAAAGAAGTTTCTCAGGATCGGGGAGATCCTCTTTTCGCCTATCTTCTCGCTGATCCAGTCGGATACCTAAGATTAACTTCAATCAAGAGGGATATTAAAACTCCTTACCGATGATCTGTGATCAAGATTGTACTCGCCCAAGTTCAGCAAAATCTTTCTGAAACTATCGCTCATAATTGGGCATCGTCGAACGAAATCGTCCCAAAATGCATCAAGATAGTCTTCAGCGATGGAATGACCATATCGGTGAGCACTAAGCTGCTCGAGGAATGAGCAGACATGAGGCCCGATGAGTTGGCCATCCTTGAGAGACCGAGAAAGGATTTCTTCCATTTTGTGAAGGTCTTGCACGCTTTATGAGGGTCGAAATCAGCACAATTTTTTGCGGTATTAAAAATTATACATGTGGTAGATAGACCCGTTCCAGAAAAGACTGTTCAGTAATAGTTCGGATTTCAAGGGATCAGCTGTAGAGTTGAAATGATTGAAAACTTCCTGGTAAAGATCAGAATCGAGGAATAATACGTTGCAAAGGAGCTTGAGATCAGCCCCATCTTCGAAAAGCTCATCTACTGTGTCAATATTCGCCGTAAGACTCGTTTCTGCGCCATAATAGTATAGCCATCGTTGGATGTAAAGCTAGAACGAAAGTAAAACGTGATAAAGAACCAGAGAGTAACTTTGAAATCCTCAGTCTCGCCTATTTGAAGCGCATGTCTCAGTTTTTCCACCATGAATTTGGAAAACCAGAACTGTTCTCTAACATCGAACGAAGATGAAATTTGAATGTCGATCCAGCGCATGCATTCGAGTGCAGTTCTCCAGACTATTTCTGAGCGCTCACTATGCAAAGTTGACATGAGACGAATGAGTTTTTGTAGTTTAGCTGGCCTTTATGAGAATTAAAATAAATCATCATCAGATTATGCAGTTTTCAGATTATATAATCCATTCCTATTTTTGCAAAATAAAAGGCGTCCTGGAAAAACATCGCTCGTTCGATCTCGGTCAAAATGGTATTCTTGTCTTCTGCTGTTTCCAAAGATTTCTCGATGATATCAAAGACCTGCGTGGAATATTGAATCCGGTAACCCAGCTGAAGAGTTCCTTTGCTAGCAACAAAAGATGGTAGAATTCCCGTATCGAATGCTTGCGATTTTTCCTTGATCAGAGCTTCATGGCAGCAAGTCTCGTCTACTTGATATCTGACAGGTAGTAGTAACGAGTTATCTTAATAGCTATTATTGATAAGAAGTTATGTAAATAAGTACCAGATTTTGTAAATTCGATTTTTCCGCCAATAGTATCAATTCCCAAAACCGGAATATCCTTCAAGTTCCACTCAGTCGCCATTGAAATCAAATCAATGCCAAGAGAAGATTTCACTTTCTTAATCAACCCTTCATTTTCGAAAACTGTATTTTCAAAAGTATCGTCAGCAACTGTTGTCTGCAAGAGATCACTTCCAAACTTCATTTGAAAAAAGTCCGAGAATAGATTTAACACGAGGCCCCATCGGTAAGAGGAAAACGTTGAAAATGCATCAGACATTAGCGCTAGAATTTAATATTATTTGACAAATCATGGCTTCTTTTTACCTTCAGAATCGATCGTCAGATTCGCGAGAGTAAAGAATGATTGATGCGAAAACACTTCATGGCGTTTTTCCGAAAGGATGATATTTTTATCGAAGTCATTCAGAAGGCTCGATGCAATCGACTGGAAAATTCCTGCATCTTGCCAAAGATGATCCCACCATTTGATTGTACCAGAGTGAAACATCAACTGAGTAAGTTCTAAAATTATGTTTACAGTTATGTCAGGTTACTATTACTCAAACCTAAAGCAATTTGATAGTCGATTTCATAATTGGCCTTTGTAAATGTAGACAGCGGAAGAAGAGCGAGTCCTTTAGGTTGAAAAATACTATTCTTGACATAATTCGGGAGAAGAACAAATCTCATCTGAGACGTGAATTCTTTGCCAGACCAGACTTGAAGCCGTTCAGCAAGTTTCGCCACTCGTTGTGAAAATGCTAGTGCGTGATTTGAAGAGATTCCGCTGACAGTAGACATCAAAAAATTACCATCGCTGATAGTGGTTGTTTCAAATTTACCAATAACGAAGCCAAGGGAATACAAAGGAACAGGCTCGGTTGTTTCGAAAGTATCGACTTCATGTGATTGCACAGCTTGAGACAGGCCAAATTTGCCAGTTTGTCCAGAGTTTTTGGCGTATGGATATTTTCTTGAGAAGCCAGAGTTGAAAAAGACCTTTTCGTCCTTTCTTCTCACGACTTCGAGTGTGAATTTCGCTTGGTACTCGGGCTCGTCAAAGCAAGGGAAAACATTGCGAGCTTTGTTGGGCATAAAATCGCTCGCAAGATATTGCTCGAATTGAGAAGGTCCGGTTTGGTATTTTTGAAGAATCAGTCCAGGAACAGGAAGAGTTGAAGAGTAACGAATGTTGATGTTGTATTTTCTTCCTGGCAAAAGATCTTTCCTCATTTTTATAACAAGCATTCCTAGTTCTTCGCAGCTGACGAAAAAATCTTCGACATCTTCTTGACTTCTTCGAGAGTCATTATCACCGTAGCAGTCAACATCGTACTCGTTGCATTCGAAGATGGATAAGTATCTGATGTTCAGATTGCGAGCGTGAAGGGCGATGTACTTTCCTTTTGCACTTTGCTCAAAGATGATGTCGACACTTCCAGAGAACGTGTTGGTTTCCGGATCCGGATAGAAGAAAAGATAATACGCACTTGGAATACTCTCGCCTGGAAGACGGTATTTCTGCCAAGGAAAAGGATCTCCAGTTGATGATTTACACTCGGTCTCATTTTTGAGAGCATCATGAATAGCCTTCTGATCTCTCAGTTGATCGATGCTTTGGCATTGTTTTCCGGCAAGGCCTATTTTCAAAATAATCAGGATCAAAAATCCGAAAGACAGAATCGATAGAACTGCGGCTTGGAATTTCTTTCTCGGAAGCTCAAATCGACCGAGAAAGTTTTCAAGTTGGCCGAGCCCAGATGATTTGTGAAACTTTGAATCTCGTCGACGATGGGGCAGGTAGACCTGTTCCTCGGTAAGACGAGGAAGATCCGAAAGATTTATTCCATTCTCGTCTTCTATATCTTCGTAATCCAGGTCATCGTCTATGGCGGAATAGTGAACCTTCGATCGGTTTCTACTCTTGGAAACCATCTTTCTCTTTCAATAAGTGTCAGATCTCTCCCTTGTTTACATCTGTTCTCGTTGAAATTTCTTTTACAGAAAAAGGAACGCAATGATTCTAGCGGGGTTACAAACTTCAACATGCCCCGCGGTCGGGGTTCAAAAATATTCCCGCTGACCGCTTAGGTTAAATTGATTTTCATAAGAATATCTCAACATAAACATTTTCAAGCAAATTTAAACGAGTGAAATTCTAGTAGAAAAAAATTTCAAGCTCAACAAGCGATAATGTTTCTAATATCAAGAAAGACAAAGTTGTTAAGAGATTTTGCATTTTTATTCAAATAAATTCCTAAAGAAAGGAACCTCGTCAGATAAAACAGAAAAATACAAAAGAACTAGCATGATCCGATCATCGCGACTGAACCATCCGCGCAGCATTCTTTTCTGTTTCCGTTGAACTGAACAAATGGCGATGTTGAACCTCCACAGCACTGAGGATCGGAGTACTGGTTGCCTTTTCTGAAGCATTGTTCAGCGGGTTCCCAGCCGTTTGGCGCCCAGAACATGTGGTATTGTTCGTCAAAGACGTCCTTGACAGATGCGTGCTCTAAAATTGATTTGAGTAGCTGTCGTATATGCTCAAATCTTACTTTGGGCAAACATCTTGTCGCACATGCACAAGTCTCGTCCACAAGAGCCCTTGTCATCTCGGCAGATGATTTCATCGGACTTTGCGATTCGGAACTTGTACTCGACAAACTCAGGAAGACACATTTCTCCGTGAGTCTTTTTGGCACACTTGATGCAATCCTTGTAGGCTTTGCAAACAGAGTCGAGCTCATCAACTGGTTGTCCTTTGCCGGGGTCAGACATGGGTCGGTCACCTTAAATTTATATTAGAAAATTGAATTGTCGTTGTTGATTTTTTACCGAGAACAAGACAGTTGCATCCGTAAGTCCAGTATTTTTTCTCGTCGAATTCGGGGTTGACGTGCTCCATCATGGTGGTAAGCTGAAAGTATCGACGAACCGAGTTGTCGACTCTTTCACTTTCAGTAGGATCGAATCCTCGTTGAGCTGAAGAAATCGGTAAATATCTTTTCAAATTTATCTTGTCTTGAATTCTCTTCGTTGTTGTTTTCATTTCTTACCTGAGACGAAAGCAGTCAAAGATGCAGCGGAAAATTTCATACTGGAAGTTTTACTTTTTTCTTTTTCTTGTATATTCAAGATTTGATGATTTCGATATCAAAGTGGCGAGATTATATACTAGCTAATTCGTCGTGCTGAATTACGCGCCCCTTGCTGGAACAAATGTCGTGGTTGCCGTGGTCTAATTCGCTGAACGTGTTGGACCAAACGATTTTTCGCTTTTAGATTCGAATTTTTTGTTAATTGATTCGTATCAAAGAATAAGCAAAAAATTAGAGTAAAGAAAAGACTGAGATTTATTGGCCTAAAACAGTATATAGAGCAGGAAGAAGAAGAAACATGTTGACGCTTGTCATCTTGAAGCTGGAAAACATGCTAAAAAGCAAATCCTGGAAAGTAGCATATCATAAAAAGCTTACTGAAGATCAGGTTCAGGAAGAGGATCGTCTGGTGCGTCTTTTCGTTTTCGACAGACATAGTGCTTTTCATCCGAGCAGATCGCGTCATTCCAGTGCGGGTAATATTTTAGCTTAGAAAATTAGATTCGGCTGATAGAAGCTTTTCAAACCTTCGCATGCTCGGCCAGAGGAACCTCATAAAGCGGTCGTTCACCTCTAAGCTCGACGCAGAACTCGCCGTTTCTATATTTTCACGATTAAATTGCAAGGAAATGTTTGACTTACGCATAGAGATTATCAGGTAAATCACGAAGAAAGTTATGCCACTTGATTTTTGTTCCGTTTGTGTAGAGCCACCCATTTCCATACTTGATATCCCAGCCAACGCCGATCCATAAGCCTTTAGAAATAGAAAAATTATGGTCTAATAAGTTCACAAACCTGGGGCTTTTGTAGCTCCCCAACGATCTATGTAATTGTGAGCTTGGACATCGCGGATCAGATGATCGTAAGTAAATGAATCTTTTGATGAGTTTCACTGCCTGATATTCTATCAAATAGAATCTTTTCTTTTATTCTGAATATGATGGACTCGTTCCTGCATGAGCAAGTTCCCCTCCTCGAGAGGCACAATCTTTCACTGCGTCCTTCCAATTCTTTCTGTCTGGAGACATTCTGTAACACCAACCTTCGTGGTCGAGTTCCCACCCGTCGGGACAGTCAGGGTGTTCGTTCGTGCAGTCCACACATTCTTAGTTCAGGGTTATGAGTCTCCTTGTTTGGGAGTACCGACGAGCCAGAATTATCTTGGCTAGTCAATTGGCCTCAGACATATGCTTGTCAATTGTATCCGCATGAAATACTCGGTTGACGAAAAATAATTGAACATCAGCGGCGCAATCGGACAGGGGATCAAGAATGACCGAGCGTTAGAATTTCTAACGCAATTATGGTCCCTTGATTGCCCAAGACAAATAATGTAAAATTATTACCTCTGCCACAAAGAGCGTAAACGTCTTTCTGAAAACAGTCTGTAGCACCCCAGACAGGAGCATATCGGGTTCCACCTCGCATGATCATTTTATTCCGGTACGCCGCATTGTAAACTTCTATTTACAAGGTTTTAAAACTTCAAAAGAGTGAATAGCAGAAGAAACTTTCAAGAGTCTTGAGTTTCTCTTGTGTTCAAAAATTTTGAAACCTTGACTAAACAATCATTCAAAGACAACCCGTCGAAAGGCTCGCTAAGAAGGAACTCCGTCAAATTTCCCGGTAAAAGATGACCGTGCTCCATATGCGTGTACCAGAAAAAGTTGGTTTCGAACTTTCCGTACTGGATATAATCTGTTATGTTTCCTCGCGCAACATTCGTCTTTTTAAAGGCTGCCCAATATCGGCGATCACCCCGCATTGCCACTGTTTGTTGTTTCCAAAGTTGTTAAAATTTTTTCTATATTTTTATCAAACAATCCTTCATTCCAGTGCATGTCCTTTGGATCTAACAAAGTCCCGCCCATATCCATGCAAGCGGCATATGCATTTTTCGCCGCAATAGGTTCATAAGAAGATCTCCAGCAAGTATTCTTGCGATCAAATGTCCATTCTGGCGGGCAGTTGTTATATCTCGCTAAAATTCCTGTAGCCAAAAACGAGAAAACTTTCATTTTATCTATCTCTATGCTACCAGAACTAATGAGTGCGCTTTACGAGACGTTTTTCGAAATGTCAACGGGATTAGGGAAAAGTTGTGGGGAGAGTACACGTTTTCAACTGTCAACCGATCTGCGAATGCACTGGATAGATGCCTGCCAAGGAGAAACACGGCTATTTATCGCGGCTAGCAGATAAAAAGACGTTTTTGATTTGAATATTTTTGATCATTTATTGTCAATAATATTGCACTAGTCTAAATCTAGACAGATTGCCTATGATAACGGCGTCAGGAAGGGGACACTTCCTTACAGTAGTAAAGTACAAATTGAATCTAATGTAATGCACACAGGTTTGATGTTTGAGCATAATCTCGCGTTGGAAGAGAAGTGTTGAAATTGATTAAATTCGATAAATTTTGATTTTTCCGATTCCGTAAATGAAGACACTAATTTGGCACACAAGGTCTGTATTTTTGTTTATTGCATCGACCAGGTGGTCTGGGTTTCGTGAACTAAAAGAATAAAGGACCCGGAAAGAAGGAGAATTTTTACAGGAACTTATGCAGGACAGTAGGGCATGTTTAGTTGTGTCGCTTTATGTACTTTGAATAACTGGATAAGATGAAGAATTTCCAGTTGATCCGGCTGGGAGAGTTGAAGACCAGATTTACTTCGGCTTTCCAGCGAGAGTTGAAAGCACTCGGTTGCCGAGAATGAACGTTGCCGAACCGAGGAGAGCGAGATATTTGAGAGTTGTAAACATATCCAGCTAGGGATCAGGTTATTATGAGTTACTATCATTTACGTTTACCCTCAGCCAGTAAAGGAAGTAAAGACCGAAGATCGAAGCAATGGCAATGTGGAAGGGCAAGAAGGCGCTTTCCATTCTTCTCAGATTGACACCAAGTCGAGACCAGACAACAACAAGTCCGACAAGAGGAAGAGCGCAGAGGCCAGTGAAGACGAATGAGATCATAACTGGCGGTCGAGCTTCAGGCTCTCGGAAAGTATGGTGGATCTCAGCTGGCGGGTCGTACTAAAATGCGTTAGAAAAGGGAAATGACGACTTATTACCTTGTCAAGATATCGGTCGTTGAAATTACCAGCATCTGGCTCAGGGATGCCATTAACCAAAAGGGTTCCGAAATCGTGGGTCTTGATTGCTGGGTGGAAAAGAGCATCACCAACAATAAGTTTCACTTGATTCTTGCCACCGAATTCAAGGTTGCCGGAGACGTCAACTACAAAAATGTTAAATCTTGAGATTCACAACGTCAGTTACCGCTTGCGACGTATTTCGATTTCTTTTTCTCGGCGATAAAGGTTGTTTCTACATCATTGTGCGTATTGTAGAAAACGACAAAAGCCTGGTGGGCAGTGAGGCTTTCGGAGGTTTGTTCATTGACGACTTCGAATTCGACTGTAATTTTACCGTCGCTTCCGATGGCACCGTCGTTGGGGATAGCTAAAAACGTAAGATCAAGAAGAAATTGTCCCTAGATTACTTGTATGCCATTTCTTCTCGACAGAGCTCTTGGAAGCGTATGCAATGCGGGCGTTTTTGAGCGCAATGCTGTGTGGGACCTTGATTCGTTGGCGAATAGAGTTGTTTCCGGTAATGTAGTTGCCTCCTGTAACCTCAAGTTCGACATCGTAGTATCCAGGGATCAAGTTAGTGGGCAACTGGTGCTCAAAGACGACAGGGAACATGGTATTATCGCTAATGAGTAGATTAATGTCTAATTACAGAAGAGATTTCAAACCTAAAGTCCTTTTCCATCCAACCCTCTTCATTAGGCGCGTGAAGTGAGAATTTAGAATTGCTGAGGTAGACTTCGTTGCTTTCAACATGCGTCATCGATTTGACCGAGACCTGCACTTCGGCTGCTTCTCCGTTGATCGTCATAATTTGAGCGACAAGTGGCATGTTAGCGGAGACAAACGGCTTTCGAGAAATCCATGCGACGTGGCAAGGAGTTTTGTACTTGTTTTTGATCAGAAAGGAGAAAGCTTCAAAGGCGTAGAATCGAGCGGTGTTGTCTTCGGGGAAGTTGTTGACGAAGAAATTGGAGAAACCAAGGAGTTGGTCATCACTGAGCTCGAATCTGCCTGTGTACTCGGCCCAGCTGAACGCGGCGGAGAGGAAGTTGGAAGTAGCTGCAAATTCGTTGTTGAAGGAGAGCTCGTTATCGAAAGCATCGGCCTAAAAGGAAAAATTGGTGTAAAGGAGGCATTTTATGGGTTCCTACCTGAGCGACAAGATCCGCAATATCGACATGCTTGGCTACTGAATCCAAGTTCAATTGATTGTTCTGAGACCAGAGTTGAATGACAGCTCGCATGACAAGAGTAACAGCAAGGACGGAATCATCTTTTTCCAACAATTTTCCGAAAGTGTCGACAACAACTTGACCATCGAAACCGTTTTGGAGGAGAATTTCAAGGTTGATAGCGTTGAAGAAATCCTTGACATTTGCTGGATTCTCCATGTTGGCAGAAATCAAGTCTTCGTCCTTGGATGTAACGGAGTACTTGCACTCTTTCTTGCCGGCGAGATCTTTCATCATTTTCGTGATGAACATCGTGTGGTACAATTGCTCGATGGTGCGGTCTGCTTCGGCAGTGATCATGGGACATGTTCGGGCTGTATCGATTCCTTCGTGCTCAGCTAGACATGTTATTAATATCTCTTAATAGAAGAAACAACTTACGGTTCATAAGTGAAATGTAGTAAAGGTCCTTAATGCTTTTGGCATTCTGCTCGCTTTGGAAATACAGGGTCTTCAAGATATCTTTCGTTACAACGCCAGCCAGCGACGCAGTGGCCGAGGCTAAGAAGACCCAGCCCAGCAATTTCATTCTAAATCGATTTCTACCAATAAGTCAAAGAGTTCTTCCACAATATTTTTCCTCTCTTTGTTTAAATAAAGATGTTTAGGCTATTCTAGCGTCAGAACCGCGTCCAGCGCAGCAATTGTTCCGGCCAACCAGAATCTCTGGTCGTCGGCGGTCACAAAAAGGGATGAGAATGGCAGTGAATAAATAGATTTAAATAAGGTATCAAATGAGAGCTAACAGAAAGGAGAATTTCTCGATCGTAAAGAAATAGACAATTTCGCGTAATTATGAGTGTTATTTTGTCGGAGAAAGACGCGTCACGGAGCATGACACAGCAAAAGTGATAGGGAGGCGATTGGGCCCAGACGCGATGTCCTGCTTTTTGAATGGTGCTCGGGGGTTGAGTGGCGCCACCGCAAGCAATTCCAAATGGAACGTACGACAAAATGTCAAAGTAAAAATTATATGAAAAGTGGATGTATGAAACTTTAAATGAATAGTATTTAATTCCAAGAAGTTAAGAGTGGGTCGATGCCGACACATATGAAGACAAAATTTATGAAAAACAGTAAATCAAAGCTCGTCATGTTGTTTATTACGAATCATAGCATCTAGTTTTGCAGTCATCTCCTTCTCGATTTCTTCGGCGTCTTTATATTCTTTCCCAACAACTTCATGGAGAGATTTTGGCAGGTCGTAGTGTTTTACGCTGCAATTTCAATTGAGCAAATGCGTTTTTTGCAAGATTCACCAGAACTAATACTACTGGAATTCGCAGAAGTAAAAGAAGACAAACACCAGTAGTAATAATGATTTGAACCTGAAGAAGTCCATCGGAAGGTTAATTTCATCTCCCGATAGTGAGTTCTTCATTGCGTCGGGCTTGAGTTGCGCTAGAATGGACATTGAAGCAAGGGTGCTGAAGATTTTCGACTTCAGATCTTTATTTGTTTCTTTTTCATCTTCGATTTCGCTGTTTAGAAGGGAAAACTTTGTCATCAGATTTCGTCCGAATTCTCTAAAAAACAGATCATGATAGATTACGATCAGAATGAGTGTATGTTACTTGAGAAGTTCTTGGTCAAAAAGATTTTCTCCCGTCCTCTTCTTTATTATTTGCACTCCTTCTAATGCTAACAAGGTCGTGTGAACATCTTTGTAAAACGCCTCCCCTCTTCGCCTCGTCAAAGTTTTCATAAGAGTTGCAAAAGCCGGCTCGCCGAAGATTCGTGTGTATTTAAACATATCAGCATCTCGGTGGCGGAAGAAGGCCTGCAAAATGTGCAGATTGGCTTTGACATCGTCTTCTAGAGTAGGGCCTGTTGGGAAATTGAGAGTTTTGTCTTCCCAAAGATCAAGGAGGGACATAATTCTGGCAAGGTTTTCAGGTGAGTTCTTTTGACGAATGGCGAATTTGACAGACAATTTCTGTTCTTCCGAAGCGATGAATGCGCATTTCCCCAAAACCAGAAATGATCTAAATAAATTAAGCATGGAATATTGTCTCGATCCCTTACGTTGGTAAAAACGTAGTGGCCATAGATGCAAAGTAAATGTCTTCCACTTTTCTTGACTCCATTTCCCTCAGAATTTTACAAGTTTCATATTTTTCCAAAGTGCTCCAAAAGGAAATCCCAGAAAGATGTTTTATTCGAGTTTTCTCGTAGACTTCTTCAAGGGTAGAAACTGGAAGAGAATTGTCGAGGTCATCATGTGATGTTACAGCGGGGATGGAAGAAAAAACCGGCAGATTTGAGTAGTAAGTGCTTGTTAGTTCGTAAAACTTCTGATTGAAGATGCCCATTCGCACTTGATCTACGACTTTTTGGGGTATTTTCTCATCAGAGCCAGCAGATACTCCTTGAAAAAGGAGACCAATAAGCATTCTTAATTCATCAGAATGTGAGAAAGTAATTCATTTTGCACGGCAGTGGACGTTCAATCCATAAACAGATACAGTAAATAACCTAGATATGAAGGAACCTTATTGGAAAAAAGGAGATAAAAGCAGAAAGTTTTATAGTCCCATTCTTGGGGTTCGTGGCCGGCCAAGAGGCGTTCGTGCCTCCTTCTTCCGGCGGAATTCTTCTATTCTTGACATGGGCGAGGCTGGACGCTTCACGGGCTCAGTGAGCGCGCGCTCTCTCTTTGGAGTCGGCGCACCTGGCATCGCGATCCGCACTGATGTCAACGAAGGCTAAACCGATTATAAACAATTTAGAACTGATTTGTTTATTGACCTTTTTGAATGCTTCTTCAGCGGCTTTTCGTTTGTCCATTAGTTCCTTGTCTTTGTGGAACTGAGCATCCATAGCTTCGAGGTTGGACATTGTCTTTGATGCAGCTTCACGGCGACTCTTGAATACGATATAAAGTCTTCAAAATTAAATAAGTTTTTCTTACCTTCGAGCTCTTCTTGATTGAGTAAAACATAGGGCCAAGTTCAGCAAGCCATTCTCCCTCAACAGCCGTAGCGACATGCATGAATTCCTTTGATGTCATAATCAGCTCGTGGTAGACGACATAGTCGGAAGCATATCCCATTCCATAGAGAGCGGAAGTGGGATGAAGATGACACGGCATACCAGTCCGAATGTTCACATATTCAGAGAGACCTAAATAGCGCGTTGTAAAATGCAAAAATACCGCGAATACCTTTCAGCTTCGCCGCGGCGTGAAAATAGGCTGCACAGATGCACTTCCGGACGATATCCCACGCCGCGCCGCAGGAGGTAAGCGTGAGTTTTTGCGAGTCCATGATTTCCTTGAGCTGGCTTCGAACCTCACGGACTTTGCGCATCGCCTTCGCGTGAATAAAATGCTTCGTACACCATGTATCTTTGTACCCATGCTTCTTCCATTGTGAGTAGACATTCAAGTATGTCATGTGGTCGGATTCAGGGACGTTGAACTTCTCCCGCATCGTGTCTATTCGAAAAAATAATCACGAGAATACACCAACTCTAAATTACCTGCATCCTCTTCTCGACCTCTTGGTCTGAAGAAAATCGTTGGCACAGAAAGCATGGAGACAATTGTCAGCATTTCTTCAGAACAGCCCATGTCACAAGAAGTAATCAACATTTTCGACATGGCTGGATCCATGGGGAACTCGACCATCAGTCGTCCTTTATCCGTGAGTTTGCCAGTGTTATCAAGAGCGTTAAGGATCCATAACGAGTACATTGAGTTCAACATGTTATCCTTAAAAATAATGGTAATCAGTAAGAATTGAAATTCTCAAAACCTGTGGAGGAGGATCCATGAAGTGAAATTTGAGGAGATCATCAACATTCAAAGATTTTAGAAGCAAAACAACGTTCGACAAGTTGGTTCGCTGAATTTCAGGGACAGTTGTGAGCAACATTTCGGACTTGTACTGGGAGAGCGTGTATAATCTAAAGGCAGTGCCGGCGCCAGTTCGACCTGCTCGACCTGACCTCTGATTGGCATTAGCCTGCGAGATCGGGTAGACTTGCAACGAGTCCATACCAATTTTTGGGTTGAACACTTTGAGTTTGCAATATCCAGCGTCGATCACATATTTGATACCGTCAAGAGTAAGGGATGTTTCAGCAATATTAGTGGCGACGACACATTTTCGGCAACCCTCAGGGGCTTTTTCGAAGATCTTGGACTGAAGATCCGACGGCAATTGAGAGTAAATCGGCAAGATGGCGAGCGCAGGTGACTCGTCTACCTCATCCAGTCGCGTGCGGATTTCGTCACAGGTCACTTCGATAGCCTCTTGACCCGGCATGAAGATCAAGATATCGCCTTCGTCCATGGACAGGTGCACCTGAAGTGCCTGTTTCACAGTGGATTCGACGTAATCCTCCACTGTCGATTTCGCCCAGAGTACATCTACGGGGAAAGTTCTTCCAGGAATTTTGTAGATTGGAACACCGCCGAAGAAGTCGGAGAATTTTCCGGCGTCCATGGTAGCGGATGTAACAATCAGTTTCAAGTCATTTCTTCTAGCGACAACATCTCGTAAAATACCAAAGAGGACGTCTGTGTTCAGGGATCTCTCGTGAGCCTCGTCCATGACGATGCAGGAGTAGTGATCAATGTCAGACTCGCGCAAAGTCTCTCGAAGGAGGATACCATCAGTCATGTACTTGATCACGGTCTTTTTGGAGGTACAATCTTCGAAACGGATGGCGTAACCGACTTCTTGGCCAAGCTCCACACCGATTTCATCTGAAACTCGCTTCGCAACGGACATGGCAGCGACTCGACGAGGCTGAGTACACCCAATCATTCCCCTTTCTTGAAAAAAGGATGATTACTTTAATAAAGATGGGCTAAATATACCTCCGTATCCCTCTTCCATCAAATATTGCACGAGTTGAGTGGTTTTTCCCGATCCCGTCTCTCCAACAATGACGACAACCGAGTTCTCTCGGATCAACTTTGTTTAGGATATTTTTGACAGCTTCTGTGATAAATAAAATCCGGGCATGCTCGAGTGCGTGCACCGAGGGAATTACTAATAACGCAGAACAAATCAATCCTGTCCTTCATCAGCTCAGCGCGTGAGGCGTAAATGGGTAAGAACTCTCGTTGTTCACGAATGGTCTTGGTCCTTGAGAAGTTACTCGCTCCTTCGCTCTGATTCTGCTTGTCCAAGTGAGCTTTGAATTGCGAGTTTGCCTAACGAATAATATTCAAAAGATTTATCACAATGTCTCGGTTACCTTGAAGTTAGTATCGTCATCTTCCCGTTCCTCTTCATCTTCAGCGTTCTTTACACCGAGCACTTGACCCATCTTTGATCCGGCGAGTTCCCAGTCTTTGTGCATCGCCTTTTTGCGCTCTTTTTGTTCCCTGTGCTTTTTGATCAAGTGAGAACCCTCTCGCGCAACGACCGCCATATCCGACGTTGCATCTTTTCAAGGTTAAAGTTTGCCTCATTGAACTCGTCTTTCTCAAGCTCTCGCCGAAGCATGAATAATTTGTCGCTCAATTTTGATTCTAGCGTAACTAGTTTGGGAAATGTGTACGGCCACCGCAAATGTCGCAAGATTGACCTTTTCAACGATGCCGCCACCGGGCGAATTCAAAATCAAAAAGATCCGTGCCGCTGTTCTGACGATTATGTGCTGAGCGATTGATAAGGGTTACGGATGGGTGCAGGAATTCACACGCCAGAGTTTCAAAAACTAGGCCGTAACGAATCTGATTTGGGATAATGGAGGTAAATCCTAGTCGATCAAATTTAGCTTACGCCTTCTGGACAGGAGGTTTCGGAATCTCTAAAACTCGATGAGAAGATTATCCGTGCACTGGAATCAATATCATTGAGCATTGGCTATTTTACGAGACGTTGATGATCAAAGATTCTACCACCAAAGAAAAAACTGAAGGGATAATCCTTCCCACTCCTTAGTCAAACACTCACCTTCCAAAAGGGGATGAAAAAAGTCTTTTAACGACTTGCTCTGATCCTTAAATCACTTTTGTCAGGTCGAAAAAACGACACGCACTTAGTAAATCTCACTATTGTCAAGCAACTTAATTTTTGAAAAGGGATTACAAAATCCCCTCAATTCACTTTCGTCTAAACAACTCTTTGTTGGACAACAAGACTACATTCCTTGCAGTCAGAGCCGGAAATCACAATCCCCGTTGTCATTTGGCGTTACTATAAACAAGACTCTTGTTAGGATGAGTACGTGGTTATCGGAAGTCGCTATCGGCAGGTCCTAATTGGATTCACCTGCCGGATTCGGCTCCGGGCAGGTGGCTCAGTTGAGCGCGGCGGAAAATCGGAACACACGCGGCCTTGCGACTAGCGCTCAGCTGGTGGCGCCGTTGTCGCAATGTTTCGGCGGCATAAATAGGAACCCGAAGCAGATTAACTCAGACAAACATCGACTTCCAATAAGAAAATCAAATCTAAAAACTCAAAACTAAAAACTGAGAGATGAACACTTCTTCCGAATATTCCGACTCTTTTTCCGATGGCTCTTGCGGCAACGGATTCTCTGGCTTCATGTCATCGACTCCAAAGAGATCTAGCAGCAGAATCAACATGCCAGTCATGCCTAAGAAGCTTCACCGAACAAAGTCCACTGCAAGATCTCTCAAGAACATTTACAGCTCTGGCAATGAAACTGACTCTGTGACAGCCGCCGTTGCTCAGCCAGTCAAGAGACGACACCGACAGAAGACTCAGAAAATCCGATCCTTCGCTAGCCAGAGAATGACGATTGCAATTGGAGTGCTCAGATCGACTGATCCAGTCCCAAATGAAATTACAAACGTCCCATCTTTCGAGGATGAGTGCAAGTCCGACGAGCCCATCTACAACTGCAAAATCTGCTCGAAGAAATTCTTCCACGAGTCCGCCAAGGTTGCTCATGAACTCCTCCACACTTCGACCTTACCCCGAAAGAAAATGCTCCCCAGACCACGCGAAAATCTCAAGCGACGGTGCCTCAACAAGCAATTTGCCCAGATGAACCTTGAGGAGGCCCTTCCAAAAGCGCCAGAGAAGCCGATCATCCTCAAGAGTCCCTTCAGAAAAGTCAACTTGGAGCTCTCCTTTCAGGCAATTGAGAAGCAACACACCTGCTCCGTTTGCAACAAGAAATTCGCCCGAAAAGCATCGATGAGAATCCACCAAGCAAAACGACACTTCCATACTCGTGAATTTCTCCTCGTTCTGTAAAAAGCCAAACCAAACTCGTCTGTACAAAATTATGTGTCTTTTGTAAATACCCGAATATACAGAAAATAAATCCAAAAGAAGCTCAAGCGCGAAACTTTGAACCTTTTCCTTTGACAGGCACGACCGGCTCCGGTTGTTTAGTGAAGATCGTTCGACCGTCGAGAAACGGTGGCATGATATTGTGCACCAAAATATGCACTCTAAATTGGAATCGCTGCGTCACAAAGTAGCGTAAATAAGTGACCATACCTTGAACCAGTTGTTTCGTCAAAATCTTCATCGTAATTGGTTTGAGTAACAACACCGGATCTTAGAAGAAGTTCGGCCTCCCATTTTTCGTTGTCGATGTTGTACTGTTGATGCTTTGCCGACATTCTCAACGGCTCTCGTTTTTTCTTCAGTTGATCTTCCTTCTTGTCAACATATTCCTGGTCAGGGTCCATTCTGTGCGGATCGTTTCCTTCATCCATTGTGTACCAATCTCGATCTGCTTGTTTCTGGTCTTCTTCGTATTCACGGAGCTCGGAAGCTGACCATTCAGTTGTCCTGGTAGATTCGCTGCCTCGATCGTTTAATTTCTTATCCCCCATCCAGTCATTGTATTTATACGATGGTGTTGGAAGTGGGGTTCCTTTTTCGCCCCGCTCAGAGCGCCTGTCCGACCTAAATATCTGAGTGAGCATAACAATCAAACCTTCCAGTTTATTCGTAATAAGTACCGTATATAAGGTGATGGGGATTCCCTTGGTGTTCGGCCTGGCGTCGGAGTTTCCCACGATCGATTTCCGCGTTCTGATCTATCAGATCGGCCTCCCCGTCGGTCTCGATCCCTGTTTCGGTCTCGATCTCGTCTGTCGTCATCTTCCCAGTCTTCGTATCGAGATCCTTTATTTCTACTTGACTGGTAGTCTTTTCTATCCTTGTCTCTTCGTTCTCGATCGCGTCTTCGCTCGTAGTACTTGTCACTGACACCGCCAGTATTTGAAGGAGTTTCAATTCGCTTTCGTCGGTAATTTCTGTCTCCATCGCGGTCTTTTTCTCGCTCTTCGCGCTCCCTCTCTTTCCGTTTCTTCTCTGCTAGAGCTTCAAGGCCAAAGGCAGAAGGTTTTTTGAATGTTCCATTTTCCTCTTTCTTCTTTTTAACCACGAGACCTCCCTTACTCGGCTCAGGGGCCTTGAGAATCTCGGCCGAATCCTCGTCAAAGCCCATGCTGCAAAAAAGAACAATTTTAAAAATTATTTGGAATGAAAGGAAATATTTTATTTAAGAATTGACTTTGAACAGGTGTTAGTGCTCGATTGAAGAAAATAGTTGGAAGCAGAAGTTAAAAGTCGTGAACATGATTTCGCATTGAATTGGCGCGCATTTTTAAATACTGGACGACGAAAGAAGGTCCGCGCAGACGGTACTCGTCCGGGATTTCTGAGAGTGGGCATTTGTCGATAGAGAGGATCTGAAGGGAGCGACAGTCCGCGAGGTTTTCGGGGAGATTGTGAAGATTCAGATTTGAATTTATGAACAGCTTTGAAAAACGTTATTTTGGAAAGAAAAAGATAAAATCTACCTCTTGAAGAGACTCGAGCATTCCAATATGCGGCGGTATCAGAATAAGATCATTTTCACCAAGCAGCAGCTTTCGTAATCTCTTTAACGAGCCGATATCAGTTGGAAGCTGCTGAATTTTGTTTGACGTGAGGACAAGTGTCTCCAGATTCGTGCAGTAGCCGATGTCGGATGGAATGTATTCGATCTTGTTTTCATCTAGCTCGAGAATTCGCAATGACTTCATGTTGCCAATTGTGTCGGGGAGGAACTCGAGACGATTGTTCGACACTTTCAGGTCTTTGAGAGAATACTTGTGAAGTTGTCTTTTGTTACATGAGTTACCTTGTAGTTGATCGAGATTTCCGATTCCGACAGAAACAGTTTCCAATAAATTGCTGGATAAATCGAGCTCCGTGACAGTCTTCCAAGTCGCAATTTCAGCAGGAATGTTTTTGATAAGATTATTGTGAAGCAACACTTTCAGGATCTTTGGCAGCGTGAATACTTTGGGTCGGAGTGAACTGATTTTGTTGTACGAGCCGTCGAAGGAAGTGAGATTTTCGAGTTTTGATAGGTTGGGTATGTCGGTGAAGGTGTTTCGTGCGATTGTGAGGACTTGAAGCTGCAAAATTATGATAAGAAAAGGAAATCTTATGGGTTATTTTTACCTTTGTGCAGTTTGCGAGGAAGGAGGGAGGAAAAGAAGATATCTGATTGCTTTCGATATTAAAATGGACGAGATTCTTACACTGTTCTATCGACTCTGGTATCACTTGCAGTCTGTTGTATTTTAGAGAAAGACTCGTCAGACTCGTGCAGTTACCAATCTTTTCTGGTAGCGCTTCAAGCTGGTTATGACTAGAAAAAGTCATTGAAACGACGATTTTTTTCAAGTGAAATTACCTCAAATCTAAAATAGACAACGATACACACTCAGAAATCGTCTCAGGAATACTCTGCAGGTGATTACTCTTGAGCATCAGTTTTTGCAAGGATTTCAGTTCGCCCAATTCGCTTGGAAGTTCTGTGAGTTTATTCTGACTAAAGTCGAGATGCACAAGATTCCGCAAGTTGCCAAGCCCGGATTTTAATCTCGTCAGCTTGTTGTGCGTCAAATACAGCTCCATCAGAGACGATAGCTGATAAATAACCAGTGGAACATCTCCCTCGAATTTGTTGTGTCTCAGATCAAGCCGCTTTAAGCTCTAGGAAACGGCTTTGATAACAAATCTTGGTAAAGAAAGAGTTACCGTTAGATTCGCAAGTGAATCTGGCAGCGAGGAGATCTGGTTTTCGCTGGCTGCAAAGATTTGCATCTCTCGCAAGCAACCGATTTCGCGCGGAAGCGTGTGGATTTTGTTTTTCTGCACGTACAAATTCTGCAGCGTCTTTGACAGCTCAGATATCGTCGCACTCATTGAATGATTATTCTGATCAGATAGATCTAAAACGAGCGGTAAGCCAAATTTCAAACAAGAAAAGAATAAACGTACCAAGTGTTGTTGCACCTTTCGACTCTCGAATAAGCTTCTTGATTTTCTCCTGGTCGGACCTGTCAAGCTTTCTGTAGTCTTTTGACGAGGCTCCTCTCTTTTTCGGAAAGTCTTTCAATGAAACCGACCTCGAACTCTTACTCGCCATTTTTTTCTGGAAGAATAAAAGAAAATGAAAACGGATTTGTGGCGAATATTGTGAATTGTGGCGCAACGGGACACTGGGTTTTATTTCGTGCTGTCGATCAGAAATCGAAAAAAGCGATTAGCCAGTGGCTATTTTCGAAAGTAACGGATGATGTTTTCAAAAGTAGGAATACAAAGAAGTGGGTTAAAGAGTTAGCAAATCCTGGGAATCATTATTAAGAGCTTCGCAAAATAAGGCTTCGTAATTTGACGGCTTTCGCGTCCAGAATGTAACACTTCCATTCCAGCTAAAACAAAAATTGTCGAGAAAGAAAAGTAGAAAAAAGTACCTAGAAGCCGCTAAAACGGGAAGATGTGGATGCCAATCGACGTCTCTCACCAAGTTGCATTTATTGTGACAGTTGAAATAATCAGATGTGAATTTTTGGACATTGAGTTCTTTTGAATGCAGATCCCACAGATTATATCCGCCTCTGTAATCGCCAGAGTAGATGTATCTAAAGATTTCTTGTGAGCGAAGTCTCTCAAAGCTCCAAAATACCTGTTGTTCGTGTATTGAGGTGAAAACTTCGCTCGGATCAAAGTCTGCAGCAAAATATGCCCTTTCAAAGTGAGCACACTAGTATCTTCTTCATCCACTTCAACAACTGTATTCTGATGCCTCGTGGGAACATAATCGTGTCGGTAGTCCCAGTAGTCGTCTGCGATTTGAGAGGTGAATTTCTCCGTCGCCTCTGGTCTAAAAATACGCGTTTACTCCTTGAGAAAACCCTAGAGAAATTTTACCTCGTAAACATTCGAATATCCCAGAGTTTGATTGCTTGATCTTTTGCTGATGTGAGTAAAGTTCTTCCATCATGCGCCGTATCGATGTACGCGATTCCATTAGCATGCCCAGCAAAGTATCCAACAACGCCCTTCTCTCGTTTATTTCCAAACAAACGCATGTCCCAGCAGGAAACGATTCCACTATCACCTCCAGCGAATGCCAAATTATCGCTGAACTTTTCAAAGCACACGGCATTCATATCATAGTCGTTCTTCTGATCCATGTCGCTCGTTACTTTTTGCGTTCCAATATCAACCAGCAGCAGTCTTCCGTTGTTGGAACCTCCGAACATTTTTGAGCTGTTAAAATTGTAGCGCAAGCTGAAAACGGCCGATCTGTGGCCGGAATAGAAGCTGTGGTTGTTGACGGGCAGGGGAATGTTGTGCACGCTTCTGTCTGTTCTATCGTTGTCGATGCGAAAGACGGAGATATTGTTACACCAACTTGTGACGGCGCCGTATTTCGAATCAGAGGAAATTGCTAGATCGATAATCGCCCAGCCGACGTCTTCTATGTTGATCTTTTTGATAATAGCGGCTTTAGGATCGGCGTCCTCGTCGGACTCCTCGTTTGTCAGGCGATTCGCATCGTAAATGTCCACTTGGTTTTGTTCTTTCTGACTGGCGGTGACGAAAAATTTGCCACTTGGCGTCCAAGACCCGGAGAAGACTCGGTATCTGTGTTGAACTGGCTCTGTTTTGCAGAAATTTGGAATGATGGATGCACAATGGCTTGCTCGAAGCTTCTTCGAATTATAATTTCGAGAGTCGAGGTGAGAACGGATCCAAGAGCGGTTGTGGGCTTTCGGAGCTCTGGATTTAAATCGATTTCGGAGAATCATTGCTTTAGCTGTTGATATTGTTGGATTAACGATGTCTTCCATTTCGCCTTCTCGCGGCAATCCTTCGTTGAAAATATGTTGCCGTCTGTAAAGAATCCGTGCGAGTTGTAGAGCGGAAAGCTGGGATTCCTAAAAGCGGAATTTATTGGCTTCGGGGCGGTTGAATGGACGGGGATCTTGTTTATTCCGAAATCTTATTCGTCGGTAGTTTAACGATAGCCGTTTTTAAGCTTCACTGATTTGATTTTTTTACTTTGAAGAAAATCAATAATCTGACAACGTGTACCAATTTATTCTCAAAATCATTACCTCCTGAGCACTGGCGCTACTGGCTCCAGAATTACTGGACTCCGAGCGAGCGAGTCTTCTATTCTCTCTTTCATATCTTTCCCTGACTTCTTCGTCTTCTCCTGCCTCAATCACACCGTCTTCGTTGCTAGAATCTGATTCAGTCGTCCATTCGCTGTCAGTTTGATAATCATCTTCCATTCGATCATCTTCTCTATCATCAGATCCACTATCCATATTTTTAACGCGCCCAAACGATAACTACCTTCTTCTGAAAAAAATCCTGCCACTTTCTCAGAATAATTTTATGCGCTCGCTGACTGCGTTACGTAACAGCCACAAGATTAGTCAAAACTCTGGCGCGATATTCGCGAACGTTCGGAGCCAATGGCCCCGGGGAGATGTTTGGCTACTGTCATTTTGTGCCCAAATCTCTATTTCTACTAGAAATTTTCTAGTTTAAACTGAATGTCAAGGTCAACATAATAATCGGTATTTCATGATAGATAAGCCAGATGATTACAACTAAGGTTTAATAGAGGGATATCGATAAATGGATATTGACTTTTGTCAATCAATGTAGTCCTTCTTGCAAGTCTGAATTTTACTGGCAAGGGAATCTCCTAATCATGCTAGACGAAGCAAGTTCTGAACAGGAAAGACCACTCTACTTTTTAATTTAATCTGAAGTGTCCTTTTTACTTGATCCGGGTTCAAGTAGAACGAGGCAATCAAATTATCGAAAAATGGTCCATCACTTAGGCGGATCCTCGATTATTAGTACACACTCGTTGGCAGACGAAAATGAGCATGGAAGTGGAGAGAGCTTTGTTGAAATAAAGAGCATGGAAGAGAGACCGTTTGTGGAGCAAATTGTCATTGGGAATTTGCGAGTATGGCATGTAGCGGGAATGATCATGGGAGCTGTGCTCGTGGTTATCATCTCTCTATGCTGTCTTTTCAAATGCAGGATACCAAGGTATTCATAGATGGAATGAGTGATTAATTATTCTCGAAAAGGACGAGGAAGGAAATCGAAGCAAATGCAGCCCGAAGAAGAGGAAAACGCGCGCACGGTAAGTATCGGTGATGGGTTTACATTTCCTCTCGATTGCGAGCTTTAGACGAATCTCCTTAGACGAGGATGAAGAGACTGGCCTCCTCACTGGCGAAAGGCAAGTTCAAAATCTACTCAAGGTCTGATCTTGTCGTAATTTTCGCATACTATTGAACTTGGGCAAAGAAATGTGATAAGACGGACGAACGTTGCTAACTTGTGATCGGTGTTTCTGTAAAATAAAATACACAAGCTTTTGATTTTCAATTTTTTTATTTGAACTGAGGAGGAAGGAAGAATTTGAACATGAAGATATTAGATGCTGTCATCGTCGAGAATAGTTTTACATTCGCAAAAGCAGGCTTGGTTTGGACATCGTTCGCGCTGATCGAACCACTGTTCTTGACAGGCAATGTGACTGTTGTGATTGCATTTGACGCAGCACCAACTTAGCCCAAGAATATCTTGCCTAGAAATCATATTAGCCCTGAGAACACTATCTTTACACTACCTGCAAATTGTGCATTTGATATTTGCGAGTAAATTACACTTGTTGCATCTTTCGCATTGGCAGTGTGAGTCTTCTATGTTTTCGATCGGTGGATTCATACCAAGCAGCCTGAAAAATGATGCTAGAGAGGGCACGAACAGTGGAGATAGCATTAGTCTAGCGACAGGTAAAGTCATATACAGAGGAATACCAGGTATATGACTGGAAAACGGCTGTTATGGGATGGAGCATGCTGTTTTTAGTTCGAATACCGTCTATTTACTCAAGACCGAATAACCTGCTTCGACGTCTTTTTCCCAAGTCTGGGCTGCCCGAAGAAATAAGCCGGGTAAGCTTTGACACCAATGGTGAACTATTGAAGTTGTTTCTTGTTTTGGATTATTTACAACACAGACAATACTGAATCGAAATATATCTTACTTGGTGATCTTTTTATTTTGTCGTTCTCGGTCGTGGAAGCTTCGGGAAGACTTCATTTCTTTAGATGCGGGAGACAAACGTGACTAAATTCATTTTAATTATCAGAAAGTCATTGGGATTTCAATTTACTTTGTCGGTTAAATGGCTTTGGATCATGGTTTCTGCAAACATAGACTTAACAAGCTTTGTTCTTTCGAAAAACATCTTCCAGCTGTCGAGAATTCTTGAGTACTGCTGGACATGCGTGTGCAATATTTGCACAGTTGGTGGAGAGAGCTTCAATAGCGAAATGAGCGACTTTTGATTTATTTCTTGAGTCCAGTTATCTTCGAAATACGGGACGGAAGATAAATAAGAAGCAAGGATTGCCAAGGTTTGTGTTTCAATTTTCTTGTCGCCGGTTAGAATTATTTTTTCAATAATCATTCTCGCATTTGGCAGCCAGTGAAATTTGAAGTTGAACAAGTTTTCTTCCTGCAAAGCAGCTGATTTCTCAATGAAATTCTGCCAATACTGGAGAATGGTGCGCAGTGTCGACCAGACAATAACGCTGTAGCCAAAAGACTCATCGCTGATGCTCTTGATATGGGCCTTAGCCACGGCTAAATTGCGCTTGACCAATTCTATTCGAAACACATCATCTAGTCTGTAGATTTCAGACGGCTGAATAATCGCCATGTTCTCAGAAATTGTTGGAATCGAGTATCTCTCCGCAAGAACACGGGACAGATTCGTGAGAGGGGCAATTGAGTGGAGCTCAACTCGAAGAGGAGGATATTTTTGAAGATTCTGAACTTGTCTTCCGTCGATTGATCCTTGTCGTGTGAGACCGATGTTTCTCAAATACGGCACTCTTGATCTCGGGGAATGATCAGTAGATTCTCCAAGCTTCGGTTGGGCGAGATTGAAGAAGTACTGATACGTAAATCCCTGCATTTGCGCGGCTCTGCCGTGTTCAGCTGTGACTGAATGCCTTTTTATGTTGAAACTCTGGCTTGGAATGATCGGTAATTCGGACGGAAAAGAAACTTTCTTATTCGCCCAGACTACGAGTTTATCTGAACACCAGCATGTCCCACACCGAGCAGGGAAAGGAGCATTCTTCATTTCATGCTTTGAAAAAGTCGGGCCTGGACCAGGTCGAACAGGCACAGACGCTGTTGGTACTTTCAGAGCTTCGCTTCTGACAGAGACAACAGATTCCGAGTTTGAGTTCCTCAGCGATCGGACCACTTCCGATAGTTTTATATAAATCGATTCCAAAACAAATTTCCCAGTTTTCATCCTGATCGTCTGCTCGAGATCCTTTTTGAATTCAATTTGCTCATCAGCGGTGTAAGCGGGGACCGCTGCAGAAAGTAAAGAAGGCATCGCACTTTTTGGATAACCTTCTGGCACAAGAAGGGAAACTTTGACGTGCGTGTTCGTTGTGAATTTAACAACAACAGCACCCTCTCCAATTTCTTTGGAGATTTGAATTCCATACTGATTGTTTTTCCTTATCAATGTCACTTCTCCTTCCAGATCTCTCAGCAACGCGTCAAGAACTGTAGATTTGTCAGGATTCTCAGAGTTTTCGTGAAGCGTTTCATTGCCAAGATCAGAAGTGGCTTGAAAATCTTTGAACATATCTTCGTCGTCGTCATCTGTCAGTTTGTATTTCCACCGATGGAAGTTTATTTGGTGGACTCTATCAACAGCATCGAGTTCTTTGGTGAATCCGATAATGCGAGAATCTCCATCATCACCTCCATTCACAATCTGTTGCCAATTGATGATCATACTTTGCGAGGAGATGGAAGAAATCGGTTGTTTCGGAATATTATGATTTGCTGATTGCTGCGGGCCATCGATGCTGAATATTTTTATCGAGCTGCTTCTGTATTGACTGTTTGCCGATGATCGACCCATTGGCACGTGAGCAAAGGTCGTTTCGGAATCTCGACCATCGTCGACCAAAACCAACACATGTTTTCCATCGGCAGAGAATCTTGCCTCCCGCGCGCCAGGAACAGTAGTCGAGAAAAGCTTCATCTTTTTCGTTCGCTTACTCGTGTCACCTTCCAACGGGCGTCTACGATCATGGACACAGAGAACGGGCTTGTTCGCCGCGCCTCCTTGGGTCATCAAAGATAGAACATAGTTTTCGTTAATATCGATGGATTTGGCGATGTTGTTGGCTCGCTGATCATCCATGTAAAACCACTCGCATGCTTGGCGCAGTTGTCGAAGATCCCAAAATTTAAGCTGACGATCGATTGTTGTCGCGAGTCTGTTGTTTTCCTAGAGACAGAATTTTAAATATCTTTCTTTCATAAGTACCTACTTTTGTATCCCATCTAACAAAAGAAGCTTGACTGACAGTATTGAATCGATTCACTAGCTTGATCGAGTCTTCAGTAACGCTCCAGACTTTTAAATTTGAATCCTTGCAAACTGAAGCCAACTTATTCCCCTTATTGGACCAAGCGATGTCATTAACATATCTCGAGTGGGAAATCGGCCGATTATTTTCTGCCAGAAGCCTTCTAACAGAATAACTTTGAGTCAGAGTTTCCTCGTTCAATGTCGGCACTAGTTGATTGACTTCAATCATTTCAGTTTTGCACAGCGTGGCAAAAAGACCAGAGTATTTTTCATTACTGAATTTGACAACGGAAGGGTCGAACTTGTGCTCGAAATTCGTCGTTCTTTCGCGACGGCAAACATCACTGAAGCAACACTTAGATTGCTTAGAAATAAGGCCCCAAGTCGGAGTCAAAGGAAGGTAAAAATTAGTGGTACCTATCAGAAAACTTGTAGGCTTCGTTTCCTCCAACACTCTTCGCAAGGTTCAACACATGATAGTGATATTTGGAGCATAAGAGTGCGCATTTCAGCTGCGGATTGTACCCAATTACTGAAATTCTAGCGGGCGACAAGAGAGGCGTGATATTGCTACAAATTTCTTCATGATTATAATTCTTTACGACTGAATGTATACTGAAATCTTCCATTTACAAACTATCATCTGAAAAATATCGATATCAATTGATGTTTTATTAAATACTTTTCAATTATCAAAATGTGAAGTTTGTTATCAGTAATGTGGCAGGAAAAAATCGGTTTAGCAACCATGAAAAATTATTCAAAATCCGATGGCAGATCTTCATCGAAAGTATCATCTTTCGGTTCGGTTATCTCAAACTCGTTATCGGAATTTTCTTCAACTCGACACTGGCTCAGGGACTCTGTAACTTCTTGGTCTGCGGTTGAACTATTTTGACAAGTGTCTGAACTTGGAATGGCTTCGTTTTGTCTTAGCTTTTTCTTTGCATCGGGAATGTTCGAAGAGTCACTTTTTCGCTTTTAGAGGATTCAAAACTGATCAGATGCGCTATATTCTCGCAATAAAGCAAATTTGAAATCATTCCTTGTTCGATGGAGCCGGCGCTGGAACAGAGCTAGCTTCATTATCAAGCTCTGCGACAATATCATCGAATTCATCGTCATCATCAAATCCGTCATTTTCTTCATCATTTTCGTCCTCCTGCTTGAGGTTCTCATGCTTCTCCTCCACCGCTGAGTTTCCTAAGCCGGCTCCTTTGAGCGTTTCTAACTTCTTTTGGATCAAACTTTCAAGGGTGTTCATTTCCAATTTTTTAAAGAAAAAAAGTCACTTTTTATTAAAAATAAAATAAATAGTTTATTAATGAGTATTCACACAAAGATCAATGCAACAATGACAGACGCGATACCAATACCAGAGCAAGAGAATTGATTGTAGAAGTAGTCCGTCCAGAATTCGGATTTTTCGATCCAAGTCGCGTTCCGACGCTTGTCATAAGCGCGTTTCCATTGAGATAGAAGGCAAACGATGCAGACGGCGACTGTAGCTGTAAGAACGGCTGAAGATGGGCGAGAGTTAGGGAGGTTAAATGATGAAGATTAGCTTACCGAGAGCTACTCTTCGAATAATCATTCGTGTTTTCTCTGTCAAAATCGGTCGCTTTACACAAGGCTCGTTTTCGTCAAATTCTTGATAGTCAATATTTCCTGATGGATAAGGACGACGCTTGTCGGAGTAACTCAGCCTTCTCCGCGCTTTTGGCGTTGGTCTATCCGATCCATAACCGCTCCTGAATGGTGATAGATACAATTTTTTCTTGTGCTCCTACCTTCTTCGGTTTCGATGGGCGCTTGAAGGGGTTCTTTGTAATGACTGGCGTGAGCTTGATCTGCGAACTTCTCTGGATGACTCGTAAGTAGTGTATTCTGTGTCATATTCTGTTGAACTGTACTCTGTCTCATCTGTGGACGCTTCGGTGTAATATGTTTTTGATTCACGTCGATTTCGCGAGTGATTGTCGCGGCCTAAACAATTGCTAGAATTTTGAGAAGGAAGTCGGTTAATCTTACCTGAAGTCCGGCGCGACCTGCGGTTCCTTCGTTCTCGCATGACGGAAGTCTACTACTGAACAACTGAACTGACGACAGCAAACATTTGGCCCTATTCTAGAGATATTCTAGAGAATTCTCAAAAAACAAAATGAACACCCATTCCTCCAGATCCACTCGTCGGCCGTGTTCTTGGCAATCAAATATTCGATATTGACATCTGACTCGCGCCCGATTCTGTGCGCTCGATCCTCTGCCTGGACCATCACACCAGGTGTGTAATGAAGCTCGGCGAAGACCACTGTCGAGGCTTTTGTGAGAGTCACGCCTGCAAGAAAATTTTTACCAAATCGACTTCATCTTGAAGATTTACCCATATTTACAGCGGTGATTGACAGGAGGGCACATTTTACATTTTCATCGTTTTGGAATTTTTCAACAAACATCGTTCTATCGTCAGATCTAGTCGAGCCAGTGATTTTGATGAGATTTCCTTTTATCTTTGGGGAGAGATTCTGCTCTAAACTGTCGATTACAGAGCGATGATGAGCAAAGACGAGGATTTTTTCGTTTTCATTTTCGAGCTTTTCAATCAGATATTCTACGAAACTTGTTTTATCGAGAAATAAAAGGAAGAACTTACCGCTGATTGACTTGATCTTCGCGTCTCCAGTGGCAGAATACCATTTATTCCAAATCGTCAGTGGAGAATCATCAGCTTCTTTGAACTTGTCGGACAATTTTTCGAACTCGCCAGGTTTGAAATCTGCCTTGGTGATGCCCGAGGGAATCTTTTGAATTCCTTCGAAGATTTTGTAACACTTTTGCATCTCCCGCGACTCTGGAACTTTCATGTAAATGACCTTTCTCAATTTCGGCGGGAGATCTTTGAGCACTTGGCTTTTCAATCGACGGATCATGATCGTCTTTGAAAGAATCAACGAGAGCTCCGGGAGATTGTCGGAGCCAGAATAGTTCCATCCATATCTAGTTTTGATAGCAGCGCAGTATCGCACGCCAAATGAGTGACGATTGGGAAAGAGGTCTTTTTTGACAACTTCGATTTGGGAATGAAGCTCGATCGGTTTCGCAAGCGCTGGGGTTCCAGAAAGGCACAGAACTCGAGCTGCTCCGTTGCAAAGTACTGGAAAAGATTAAAAAACCACTTTTATTTACTGAACTCTTACATTTAGTGGATTGAGCTCGTTTGGCCGTTGCCGATTTGATGTAGTGACTTTCGTCCAAAATGACCATCCCGAACCGGGGTCTTCTAACTTGATCTTCTGAAAAGATTGAAACGTCGGTCATGTGTTTGTTTTTATCGACGATCTTAGTTGTCATTTCGTAACTCGTAATAACTACTTTCAAGTTGTTGCGAATCTTCTCTACATCTTTGCCTGTGTAAAGAACCTGAATGTTGTCCTTGTTGACGATTTCGCCAATCCAGTGGTTCATTTCGACGAGCCAGTTGAACTTAACTGAGCTTGGGGAAACGATCAACAGTGGCCAGTCTTTTCGATAATGAGCCGCTGCTGCCAGAGCTTGAATTGTCTTTCCAAGGCCCATTTCATCAGCAAGAATGGCTTTTCCCTTTCTTCGAATTATTTCTTCGAGTCCTTCTCGCTGGAATGGGTAAAGTGCTTTCAGTAGCATTTCTGGAACATTTGGAGTAATAGGGGCTTCTTCTGTCGTTTTCGGACGGAGGTATCGAGTGACTTGGGGAGGAAAAGGATTCACAGTCAATTTCGCGATGTTCGCTGATTTGTAAGTATTCATGAAATCGTGGTAAACCTCTAACGGAAAGGTCCAGAATCTCCATCTTTCTGAATATGAGCCGGCTGGCTGCCCGTTCGGGAGTCGAACTTTATTGAAAATTTCGTTGATCAACAATTTGTACGCATCTCTATCGAGCCACTTTTCCGAGGTAACAGCGAATCTCCCTTCTTCTCCCTTCACAAAGATGATTTGAACGACAATTTGGTCAGGATTTTCTTTGTCACCGGCAGCTTTGGATGTTCCAGCAGTGTTGGTCTTGTCGGTCAGGACCTTTTCGTTTTGATCGAATTCAAATCTATGATTGTTCTGCCGAAGCCAGTTGACAAGTCGGCCACACATAACTTTGCTTATCATCCAGACTTTGTGAGTTCCGTCCCATTTTGCTCCGAATTTCTTGATTTCTGAGATGATTTGTGGGCTGTACTTGAAGATTACAGCGTAGTTTTTCTGTTTATCCGTTTATCAAAGAATGTAAATAAATTTTTTAGTACTCATATCAATAAATATAAATGACAAACGCATTCCTCACATGGCTGGAACTTGACGAAAATCCCCATTTTCCTTTCTCCTATTTCTTCAAGGGGAGCATCGAGGCTGGTTTCTCTTGTTCTTCAAAGATTGAAAGAAATCCTCCCTCGCTCCGCCAATAAGCGACGATGCGAAATTTATTGACCAGCAGCGACAAATCGAGCTTTCAAATTTGCCCCTCTCAAAAATTTGTGAAAACATAACTTTTGATAAAACCGGGAATATATCTGGCGGGTTTAGTGAGAGAAACATGAAATACAAAATAGGGAAGAAAAATTAATTACCCTACAGATTTTAGTGACTAAAATTATTTTAGTCAATGACATCTTAGCCAACTGTACCTGAATGTAAGAAACTCTTATTTTAGGTGATAACCGTTTTGAAATAATTTTTCTTTTTAGAGCAAAAATAATGTGAACGCCTGCGGCAAGTTCCCATGAGGGGCGATTGGACGTCAATCTAATCCACTGGCAAGGAATGACATGCCTTTGGGGAAGAGAGAGAGAGAAAGAGGGTCGCCTCCGCGAGCGCCCTCCAACGGAAAATTGTTCTCCTGCCGGCCTGTTTTACAAAACCTACTGTCCGTTTTCTTCCTTGGAACAGAAGAGATAAGCAGGACCTTGTTGAAGAAAGAAAGCATGGCGGAAAGTCAAATTGATTTGATGAGAATGCTAGAACTGGCTCAGAGACTTCCGATGGCTTTTTGGGTAAGTTTTTTATTTATAATTTTATTTCATGAGAAATTATGTGTTAGAATAAATGAGTTAATCAAACACTGATAGAATTTCAATCGAAATGATGAATTTTCGAGTTTTAACTTGAGCTGTAATAACGCCGATGTTCAGTCTCATTTTGATAAAATCGATACGGAGCAAAGCCAGCCACCTAAATGGAATTTCCTCATTAATAAAGCAGGCGTGCAATGCAGCATCTTTTGGGAAGAAAGTACCAACAAAGAAACTGAAGAACCAACTCTTGGTATTGAAGAAGAAGGGGCTTGCCAGCAGCTTGCTAGCAATGTCGGGGATAATGTTAATCTGAGTGCGGCTTTGTTGGAAGTGCTACTTGCGAAAATCGATGATGAGAATTGCTCCGATACGGCAAGCCAAAAACTCGAGTTCCTCGTAGGATTGACGGCGAATTTAGATGCTGAGGAGAAAAGTGCACAAGTAAGATCTATGATGATGAAGGATAGATAAAAACCTGTATTTAGAAAAGATCTGACTCCCCTTCTGCCAATTCCAAGCGAGCAGGGAGCAAGCGCAGAAAACCGCCGCTAAATAAACCGGTCGATTCAAGCTTGAAACCCGAAACAGAAACGAAAAGAAAAATCATGTGCTACCTGCCGTCGAACATCTCCGAAAATATGCTCAAAAACGGCAGCTTCCCCGTCAAGTTGCAAAGTTCTAGCTCTTCAATCAAACCTTCTTCTGACTGTTCCAAATCAAATGATCCCGTTTCAAATATTGCTTTGAAAATGAATAAAGATGAAACTAATTGAATATTAATAATAAAATCGTCTTCAATATAAAAAGTCTATCACTTCCAAAATAAAGAATCTGTAGGCGTTTATTTCAATAATTTTGATAATTATATACTTCCGATAGATTCAGTGATTCGGAATGAAGTTAGTTTCTGAGAGCGTGAAAAGCTTCGCAATGGCAAAGACATTCACAGAGAACGCAGCGAAGGTATGAGCAGTTGAGATTGAAGAGGATGCTCGTGGGATATTCCGTCAATGAGAACGATTTAGATTAACTCGCTGACGTTCTCGCAAGATGGAGATTGCTGTCTCGCTGCCTCAGATGACGATTCAATCACAATCTACAAGGTGCGCGAAGGAACAGTCGACAGAAAAGTCTACTCGAAGAAATATGGCGTCGAAAATGTCAAATTTACTAAAAGAAGACATCAGTGCATCTATAGGTTTTAGATCGACCCGATCTTTGGTTTATTTAATGTTGATTCTAGTTCGAACAAAGTCAACGATGATATTCGGCATCAAGAATTAGAGCAAATTAAATACATTAAATATTTTTCGGGGCATAAAGACCGCGTTGTTTGCTTGGAAATGTGCCCTGGCCAAGAAGGTACTTTTTCGCTAGTAATTTTTATCATTAAAAATTATTCTATTCAGAAATGTTTTTATCTGGAAGTCGCGATAGAACAATACGCCTGTGGGATCTGCGTTCTCCCCTCTGTCAAGGACTTATGAAAACAAATGGCACTCCCATCGGAGCATTCGACCCGGCCGGCCTCATTTTCGGTAAGAGACACCCTTAAAAAGCCTGTTATACCCTGTAACTAAAGCGGCTGGCATCGATAACTCGACAATCAAATTGTTCGACATTCGTACCTTCGATAAAGGCCCCTTCTGTTCTTGGCACATTCCAAAATCATCAGACGCTGTTTGGACGAATTTGGAATTTTCTGCTGACGGCACTCAAGTATTGTTTCCCCCCTTCTTCATTGTTTTCAGCTGTGTTTTTTTTAGATTCTCATAACAACTAGTGGAGAGACGCTGAAAATTGTGGATGCATATAAAGGAGACTTGATCGGAGAAGCGAGGTGTCCGAATGGAACGATGACGAGAGCGTGCTACACTCCTGATGGCTCCATGATCGTCGCGGGGGATGATATGGGCACTGTGACCCTTTTCGACAATAAGGGACATACAGTATGCTTTTTAATTTTCTCCCTCCTCTTTCTCATGATTTTTAGCTTTCGAAAATGGACGGTCGTCATCCTCAAGCAATCACTGCCATCGCATTCAACCCCCGTTACATGATGCTCTCCACCGCATGTCACCAAAACTGTTTCTGGCTGCCGACGTTGGAAGAGTAGCCCATCAAGCTTCAGAAGTATTCTCGACTGCCCTCCAAACCCATTTCCAAGGACACTTGCGCATTATTTCAATTTATTCAACTTTATTCGACTATCCCCCTTATTTTAGTAAAATCAAAATGTTCAGAATATGAAAAGGCGACAGTCAGTTTTCGAACAAGTAAGAGGTCGAAAAGTAAGACCGAAGAAAATTGTCACAGATGGATTGTATCGGCTCGACCATCAGTCTTTCCAAGACTTTCCCCAAAGATCTGGCCGACCAACTTGCTCAAGTTTGGATATGGAGGAAAAGCTGATGCTCTTTGGTGAGTTTTCTTGCTTTAGTTCTAACTTATTAAAAATGTCTTCTAGGTTCTGATGAAGGAGAGATCGACATAGTTGACACGAATCTTCTGAGTTATCAGGGAGCGAAACCGATTGCTTCGAAGAGAATAAAAAACATGCCATGCATTAACGAAATAGAATGGTTTCCTGAAGACCAGTCGCTCTTTTTGACCCTGACTAATGATAAATTGCGAGTGTGGGATACTGCAAATTTAGTCGTTGGAGCAAGCAAAGAAAGAAGATACCTTGCTAGCGCTTTCAGACCCGATGGAAAATTAATTGCGCTGGTGACGAAAAAGGGAAAAGTCCGTCTTTACGATTTGAGAATCGGAAGCGATCGGAAAGAAATCGCTGATCCTGCAATGAAGAACGCAAAATGCCTTGCCTGGGCTACAAAGAGGCAAATCGCAGTCGGCTGCGAGGGAGAGTATTCTGATTCAGTTTCTGTTCACACGTACGATACTCGATTTGACCAACGACCTCTTGTCACGTGGAATAGTCAGAAATCGGGAGAAGGGGGGATTTCGAAGCTTCAGTGGGGGCCTCAAAGATCTTGCTTGTTCGCTGGAATCACCAAGTATATCGACAAGGAGGGGATGAGGGAGAAAGTGCCAGTTCCATCCGTTTATGTTTTATCACAAAACGAGCTCGTTCCCATCACTGAATACTATCATGAGAATACAATCGTTAGCGGTATGGAATTAATTATTGTTGCTGTTTCATATTTTCTCCTAGCAAACTCCTCAGGATTAACAAATGGGGAGAATCATTATGTCAACTTCAAATTCGTCGATTTTCAAAATCTTCTGATTGCGGATCACCATGACATTTACGTCTACGACACGACCACAAACTTGATCAAACAGGGGCTATCGTTTCACTGCGAATGGATAAACGGCTTCGAAGTAAAGAAAGCTGACCGGTCTTTGATTTCTTACGACAATTCGAAAGTGATACGAAGATGGTGCTCGAATATAGAATCTGATTTTATTCGAAGTCAAGAAGGCTTGAAAGCAGAAATTGCAAATGATGATGACTGGGAAAGTGAAGATTCTGAAGAAGTCTGACAGTTCCAAACATGAATTTTATTTTGCACTTAACAGTCAATAAAACAGACATTATCATTACTTTATTACGGTATAGTTTCAAGGTAAAATTCTAGAATGTTGTTGAGGAAATGAATTTGCGGCTTCTTGCATCCATTTGCGCCCTTCAGTTGGTTGCTGCCTATCTTTTCTTGTCTGGGTTCTTGCTTCGTCGAGTCGAGCTCTCCAACCGTTCAGAGGTACGCCAACGAGCTAAAGTTTGTTAATGATTTTCTTATCACAATTTCAGTGTCTGCCCAATTCCCCCGATGTCTGTACTCTCCCCCGCTCTTATTCCCGCATTCTGGTGCTGCTAGTCGACGCCTTCCGCTATGACTTTGCTGTGTTCGACGAGGATGTCGATGAAACATCCCTTCCGCCATTCAAAAACCGAATGCCCAAACTTCATTCTCTGCTCCAACATTCCGACAATTCCCGCCTATTTAAAATTTATGCCGATCCACCCACTACCACAATGCAGCGCATAAAGGCAATCACCACTGGCTCGTTTCCTACCTTTGTTGAAGGCAAGGCTTCAAAAGTTTTGAATCAAAACAGTATATTGTAAATTAGAAAACTCACTTTTTGAAGTTATAAATAGCATGGTCAAACTTTGGCGCCGATGAAATCATGGAAGACAATCTTATATCGAGCTTGAAAACGGCGAAAAGAGAGACAGTTTTTGTTGGCGATGATACCTGGAAAATGCTCTATCCAGAGAAATTTCTCAGAAGCTATTTTTATCCCTCCCTGGACGTTTCTGATTTGGATACAGTCGATTTCGGAGTCTACGAAAAAGTCCCAGAGGAACTCAAAAAGAACGACTGGGATTTGTTGATCGGCCATCTTCTTGGTGTCGATCATTGCGGGCATACTTTCGGTCCATATACTGATCATATTAAACATAAACTCACGGAAATCGACGAGTTTATTTACAATATGACAGAAAAAATCGACGAAGAGACGTTGTTACTAGCCTTTGGTGATCATGGAATGACTGTCACTGGCGATCATGGAGGAGAATCCTCAGATGAAACTGATGCAGCTCTCTTTGCTTTTTCCAAGCGTGGATTCCTTCCGTCCAGAACCGAGCCACGAATAAACCAAATCGATCTCACATCGACGATCACTCTCCTTCTTGATGCACCCATCCCCTTTGGATCTCTTGGAACGCCAATCACCGAGCTATTCAACGCTGGCTCAGAATTCCAAGAATACCTAATCCTCCAGAAAGCCTACCACCAAACCCTTCAGTATCTCAATGAGTACTCGAACATTCAGTCGAATTTTCTCTCCCTCTTTGGAATCACTGAAGACGATTTTAAGTCCTCCGAAAGTCTACGAGCTTACTTAGATCGAATGAGAAGGGTGTTACGCGAGCAATGGACGAAGTTCAACCTATTTTTCATGTCGACGGGCTTGCTCTTTTCTTGTTTATTATGTACAGTTATCTTCTTTACCAGTTTCTATGGATCGAATTTATCAGTTCATCAGTTCCTCCTCGCATCTCTATTAGGTAAAGGAAATGCCCATCTTTTTATCAATCAAGAGTTTATTCAGCCGCCTTATCGACATCGAACTCATTCATTATCATGGAAGACCAAATTTGTCTATTCTTTGTTCAATTAGTCACCATTCTTCAATGCGCTAGAAGTTTCCAGACACTTGAGGGGAGAGACAAATTTCTTTACGCCGTTCAAATTATTCTGGCTAGATTAGCCTTTGAATTTCGGCGGTGTAGACCCGAACAGTTCTGGTGCTACGAAGAAGGAAGAAAAGTAACGTCAGTCTCTGTCGTTAGCACCTCGATTTTGATCGCTGCATTGCCGATTGCCTTTTTGATCATCAAGGTAATGAAGAATATTTCTACCTGAGATTACAACTATTCTTAGTATTGGTCTAAAATTGGGCATTCGTATATCGAGCGTTATTTCAAATCAGCGCTTATTCCTATCTTTCTCACTTTGTGGATCAGCTGGCTGCTACCTGCCCTTCCATCAGATTATCTAGCCAAATTTGATGGAGTCAAGAAAGCCGATCTAGACTGGCTACAAGTCTCCTGTTCCAGATTCGCTCTCTTCGCCAGTCTTCTTGGGCTCGTCTGGTCTCTCTTCGACGTACCGGTCATAATCCGAAAGACCGGAACCAGAATGTCTTCAAATCAAAGTGGAATCACTATGAGAGTGGATGCTGGTAGATTTGAGATTCATGGACTCTTGGATGCGCAAGAGCGCCAACGTTATATTCTGATGCTATCTTTATTCGTTTTGTGGACCGTACTTCTAGGTAACACCTCGACTTATCCCAAATACAAACCACTTTTTCAGGCCCTGGACTGAGCATCGCCGGGACCTTCTTTTTCACTGACCTAATAATTTCCGAACATCGCCACAAATCTCTTCAAACTCCTCACTCTTCACTCGAAACGACGCGCCTTTGGCTCCTTGCAAACTTCTACTTTTTTGCCACTGGCAACACTACGACTTTCAGTGGAGTCCCGTTCAATGTGGCCGGCATCGGGCTCATCAGCTGGCCGACTTTGGTCATTCCCGGCTTTTTAGTTTTATTTAATTATATTGGATCCTATCTCTTCATCCTTGCCTACCTCACTAGGTATCTTTCTGTAATTATATTTCTCGTTTCTCATAATTAGATTGCCTGAATCCGAAGAAACGAAAAGCTTCGGAAACATCCTTTCAATCCACTGCATACGTCTTTTTGGCTGTTTCATTTCCGGCTTTCTCCATCGGCGACATTTGATGGTCTGGGGAGTCTTCGCCCCTAGAATCGCATTTGAAGCACAACTCTTTCTTCTTGTCGCCCTTTGTACATTTTTATTTATTGCACATAAGGTAATCCATTCAAATGTTTCTTGTCCAAGTTATCTCTTCAGAAATGGACCTCAAAACGAGTGGAAACAATCCGAAAAAGCCTCTAGTCTACTTTTGCCATATTCTAGTATAACAACATGTCTGTAATCGTGAGCGCCTACAATTCTTACTATTTAGAATGTCCGGACTAGTCCCCTGTGGAATTTGTGGCCGGAAATTCGCCGAGGAACGACTCGCAAAGCACTCGAACATTTGCGAGAAGAACGCAAAGAAAGCGCCACGAAAAGCTTTCAATGTTCAGAAGCAGCGTGTCGAAGGCACGGACATCAACTACAACGAGCTCAAAGTAAACATTTATACACACCAGCCCTTTTTACTAAAAACACTCTTTAGCGGAATGAGAAAAAGGCGCCAACAGTGAAGGAGATTCGTGCTACGAATAGGAAAAATAACTGGAGAGAAAAGCACAACGAGCTTGTTTCAAACATCCGAGCAGCGCGAGGAGAGGATCCTCTTCCAGCGGATCCTTACGGCGGCGGTTCGTATGGTGGAAATTCTTATGCAGCGCCACAGCAAGACCGATATCAGCCCGCTCCGAGGCAATCATCGCGATACCAACCTCCGCCGCGAAATTCCCGAACACAACCAGCTGCACGGCAGTCAACCAAGTCCAGATACCAGCCAGACCAATACGATTACGACGACAACGCTTACGGAAACAGCTACGCAACTCATCAACCGACTGGAGCTCCTGGAAGGCCACCACCAAAGGCAGGCCAAATTCAGGTAGAAAAATTGCCCCAAAGTCATCCTTCATGAGAATTTCAAGTGCCCTACATGCCAGAGAAACTTCTCCGAAGAGTCTGGAGAACGCCACATTCCATTCTGCGCTGAACAAGCGAAGAAGAAAGCGTTCAAAGACAAGAACAAAAATCTCGGTATGAGTTGTAAAATCGAAGCGAAATAGTAAATTTGAATGCAAATTTTCAGCGGCTCAAAAACAACTCGCCCGAACAAGTTACAAGCCACCAAAGCCCAAGTCCACTTCTGCATCCTCTCCCAATATCAAGATGGCTCGATCAAGTGGGTACGGTCCATCTGGTGGATACTCTGTCACCCAGAAGACGTCGATGCCTGAATCAAATCGATACGGCTACGGCCAGACCAAATATGATCAATTTCTTGAAGATTCTGTCGCAGCAAATCCACGAGTGCCTTCTGCCGGACGCAGATCTGTCCCTTCTAAAGCGAGCATTCTTGCCGCCTCCAACAAAAAGTAATCTTCAATAGGAAATCACCCCGCATACGAACTTTCAGAGCTTCGTCAAGCCAGAAAAGCCGTCTTGCGAAGGTCCTTCCGACCAGTTGCCGAAACTGTTCTACTGGCTATCCCGTCGAATGGGCAAAAGTAAGCGCACCACAAAATTGATTCAAATCACGAGTACACCTGGATTTTTCATCAGATGAAAATTATCATGGCGGAAAAACGGAATTGAGGATGCATAAAGATCTCGATCCTCTTAGGGTATAAAAGAGGAGAAAATTCATTTTGCATATGTAAACCGTTTTTGGGTTAGCAATTTTATAAACTGTAGCATTATCATATTCCAGCCGATCTAAATAATTGTACCCACTTCAATTACAATTTGTCAATAAAAAATTATTTAAAACCGACTTGAAATACTTTTTTTGTTGTTCTCATTTGTTTACTCTTCTTTCTAGTTCTGTTGCGAATGTGGCGCCCGACGCGTCTGATGATTTCAACGAACAAAAACTATTTTTCTACAGCTCGAATCGCCTGATATGCAAATCCCATCACATATTTCCATTTTTGTAATACATGAGTATTTTTTCATAAATCCACTCTTTTCAACAGTTTAAAAATGCTGTTGAAAAGTGATTCTTTTTGTTGTTTGGCAGGGCAATTGAATCTATTATTTCTCGACACGCAGGATGACCAAAAAAGTTCTTTTCAGTTAATTTTTCTGTTATTGATTCTCTGTAGCCTTTCTTCGCGCTCTTGCTCGAATTTTCGTTGATCCGCGCGGTTGAGAAACGCGTTCTTTTCCACCAAGCTTCCTTTCGACCTTGAGAACTTTTCGATTTCGCCTTCCAGATTATTTTCTTTCTTGTGTCGCTCCCAATCGATCTTTGTCTTTTCTATCGTCGTGATTTTCTTCTTTTTCAAAAGAATTTCGTCCAGTCGTGACTTCTTCCTCTTCGGGCCTGATCTGAATTTATGAAAATAAGTCGAAAACATCTTGTCGATTCTCACTTTTTCGGTGGTGGAGGTGCAGCTTTAGTTTCTACAGCGATGGTTTCTCCAGCGAATTCGACGATAGTTTTCGTCACAGGAACATCTTCAGTTTTGGTATTTGAAGATGATTCTGGTGTCGAAGATTCTTGTTTCTTTGGAGAGCCGAGGAATCGACGAGGAATGGGCTTGTTTTCTTTGAAACTTCTGAATGATTCGATAAGTTTGACGGGCAATTCTTTTTCAAAATATTAATTAAAATACTCTTTAGAACGATTCTATTCACGGATTTATACAGGATTCTCCCCAAGTGTCAAACCTCAAAATTTCATCAGCTTCTTCGGACTGTTTCTTCGTCATTTTATCGCTAGTTTCTTCCTCTTCCTTTTGTTTTATGGTCTCTCGTTCAAATTCCTTTTCTTCTGCCTGCGTCGGATTATAATCGTCGTCTGAACTTTCATCCTCTGACATTTTCGATCTCGCTCTTTTCTAAAAGCAATTTTCTTGAGAAGGAGAGTTGAAAAGCCTCTGCGCGGTGATTGGCCGCCTCTTGCTCTTTCGCCACTTTACTGAATTGCGAAGAGAAATCGCTACAGTGCCCGAAAATGAGCTGTAGAGAATCAACGAGGAGTTGAGAAGAAGTTTTCTGTTGCCAACAGGGAGAAATTTAAAAATCGAAAAATATGGCAAAGGTAAATTTCAATATAGAATTCTAGATCCTTTATAAATGCAAGGAAGTCTATTTTATTCCGTTTTGAGCATAAAATTGAAAGTTTTTAATCGTTGAAGAATGTCTAACCGTGATAGTCCAAGGCTGGGCTCGGGAATCTGTGAAGTAAACCTGAGTCAGGTTTTTGAAAAGCTGCGTAGCGGCTTCTTTAGAACGAAGCCGCGAAGCGGCTTCCCAATATTTGCAGTGAAGCTCTTCAAAACCTGACTCAGATTTTCTACACAGTTTGCCTAGCCCAGGTCAAAGAACTCCAAGGAGCAATTTCGGAGTTTTTGAAGAGAAGTTATCGTTAATTTTAGATACTGTATGTTAAAAATTATTACGAATAAAAAAATAGATGATTCGATAATTACTTTTAAGAAAATTATTTTATTACTTGAGAATTAACAGTTGATAAATATTACTTTCTAGCGCCAGAAAATCGAGACCGAGATCGAGAAAAACCGAAATAATGGAAATTGGGATCTGGTGAAAGAAAATGCGAGGGTGCTTGCCCAGCGAGTGGGGAAAGAAGACGGAGCAGTTGTGCTTCTACAGTGCCAGCTGGACTTTGAACTGACGATCCTTCGCGAGAACAAGAAAGTCAAATACGATTTCGAGGCGACGTTGAAATCGGCGAATTTCGCGAATGACTCCAAGTTTGAGATTCAGCTCGAATCGAAGCTCGTTCTCGCCTGGTACTATTTCCACCAGGAGAAATTGGAAGAAGCAGCGGAAGTTCTTCAAAGACTGAATATTACGCCATCGATTCCGACGCAGCCGTACTTGGCCAGATTGACCGCGGTTGCGCTAGCAATCAAAGCGGTTTTAACCGAAGACGTAAGTCTAAGAGAAAATCAATGCGCAGTTGTTACTTTCTTGTTTTTCAGGGGAAATCGGACTCGTTTTCGAAACTGCCGAGCGCGAAGCAAAGCACGAGTCTGAGGCAAATGTACGAAGCTGCCGCCGACCAGGCGGTGAATTTCCTTCGTCTTTGCGAAGACAACGCTGCCAGGGGCGCATCGCCGAACTCGACGATAAGCCGATCAAACAACCAGTTCTTTCAAGATGTCAATTTCATTCCTCATCCAATTCAAATTGTCTTTGAGAAGTTGCCGGCTTTATACGAAAATGAGTCGACTCAGAGTGCCGTCGACTGTTTTAGGTAAATAAGGATGCTTTTAATAACTTTTAACAAAGTTACGTTCAGAAAATATCTAAAGGCAGTCAACTCCCGATTAGCTCCTCAAATCAAGTCCAAACTAACGCTAAATTGTGCCACACTGCTCCTTTCCAAATCCAGCCTCATCCAGTATGCCAAAGCGCCTCCAGACAAATCTCAAATGATCCTCGTCCCAGAGACGATCGAGCAAGAAGCTCTTCTACTCTTGACGATCGCGGATAATCTCAAGTCGCAGACGGAATATGTCATCGACAGATCTTCAGGTTTATTGTTACCACTTTCTTTCTATCCATCAAGATTTTCATTAAGAATTCGATGATGTGAGAGAAGAGAGCTTGAAATCCGCAAAAGTGATTTTCGATCTGGTCACTGTGACTTTGGCGAGAATTCGACAGTATGTTCTGCTCTCTCAGAAGTCGGAGCTAACGATGAAACTTGCTTTCCGGGTACCTTATTTCTTCTCGCTTATTTCTTAAATAACTTCTAGGATTTCTACACTTCTTTTCAACTCGCATTGTCACTTATCAACGCGAAGAGATACAGAGAAGCAATTACGATTCTCGATGAATGTATCGATATCAGAGACGATCCAGTGGCACTTATTCTTGCGGCAGATGTCTCGATCCGACACTTGCACCAGCCCAAGCGAGCACTTGAATACTTGGCCAATCCTGCTTCAAAAGAGGTTTTTCGTTATTTCGATTTCTCGGTTTGAATTTAGACTTTGATTTTAAGCATAAAAGATGGAATATTCTGTCTGGAATGGCGATTTCTTCGATTCTCCTGAACAGCACGTCCTTAGCGTCGAGATCAGACCTAATCGAGCTGGCGATTTCGCATTTCGTTGAAGAAACGCGCCTCAATCCCAGCTACTCTCGTTCGTTCTACCAACTCGCTCTTGCCCGAGCGAAAAATAATCAGATCTCGACGGGGATGAACGACGTGCTGACAGCGTTGCGATTAGACCCAGAAAATGGAGAGGCGTTTCTGCTTCTACAGTTGTTGCATTCGATCGGAGGGAGAAAACGACTCGTTATAGACGGTTGTAAAATTGGTAAGTGTCGTGACATTTTAAAGTCATTTAACTTCATTCTTAACTTTTAGGAATTTCAAAATGGCCGCACATTATGGGATTCTACACTCTTGGTGCCAAAATGTTAATACAATGCGGCCGACAGCCACAAGCCCTTGAATTCTGTCGGGCGCTACTAGAATATGCAATGAACCAAGACCCCTTTAAAGAAATCGATGAAGATTCTGACGGACTATCGATACACACGTCTGTTACTGCCCTAACCCAGGTTCTTTCTCATTAATTTCTCATTTCTAAAAATGTAAAAGACAACCAAGCCAGATGAGGGATTGTCGATCGCCGGTAAGAGCGCAATGGCGACGGAAAGTGTTCTCAATGATATTGAATCGACGCTCTCGGGCAGCATTTTCAAACCTTCCGATCCAGGACATGCTCATTACCCGCTATCGATGGCGCTTTATCAAACCGCGGAATTGTTTGTGGAAATGAATGTTATTGACGGCGCGATCGAATGCGTAGAAGAAGCGCAAAAACTTATGAGAGGGTAAATTCTTTGCCCAAGAAGGAAGGGTTCATTATGAAATATTTAGAAACCGAAAGCAAGTTCTTTTCATAAAAGGCCTTGTTGCGGAGAAAACCGACGATACGGACGAAGCGATTGCACTACTCCAAGACGCGATTTGCATCGATCCTTCCTACTTTGACGCTCTCCTCAGACTCGGCCTACTCAACCTGGAGCTAAGGCGCTTTGTCCCCGCTGAAAAATGCTTCCGAGACTGTATCGGCCTGAAACCCCTGTCTGCTATTGCTTGGAGAAACCTCGGATTGCTGCTCGAGGCGAAGGAAGAAGACGCTTTCTTATGCTTTGCCAAGGCAGCCGAGTTAGAACAATTTGAGCCCCTGCTAGACTTTTCAAATTGCCCTATCCTACTTTGACCTATCCCAGAGTTTGAAATGCTCGCAAATGCTCGCGAGCGAAAAGAGCGAGAGCGAAAATTTATCATTGCTCTGAGAGCAGGGGAGCGGGAGCATGAAAATGAAGTTGGCTCGAGAGCCAAAAGAGCACGAGCCCAAATTTGAACCCGCTCGCGAGCGCAAAGAGCACGAGCGCATATGTCGGCAATGCTCGGGAGCTAGACGAGCGGGAGCGGCTGCTCTCGTGCTCGCCATTGAATTGACTCACGAGCGGCTCGCGAGCAAAATTAAAAGATTAATTTTTTCGCATAATTATTCTCTTTCAATAATAAATTTCTTTGAGGATCAATTATTGGTATTTCGGTTTTGTGTAAGCTTCATTAGGCCCGTCATCTCGGCAGCAGAATGCGAAAAGCCGTGAGTAAACAGATAAAACATGCCCACCGCGGGGTGCTAACTCCTGTAACAGGGACTCGTATGGAATTAGTCACGGGGCCACGGAATCATTTTAGGCCTTTGAAAGCTGCTCGCGAGTCAGATTTTTCAGCTCGGGAGCCAATCGAGCGAGAGCAAAATTTGACCAGTGCTCGGGAGCCAAGAGAGCGAGAGCGCGAAATGAAATGCGCTCGCGAGCGCAAAGAGCGCGAACGCTGAAATAAATGTGCTCGGGAGCACAAAGAGCATCATGCTCGTGCTCGCTCGCTCTCAAGTGAGCCGCTCGCGAGTCACGATAATTTCAAACTCTGACCTATCCTCTTATTACAAAAAAACTATTACAGATTCCTTTTTCGTTCTTATTTTTATTTACCTTCAAGTTCATGATCAACTTATTGGTTATTATTCGTGTTAGCAATATTTTAATAACCTTGTCAAAAGTGATTCTTCAAATAAATAAGCTCTTATTCTGAAAGAAAAACACTTCACTAGCATTTGCTTTATCAAATGACATGCTAAAGATTCTCGTTGTTGATTGCAGGGCAGTCAAAATAGCCGTCTTTCAGTCCTTTTTGCCATACATAATTTCTGCAGCAGGAAGAAGACTATTTTATGCAATTATCTCTTTTAAAAATAAAGGATGACCTTCAAGCCCCGATTCGACACTGATAGAATCTTCTAAGAATTTTCCTTCTCATATTGACTTTTGCGGTGTTGAGGGGGTATTTAGATTCTCGTCGCATTTTGAAGTGCGCCATAGTAGTCCGGGATTGCATTTTTTTGGTGGTGGCGCAGGGCCAATCGGCTGCAGCAGAGTCAGCGCCACCGCCGACGCGCAGCCAGAGCGTTATTAGCCCCACAGCCACAGTGTCCCAAATACGACACCGACCGTTACATTTTTTTTACTTTTACAATTTCACAAGATCGATTTTATTCTAAGAGATTTGAAGTTATAAGAAGACGTTGAAGAAATCCTTCTTAATTAAGAAATTCTAGGTTCGTATCATTAAAATATCAGTTGCGAAATCGGCCAAATTATGTTCTACTCAGATCAAAAAAATTTGCTTGGCCTAAAAGACATTCCGTCTGTACAGAATAAAGCATATCATGCAAATTGCATACATTATAATGCATATGTATTTGCTTTGAAAGTCTTTAGTCTATTAAACGCATCCTCAGAAGTTCTGAGTCAGAACATAAACCAGTAGATCCCCCGATCCGACTGATAACTGCCAACGCAGCCAAAATCAAACTAATCCGCTTACTTAGAGCGCGCTAGAAACAGAAAAGCATGAGGCTGGGGAGTTTCTTCTTATGGGAAAGGTTTTTGAAAGGAGATGGAGTTTTATTGCATTTCGGACTGACCTGATAACTATCATTAAAGCGATCGCCGAGGTGCGATTTCTTATTAATTACCACCGTAAAAATCCAATTTATGATCCATTCAAAAACCCACAAGACACTCTACAGCGGCAGTGATGCTTTTGGATCAAGACGACCAGTTACTGGAGGAGCGAGGTAATTACTTATTTTAATAAACAGGCTATTTAAAGCCTAAGAACGACATCTTTATTTACCCTAAACAATTAATGGAACAACTTGATTTATACCAATACAATGAAACGACATTACCATAATTTCAAGCGCACTTGCTCAAGTTGCCGATTCTCCCAAATCTGGGAAAAAGAAGAGCCAAGGGTAAACCTTTTTTAAAATTTCTCTTCGAAATTTTTGTTGTTTTTTAGAAAATAACTTTTTCGATTGTTTATTGAAATATTTAAGCATGACAAAATAACATTATATCTCTAGCTTGTCCGGAAAGAGCTCTTCATCCGGAAATTCACAGTAAGAACTTGAGAATAAAAAATCGACCGACATTAATTGACCACATTAATGAACGAGCGGTTATCATTTTGTAAATGATTTCAAATTGAGTGCAAAATGTTCAAGTCATTAGTCCGCTTTTTAGGTCTACTACGTCAATGTCGGAATTTGAAAATTCAAAAGGCCTGAAGCCTCGGCATTGGTACTCGCTCGAACTCGACATGCCATGCTCGTTCGTCAAGCTAGTCGAAGATCCGCAATTTTCTTCGAAAACTATTCCAGTTTACGATTTGGTCTATCTCACGAAATCTCAGCCACAAGTCCGGCGAATTCAAGACATTGCGTTGAAATTGGCGAATCCAGAAGAAATGCAGCAGTCCACTAGAATTGTCGCGGAATCTATTGCAGTGCCGAATGAGTATGTTTCCAATGCCATGTTGCGGTTAATTATCTGATCCATTCTAGCGTTGGGGTTATGCCACAAGGCTCGATAGGTGGAATGACGCCAAATGTTTGGTGGATAGCGACGGGTCAAACGATGAGCTCGATATCAACAAACTCCTTTTCCTCAAGGGAAGCTCAAACTGGCGCTGTGTATTTCCTTGACATGACCAAACAAAGCTACAGTAAGTTCTTATCCCTTCGCTAGTTTATTTTGAAACGTGTGCAAGAAATTTTGAAAATAAGCTGTCGTGAACCTTAGGTTTCTAGTAGGAAAACTTCCTTCAACGGTATTCTTTAGATCCAACTGCCATCGTAACCTCCCCGGGTTATGGCTACACTCATGTAGAATGGGTTGATATGGACTTGGATGGCAATGCTGATGCTATCGCTATCCGGTAAATATATCTTCCATTTCTTCTCTTTTAATCTTATCTTTAGAACAAATCCTACAGGACAGCAAGAGCTGGTTTGGATGCAACAGCCACCAGGAAACTCGAAATGGATGGTGTCTGTTATTGATAAGAATGTCGGAGGAACTCAATTTAAAACAATGTGGATAAAGGATGGTGACGTGAAGCGTTTGCTGATCATTTGCGCAGGATCGTCCGAGCCACAGCTCGTGTTCTATTGGGTTGATGATCCAGATAACGATTGGACAAGAATCAGCAGGTATCAGAACCGACAAACGATCATTTTCTTACTTGTACTCATAGAATCCAAAAGACAGTCATTGGTGAAGAAGGATCTTATGTTAACATTGAAATTATCGATGTCAATGCTGACGGTCGACTTGATATTCTCACGTCCGTCACTGGTATCAGAGGACAACCTGGAAAAGTCATCTGTTACGAAGTCCCAGAACAAAGCTCATTCCAAAAGGGAATCTGGCGAAAACACATCCTCTCGCAAGCATTTGAGCCTAGCGTCAATTATAGAGCACTTACGCCAGGTAATTCAGACGTCGGTCTTCCTTGATTTCAAGCGCTTATATAAGGTGGAGTCTATGCATTTTACCCTGGAAAATCACCTACAGAAAAGCCTTCAATCCTCGTCTCTGGTGCATCAAACGGAAAAGTGTACATTTTGAGGCCAAAGTCGTGGTCAGCGTACATCTGGCACTACACAACAGAAGTTATTCTTGAAAGAAAAAATACCATCGGAGTTCCTGCAGTCCGGGATGTGGATGGAGACGGAAATGTCGATATTTTCATTCCCGAAGCGAATTACATCCATGTTCTCACATTCAAAGGTAAGGTCAAAAAGTTGGATCAAAGCCTAACAAACTTGATTTCAGGAGTTGAGCAACAAAGAAATATGCCCGATAGTTCCATAACGCCGCATGTTTCAACCCTCATGGCAGTTCTCTTCGGTGTTTGCCTAATCTTGTAAAGAAAGACCCTTTTCATCAGTATTTTTTAAATCTTCAACTGTACATTGTCAACTTCTCCAATTCGTAAGCTGAGCTAATTAAAATATGCAGTATTCGCCTTTCTATTGCCACCAATAAATAAATTGTTACAGATATCATATTGGCTTGAACAGAATCTTCCTTCAAAAATAATTATAGCGTTTTATTTTTCCAGTTTTTGCTAATGAATGCTTTAGCAGCTTTCGTGCCAGTGTGGATATTTTCCGGATCCCCAGAGAGCTTGAAATGATACGTCAGTGTTGTAAAATGTGGTAAATTACCATAGAGAGGATCTCCTGGACAAAGGGTATTTCCATGGTCTCGATGGCCTGCAAATTCGTAACAGCTTCTGTTTAGGTAGTTTCTTCGCTCTAACCAAGCAATAAGCTCATCAACAGCATCAAGAGCATTTTGATTTGGGAGACGGTTACTGTAGTCTCCCATAATAGAGAATCCAAGAGTGTTCGAGTTCCAGTTGCTACAGTGCGCTCCTTGACGCCATTGACCGCGTCCCTATCAAATTGTTTATCTAAGCAAGGGATGAGCGAGCGATAATTGAGGATGGGTGGGTGGTGTTTAACTCTAACCTCGTAAATTCGGCCGTCTTCTCCGACCAAAAAGTTGTATCCAATATCAGACCAACCTCGAGAATCCATATGATAGTTTTGAATGCCCTTCATAACCCGAATACATGATTCTTTGTCAGTACAGTGAGATCCAGCAGTATGATGGCCGATCAGACCATGGCTTGCAGGGAGGTTAAAGTTCGAAACGCCGACTGGGCTTCTCGCTTCCCACTCGACTCTTGGGACAAATCTGGCTGACCATTTCTCGCCCTTTTCGTACGTGTAGTGGCCACTAGCAGAGCTAAAGGAGTAACTCGTTGACAAATAATAATGTCCCGCGTAATCGTTCACAACACCAGAGCAGCCCGATCCAAGTGCAGTGCATCTTGCCTTTGCATCGCCCAATGAAGAGAAATTCTCGCCTGAGATTTTTCCGCCGAGTTTGTATCCAAAGTAAATGTTAAAATAGTCTTCTCCGACATCTACGGGCGGCTCCGGATCTGCCTTAGCAGTACAGCATTTTCGAGATGCACCACCTCCACAGAGGCCAGATTGATACTGGCCGCTGCAGTAGTTTGTGTCATGCTTGCATTCTCCACCTGCGCTTGTGCATCTAATCGAAGTTGAAAATCAAATTGCAACAAATAAACTTACTTTGAGTCATTTTGAGAGTCAAGCTGTTCTTTCTCCTCGCAAGTTGGTGAGCAGAATAGACAGCACTGGCGATTACTATCGCCGTTGCAAATGTATCTCTCATAACCTGCATGGCAAGTTGTATATCGGAAGTCCGTACATGTTCCTCCCTTTGCTTCACATTGGGTATCGGCAAAAACGCCCGCGATAAAGGCAACTGAGAACTTCATTTTCAGAATACTGAGCTATCACATGTTCTGAAGCTGAAAAAAGAAACAGATGGTTGTTTCTCGCGGAGAACTTCTCGAAAAAAATGAGTCAGTAGCTTTATTTTACAGAAAATAAATTAATTTTATTTACAAGGAATATTCAAGGTTTGTTTCTATTGCACGATTAGATTGAACTGGATGTGTTGTGCTTCGCGCGGCGTCGGTTTGTGTATAACTGCTGTGTGAACTGGAACAAAATCGTCTTCTACGTTTTCAGTTATCTTTTCAAACAATGGAATCAAGGAAGACTTACCTGCAGAATACATCTCTGATTTATCGAAAAAGCCGACTTTATAGCAGTATGTAAAGACAAGTGCCATCAACGTCACTCCGAGGGCGCTAGCAGCAATCACGATCCAAAGTGGGATACGGACAGTTTGATGAACGTTGATTTTGGTTAGGTACTAATCGAGCTCGTTATTTATGACAATTTTCATCTGAACTTACAGATTCCTCGATTTTGATCTCATCTTTTGCGAGGATTTTCCCTTCATATCCGTCTTTTGGGATTTGCAACAACAACTTCGATGTTATTTTTGTATCGTTTTTGTGAGCATTGAACCAGGCGGAAGAGAAATTTCCACTGATTGAGATATCTATTGAGTCACGATGTCGGAGATCTTTGATTTCGCATTTGATTGTGATGCAGGTAGCTGCTCCTCTTGGCTCGCAACTCTATTGAAATAATTAATTAGTTTGGCCGTTTGAAACCAATTTCTTACATAATCAATAGCTCCGGATTTATCTAAATGCTCGTAAAAGACCGACGAGTTCCTTGGTTTGAATTGGCGCTGGTCCCAGAGAACGCATTCTACGCTTTCTTCGGGGTAGATCGAGGGGCTCTCGTAAGAGAGGATTTTGCTCTCGGAGGATGAGTACATCGGCCAGTAAATTAAAATGTTTCCATGTTTGACGTCAATACGACCTTCGTTGATTATCGAGTAAGAATGGGTTATTTGAAGATCGTTTGCACAATTGTCAAGAAATTGGCGCTGTGAGCAGAGGATGTTGGTTTGCCCCTCAAGAACCCTGAAAATTGTTAAATTAATAGGAGATGTGTTTTACCTAATGTCAGGTTTTATCTCATAGAATATGACCTCTTCTCCAGAGATCATACTTGAAGCACCATCGTTGACATTTGTTACGTTCCAATAAATTGTTTCCTCACTCACTCTTCCTGTTGGCTCGACGAAGAATGAAATTTCCGTGTAAATCCAGCCTTTCTCAACTTTGGGTCCAAAAGAAAACTTTGCCACTCGATTTTCATTGTCATTGACGTAATGATGGAGACGTTTTTGACTATTTTTGAAACGCCGTTTTCCATAGCGAACACGAAAGCCTAAATTTTGAAGATTTCAAGCATTCTTGACAAATCACCTTTTGGATAAGAAACCGAAAGAATTGTGTTGTAGCTTGGATCTTCTTCAACTCCGAAGTTAATTTTCAGCTGAACTTCTTTTTCCGAGCTTCTTGATCTGTACTCGAGCTTCTTTGGCTCAAGCTTTGAAGGCGAGTTGGAAATCGTAAGAACGCTGTTGCATAAATTATCATGCCCACATTCTCTTCGGACTGGAACTGAGGTATTTACAGATTGTGAGAAGGGGTTGACGACGAATTTTTCGGCCATGCTCGACAGAGTGATGTTTGTCTTCAGTTCAGCGCTCTTTAAAATTTCCGATTGAATGATGGTGTAATTGAGTGGAACACTGTCTGAGCATCGCGCTTCATTTTGTGACACTTTCGTCAAATGCTCGACGATTATATTTTCATCTACTCCGCATAGCCAGTTGTCAGTGCAAGACAATCGTTTGTCCAAAACTGTGATGATCTCGAAATCAAGTTGCATATTTTCCAGTTCGGTGAAATTCGAGTTCCAGGACATGCAAACTTGCCAGCAGTTATTTTGTCCTTTGCAATTGAAACCGTTTTCGTCGACGGTAGCAGTATTCATTCTGGGCAGCGAAAGGGCGATGTTGACCGTGGGAAGCGTTTCGAAGACAAAGACAGAGGAGGCGGCTGCATCGCCGATAGCGAGTAAGCCGGTAGATGGAGGAGGCGAGGAAGCAGCGGCAAGCTTTGATCCAAAAGCGAATGAACTGCCGAATCGGAGACGGCCGGAGTCGGGCGAGATCTTTTGGAAAAAATGCTCTTGTAGACCGGCTGGGGATCCGGAGAAGATATAAATGCTGCCTGCTTGATCGCTCATTTCAGAAGATTCATGCGGCGCTGGAATTATTTAAGAATAGATAAATGATAAGAGTCTTATCATAAGACAATTACCTGAAACTATCAAGTCATCAAATCCATCCCTGTTCAAATCATGGGTCGTCAAGGAAGATCCAAACTGAGCATTTGCAGAACCTCCTTCGAAGCTATTCGCTTCACGAACCCAACCAACGTGAATTTCGATCGTTACTCGTTCAAAGATGTAGACGCGTCCACAATTCGCTTCCATAGATTTATCATTTTTCAAATTTCTCGACCAGGTTGGCGCGCCAATAGCGATGTCTTCTTTTCCATCCCCATTGAAATCACCAACAACAAGTGAGGCGCCGAATTGCTCGCCCATTTGTGCCCCAGATGTGAAATTTTCGGAGTTCAACGAGAATCGAATTCTTTTAATAATTCTTGAAAAGCGAAACTAATAAAATTCGTACTTATCAGGTTGATTTTCCAAATTGTAGAATAGCATCTCCCCGACAAGATTGTATCTGAATCGGTGATTAGCTCCAACAGCAATCAACCCTCTTTTAAATATTGCGATTGAACTTCCCATGTGCTGTCCATCATAATACTCTTCGATGTATTCTTGGTACTGTTTCGTTACAATACGATTTTTCTTAAAAAAATGTTTTTATGAGTATTTGAATTTTTATTCCTAGGAATCATACTTCGGTGCAATCAAGAATAAGAGTGGTGGTAATCATCGAAATTCACGATTCGTGAAAATATGAAAATAAAAGAATGATTGATCTTTGAATCATGCAAAAACCTGAAATTCGATGCAAATAGTGAAGTTTTGACTATTTTGATCAAGCTCGCTACAGTTAGCGAATAAATCTGCAGCTATTTCTTTCTATTGGCGAGTTAGAGCTTCATTTTAACACGAAAAACTTACAGCTAGCATTGTGGGTATAGTTGGATCTTTGTAGATCCGCTGCTTTAGCAGGTGAAATTTAAGCTTGTCTTCGAAGAAATCTTTGTTGAGAACATCGACCGTCCATTTCGTCATTGAATTGCTCGGATCCGTGTGATAGAATCTTCTGATTTCTCCTTGCCCGTAATTTGCGCCAGGATTGCCGCTCACGAAGCCAGTATAGTTTCCTCTAGCTCTGTAAGAAGTAACTCCGCCAAGACCGACTTGGCAGAAAGCCTCGCCTTTGCCTTTCAGTCCTTCTTCTTTTGGGTTGCAAGGGATGATTTCCTGAGCGGGTTCATTTGAATCAACATTGTGAAAGACGCATCGACCGGTGATTGCATATTTTTCTCCGATTTTTGAGCGAAATTTCGATCGTGGCGCACATACGGCTAGAATCCCGTCATCGCTGATTGTCATTGAAAAGCCAAAATTTTCATTGTCCAAGTTTCTGATAAAGTTGTTCGAATAATCGCCAGGTGCGTTTATTTGCATGTTGTCAAAGTAAAGATCTGTGCAGTTGTGCTCGTAGGAGGATAATTCGCAAGAAAACAGGTTTCCTTGGTTGTTATGTTTTGGAGCGCCAACAAGGAGCCTCGAACTTTTTGTGAAAGCAACACTTCTGCCAAAATCATTTTTTGTTGTTGAATGAAGGATATTTGTTGGGTTGTCTTTTAGGCAGGATTTGTCGAAGTTCCATATTCAAAATTTTAATATTATAATTTCACTAATGCTTGAGCAAGTCCTTTCCTAACAAATTGAAGCCAAAACCACTTGAGGCTAGAAAGAAAATGTTCTTCTTTTTCACCTTCATCATCAAATGTCAATTTTTTCTCTTTTTTTTTGTGTTCTGTGTCTCCACCGAGAAGCCTAAACAAGGGTTTAATCTGGCCCTGTAGTAAATCCCCAGGTGGCGATTTGCTTCTGCGTATTAAACGTGGCTTTCGCAAATTTGATTAAAACTGTTCATAAATCAGCGGCTCAAGTTGCGGCTACAAAATCAATTCTCGACGTTTTTGATTATTTTTCAACCCCGGACGCTTTATTGTATAAAAGGCGCTTTGTTTCGAAGAAAAGAAAAAGACCGGAAAATTTTCGATGTTTTGAGATTGGGCTTATTCTTTGATTATCCTCTCTTTTTACAAAAAGTTTCCATTCAGCTCAATTAAGTGTCAAAAATACGATTTTATTATAAAATCATGAATGATCATTTAGGTCAGCTAACCTGGACGTTTTCATAAAGTCATCATTTCGAATGTTTTCTGATATCTCTTTACTGTTTTTCTTTCTCACGCGTTTTGTTTCCTGTCCTACGTGTTTCGCTGGATTTATATCTCTTTAACTCATAAGGTGTCTTTTCCTCCCCACGAAGGCGATAAGCTTGCTCTATAAATATCGCTAAGAGAAGCGCAAAAAATATTAAATAAAAAATCACAGACGATTAAAAGTAGGAGATTTCTCCGCGTTCGAGAAGCGCGCTCAAGAGCGCCGAGGTTGAGAAGCTCATTTTTGCCTCAGCTGTTTCTTGCTTCATTCAAATGCGTGAATTCTCTTATCATAGAAATCTTATCTGTTCAATAAATGCATATGAAACCAGCCCACCAAGGTCGAAGAATTCAGAAAATGGCGAAAAGTGCTTAGCAAAGAGTTTTTGTCGAAAGTGCGATCTTCGTCAAACTATTTTAATAAATAAAGCTTTAATAAAATTCTTGAGCATATAGTCTATATGATATAGAGGCCGGTCAATCACTTAATGTAAGTCGAAGTATGAGGATTTTCTTTATTTTTTAGATCGTGAGAACGCTATAAAAAAAGTACTCCTCGCTAAAAAATCAATTTGACGATTTTCAGCCTCCTAATAACGCTCACTCGCAACCTTGGATGGATTTATTGCTCATAAAATTCGCCCATCTAACGGCTCATCCCTCTGACATTTCGCTCCCGCTGAGTCGGGTGCGCGTCAATAGCTACGGTTTGGGGGGTTTGCGTCAGTAGCTACGGTTGCGTCAATAGCTACGGTGCGTCAATAGTTACGGTTAAAAATGAGTCACAGGGACCGTAGCTATTGACGCACCGTAGCTATTGACGCAACCGTAACTAGTAACGCAAAAAAAAGTTCAGATCAAGTTCAGTTGAAAAAAATTTATTCTCAGTAAAAAAGTTCATAATCAGAGTTCAATCGAGGACGAAAAATTTGAAGAAGAAGAACTTTCATGAATTTTTCTTTTTCTTGCGTTCATTTTCTCCGTACGAAACTAGAATTTTTTTATATGAATTTGGATGACTTAATTTACCTTCTCAGTATAAAAATTTCGAATATTTTTGATATCCAAACTTTCTGGATCTTCTCCAGAGCATAATTTCTCAACAATTCCTAGGACAACCAGATGAGAGTCACCTCTTTCGAACCGCTAAATTTTTTATAATTTATGGTGTAAAATTTAATGTTAACCTTTTCCACTGGGCACTGAATAATATCAATCCGACAAAGAGCTTCCGTCGCAATTTGCTCCTGGGATACTTGATGAAGAAAATGAGCGCCAAATTTCCCATTCAAGAAATTTTTCAAAGCAAGCACAAAACTCATAAACTCATGACCAACAGTAAGAATATTGAAACCAAACAGGTTCTTCGAGCCAACAAGAAAATCATAAATTCTATCAACCGTAGTCAATTTTTGTTTAACAAGACATATTTTACCTCGATTTCCGATTTTTCAAATCGATTTCAATGACGTAGAATTCATTCTCCTTTTCCTTATGGCAGGGAAAAATAAGGGTATCACAACGTAAAAACCAATTCTGATCAAGAAGTGTGAAAATCAAATTGGCTGGTCGCAAACATCGCATCATCATTTTTTTTGTAGTACTAAGCGGAATAACCACTCTCTCGACTCCATGAGCAAGTTCGCTGAGAAAATAATCCATAGAAATCAATGACGGAAATTTATCTTTCCTGCCAATTTTCTGGATAATAACTGGCTCGTGACTAATTTCCGAAGGCGACTTCAATTCAAATGGAGTTCGGAGTTGAGCGTAAATACACTCATCTTCACTTTCTGATGAGTTATCAAGTCCATTTTGAGCGAAATTGTTCTGTGGAGTCATTCCAGCATTATCAATCTTTTCAGATGGTAAGCCCGAGTCTCCGGAAGTTGTAGAGTCAAAATGTCCCCCGATTTCAAAATGATTACAGCTGCTTGCCAAAGTAGGCGTATCTGGAGAGAATGGCTCATCAATGTCTTCCAATAATCTCAGAAATGACCCAGAGGGCCCTGGCTCTAGATAAGACTGGATTCTCGGAATATAATCTGTATGATTCACAACAACAGGCGTAACAGCTCCTTGCTGATAAACTGGTATTGGAGGTTGGTATTGAACTGGATAGGTCGTTATCCCTTGAACAGGTGGATTTTCTGGTACTGATTTTGGGAGAGAAGGTTGACTTGGAGTGAAATTGTTCGGCGGGTTTATTTGTTGTGGTTGTTTTGGATGTTGATTTTTTGACTTTTCTCCAATTTTTGCAAGAAGCCAATTAAAAACTTCATTTTTCTCGGCATCTTGAACAAACTCAGCATACTTCTGAGGATTCGTCAGCAAAGTTTCCGCTCGATTTCCGGCGCCGTACAGTCGATAAGCAAGAATTTTCATTTCTTCTTTCAATGACGATTTTTCAACATAATCAGTTATAGCTCGACGTCCAGTATTGTTATAGAATCTGGTGAGAGCATCATAAAAAATCAAATTCTTGAGGCAATAGACTTTTTTCTGTCGTTTCTCCACCAAAATTAGATGATCAAATCGGGGTTCCGCCATAAAATTCTGCAAATTTATCTTCTCAGTTTGAATATCGTGTACTATTTGTAAAATGTCGTTGATCGATTTCTGCTTCGATAGTCCGCGTTTTCGAAGCAAGGAATTTAAAGATTCTTTTAAAGATTTAAGAAATTGTCGATACTTTTTGCTTATGTCCGGTCAGAAAATCGACTGGAAAAGAACGTCTTCGAATCACATTCCGAAGGTGTTTGAGATTCTGGGAATCGAAGCGGCTGAAAGCACGATTATAAACGAGATGGAAAATACGATGAGGCACTTTGCGGCTTCAATTGTTTAAAAAGCGCATGACGGCCTTCTACTTTTGTTACGAGTTTGTTCTAGTCTGATAAATGGCGAGAAAAGAAAATCTTTCGATAAAAACGCATTTATCATTTGCCAAAAAAGGCAAAAGTCAATTTATACTGTAAGATCGATCACGGGCACTGAATAATTAATAAATCCTTCACCTAAATGATTGTTTGTAGAATCAAAATCACCACTAATTGCCCTCGTCGCCCAAATTTCCGACCAACTTTGTGGCGAATACTGAGCGTCAGGTCGAGTATAAGTTTTGAAAATATAATTTGCCCATTCATCCCATTTTGGGCCATCGACATCATTTTTTATTTCGGAAATTTCTTCTTTTAGGCATTCCTCAAAAGATTCCGCAATCAGACAATCAGAAAAATGAAGGACAGTTTGAAGCTTAAAGACCCCTTCGTTTCTGGCCCTCAGTACCGTGAGACAGTGGCTCTGATACATAAACTAGAATTTTGCTGCTTTGTATAATTTGAACTAGGATTCGGTGTGATAGAAACTATCCTCAACCTCTCCGGCCAAAGTAAATCAAATTTATTATGATGGGTAAGGTTATAACGATCATCTGATCACTGTTAATTATAATAGCAGTAACAAAAATCAAGAAACTACGAGTACATAGAGAAACTCGAATCCCTCAGCCGGGAGTTGCCAACTGAAGGCTAAATGTAAAGGTTGTTATTTGATTCCTGATTAACATCGCCACAGTTTTCGTAAAACTTTTTAATAAAAGAAAAACAAGTCACATAAATAAGTGGAGAGTTTTTGCGAATTGGTGAATTGAGGCGGATACCCTTAAGTTAGATCAACATGTTCCGAATTTAAGACTTTACGAAATCTACACCCGAAAGAAGATTTTGAAAATCTAAGGTTGGCTGACCTTGAGCGCCCGTTTTTCGAAAAACCTAGTTCTACCACTTAAATATGCCTAGAACTTCTTGACGAAGGGGTCCTTAAGTAAAGCTTTGACCTTCCAAGATTTCTTGTCACGGTAAGAAACAGCTAGTCTGAGCTTGGTTTCGGCGTATCTTTTAGCACTTTGCTGATAATGGAACTGTATGTGGCTCTATTAAATCAAAAGTTTCAAATTTTAATAACATGCATCGACAAAATAAGGCAAAACAAATTAAAGAAACAATACCTAAGATTCAAAATTTATTTTCCTTTTATTATCAGAAAATCCGGAAAAAAAACTTTTGCTGAACTCTGAGCTGTGTTCTGAGTCGACTTTTATGGCGCACTTAAATCACTTTTTCTGTCTGAAATATTATATCACATTTACTTTTTTTATCAACTGGGGCATGAAATATTAATTCAAGAACATGGAATTCAATTTTTTTCTTAGGATCTCGGAGTATCGTAGCTTTACTTTCTGAAAACATAAACGAGAACATCGAAACTAACTGTACAAAATTTAAAAGTAATACTCTCGCTCATGATTATTTTCTTTAAACTATTCTTATGTATTTTACAAAAAAAAACGACTCGCTCACAACTTATTAATATTTATAAAAATCGAAAAATTGGTTCAATGAAAATGGGCTCAATTCGAATTGGTGATCGATCGAACGTGCGGAAAACATTTTCCCTGTGGTGTAAATAGTCATCCTCCCGAGCGAACACTCGTGTAGCTCTCGGTTAAGTCCATCCCTTACTTCCCCACCTTATGAAGCAGAAGAGAGTGATGTCAAACCTGATTTCACCCTTCATTAAAAACAGCGTTTAAAAATTGCTTTTTTCAATTTCAAGCCATGAGCAAAGCTAAAGCCAGATTTTCCTCGCCGTAAGCGGAACATTCTAGGTTCGTCTCGTCTGCCAGCAATTTCAGAATCTGCGCTCGGAACGGCGTGATCCATTAAGTGGCTAGCCCTCGAAAGTCGGCCAACATTTCAAAAAGGATATACCGCCTGGTCTGCAGATTTTGGCTGCTGGAATATTTTGCTGGCGTTCAAGGAAATCGCGTGAATGATTATCCTAAATGTACCAAAACACCGAAAATTCGGGCACACTCGTGTCTTATGCTTTTAAAAGGATTCAATTTCGACAGATGTCCTCTCAACATAGAAAACGACGACATTTTCCATACAATTCTAGTTTGGGCGCTTGTCAACTCAAAGGCTGAAGTTGCTGCTCATTGTTATCCCCGTCTGCGGCGGAATTTACTTCCTAACGCAGCTGTAGCCGCTCACGTGCTAAAATGTCCTGTTGCGATGGCGATTTTAACGGATTGCTTTGGCAAGCTATCTATCAGCGAACACGAGCAACTGATGAATTTAAAATGCTCTCAATGGGGCGATGTGCGACTGAAGAAGCTGCTTTCGCCGCTTCAAAAATTGGATATAAACTCAGTTAGTTAGATACTATGAGTCGGTGGAACTCAACAGTCGGATATAAATACTAAAAATTCAAGTGCGCCAATTCGTATATCCCACTAAAAGTGAAAAATCCTAGGTTCTTCGAGGGTCACATTAAATCCGTTCTAAAATTTTCGGGAGGTAGTTTCTGTTGTGGTGTTTCATAAACATCCATTTGTGGCAATGAAACTCGCTCTGGCTGATCATCTTTTTTGTCTGATCAAATTTTGTAACTTGAGGTTATCCAAGAAAAATCGATGTTTAAAACTTTAAGGAGTGGACGTGCGTCCCTGTTCTTCTGGTCCCCCAGACAAAATATCGGGCTATACTATAGGACCAAAATTTTTCGAAAATCTTAAGGGGATCTCTCCGTAATCAGTAATTGAGAATTTTGCCTTATTTTGCCTGCATGTTAATTTTCATTAAAAAAAATGATAATGGAGCCCACTCGAACATGCCCCAAGATCAATATAACGCGCAAAACGCTCAGAAAAAAATTCCCTTGTTGCTTTCCTCGACGCATCCTCAAAATCACCTGTGATAAACATAACATTTGGTATTCGTTTTCGTGTCACTTCATAAATTGTATCAAAAACAGCTCGATAATCTTCAGTAGACTGTCCCTCCAAAAAACACCAAACGCGAGGTTGAAAATTTTCGCCATCAACACTACTCGAGATAATCCAAAGCTGCTTAATCTTTCCATCCACACATTTGAAATTTCCGTCATACGCCCAGATAAATGACTCCATAAGAATATCCAGATTTTCTTGAAGTGCAAGTATAATATGACTATCAAGATAAGGAATTTTTTCCTCCAGCGGCGGTGAAATGGTGTCATTAGTAAGCCTAAAAGGTTTACATTCTACATTGGTTTTAGATCTTTAATTATTGTGTTGCAGAGATTTTCGGCATTTTGACAAAAATCATATTTTAATAACTATTAATTATTAAAACCATTCCAAGGAAAAAGAATTTTTCTTCAATTTTGGATAGCACAGTATCCTGAACATCCACCACTCGCTGCAATTTTACTTTTTTAGCTCTTTTACTAGCCAAATTTCGCAAATTTCGATCATGGTTGCCAGAGAAATACGCTTTTTCTGTTGAATCAAGTTCAAGTCGCTCACTGAAGAAATCCCGCATTTGTTTTGGACTCCGAGGATTTTTCGAGAGGCAGTTCAAATAATGCATATTCTTCATCCAGTCAGAGACTATTTCTCTCCAGATAGATTTGACCGTGCATTTTTGAGAATGTGAAATTTTGAATTTTTCATAGTCTTCAAGGATTCTTTATCTTTATGACTAAACCAAAAAATAGAACTCAATTCTCATAGAAGGGTTATGATTTGCCGGTAGGCCAAATACAGCAATCTTATTAATATTCAAAGAATAAAAAATTTAAGAATTTCCTTCAAATCCATCAATTTTGAAATTTTCAAACTGCCAAAAGCATCGCAATTTCAAATTTGTTGTCCTTGCGTAGATATAAGTCGTGAGACAAGAAGCACCATGCATAGCACCAGGACACCATAACAAAATCTTACTCCATCCGTCAGACGCTTTTGTCCATTTGTAATCATTTCTTGGAGCCATCCAAAAATAAATTGAGTCCAATTTCAAACCAACGCGAAAATTACAACCATACTTCGTCAGACTCAAGCCACAAATAGTAGGCTTTAAAGGAGTTCCCATTTCTAATTCTTATTTGTGATGGAAGAATCTGATTTGCGTTTATAATGTTTTAGATAATTTGAATTGTTAAAAATTGATGAGAGAAATTGTTATTTTCAAAATTTTCCACCATATCATAGAAAGGCATAAGTTTTAACGGCGCTTCTATTTCTATGTGCTCATTCTCTTCCATAAATTCCATCGCAGAAAAATTTAATTTTGAAATTGAATTATGAAATTATGAAATCCCTTTATTAACAAACAGAATTGAATACAGATCATTAGGTTTTAACTTCGACAGTCTCATAGACAGACGACTCAGTGTAAAATGCCGGCTTTTCTTGAATTCTGGAAATTTTGCGTGAACTTTTGCCATTTTGCGTCACTAGTTACGGTTGCGTCAATAGCTACGGTGCGTCAATAGTTACGGTTAAAAATGAGTCACAGGGACCGTAGCTATTGACGCACCGTAGCTATTGACGCAACCGTAACTAGTGACGCAAACCCCCCAAACCGTAGCTAATGACGCGCACCCCGCTGAGTCTCACGCGTGCCCATTTCTTTGATTTTAGGAGCGTAATAAAAGTGACCTCGATCAGTAGAGTCTCGATTTAACTTTTTATTAAAAGCCTTTATTCAGAAGATGGAATGAGTTTCTTCTCATTGTTTTGCTCTGCCCAGGGTTGAATAGAAGCTAAAAAAGTCAACATTAGTTTTGGTCATATTTTTACCTGATCCTAAGAAGCAAAAAGCAACAGCCCCGAGAAAAAGAACAACAGCTTCAAGTTGAAAAATCGTTCTCCATTTGCTCTCAATATCTCCTTCTCCGTCCAAAATTCCCCCAGCGATGACTGGTGAGATGAATCCTGGGGTACAAGCCATGCAGTTTTGAATCGACATGATAAAGCCTGCAAATGCAGGTGCAATAAAAGCCGCGTTGGGTTTTGATCCGGCACTGTCGAAGCCCATGCAGAAATTTTGAAGACACACGAGACATAGAATTAGGAGAATATTGCATCCAACGAGAGACATGCTAAAAGCAAACATAGCAGAAGGAACTCCTGCGATGATAACGCATCCTCGAATGAGATTGAGTCGTGAGACTTTCCATTTTTGGTGAATGATGTCGCAGATTTTTCCAGCAAACAGACAAGCCACGAGATTCAAGCAGGAAGTGATGCCAGACATCCAACCGACGGAAGCGATGTCATAGCCCTGTACATCGGCTAGGTACTGTAAAAGGTCTAGCGTTAGAATTTATAAGCGATGTGCTTGAATTTACCTTTGGGAAGAGAATAGCTAGAGTCAGTGTTCCCCAGTTTGAAGTCAAGTTGGCGATAATTATCCCAAAAATAGCCGGAGAAGTAAAAATGTCAAAGACTGGTATTTTCTGGTCGCTTTTGGTTTTCTGTTCCCTGCGACTTTTGATAATATAAGATTTTTCCTTTTCAGATATCGACGGATGGCTCTCAGGAGATTCCGCAATTATGAAATACCAAATTAATCCCACAGTAATATTCGATAGAGAAGTCACGTAGAAAATACTTTCCCATCCAAAGATTGAACCGAGCCAGCCGCCGAAAGTATTGAGAATCGACGTTCCAAGGACGTTTGGGCAAAATGTCAGACTTGTGAGGAAAGAAAGCTCACTTTCTGGGCCCCATTTGGTCCATGAGCCCGCCGCTGCTGGTCCAATTACTTCAAGAAACAATTAACTTTGATTACGAGCATCGAATTCTTACCCACATGAGTCACTCCAATCAGTGCCCTTAGAAATATGCAGATATAAAGTCCATAAAAGTCGCCACTTCTTCCTTCGTCAGTTTTTAAAATTGACGGAATCGTCAAAGTAAGCAATCCAGCAATCAACAATCCCGAAGAAACAGTTCTTCTTATTCCATATTTATGAACGACATATCCTCCTGCAATCGAAAACAAACAGTAGCCGTAGTAATACGAGCTTAGTAAAAGGGTCTGTTGAGTATTTGAGTACATAAACGGGCCATCGTTGTTATTACTTGAGCCCACGTGCTCTCCGCCGCAAACACTCTCCGTCGTTGAATTTCCAGTACTTGATAGACTTTCTTGATAGGTTCTGTTCACCATCCCTTTTCATAATTATGATTTAAATTCGAAGAATAAAATAACTTACCAACAATCGCAATATTTATATTAGATCTTGTAAAATGCATATTACAACCGGAAAACACCACCATAATTGCCAAAACATATCTCTTTCCGAGTGACATTTTTGTTTCTCTTATTTTGAGTTTTTGCTTTCTTCCAAAAACTGACCAGGAAATTGGCACTGTTTATCATTAGCAAATACGCTCTTCTGAATTATGTCCGCTAGCAATAATTTCCGGTAAGTACGAGATTTTATTGGGGGTGCGGATCTAAAGAAATAAACAAAACGTCAACTAAATAGTTCAAAAAAGTGGTCTACATCTTTTTAATTGCTAATATTTGTCCGCAGTTAGCGCGAATTGGCATCTTTACCGCAAATCCAAGCATTCGAAGGTTTGTGGCGCACTGGCCAAATGATAAAAACAGGTGCGGTTCTCTAGGAGCTTTTGCTGTCGCAGAACCATGTGGGGACTAAAGGTTCGTATTTTCTAAAGAGAGAATATCAGAGATTGTAACATTAATTTCAGACAGCATTCCTCGCTGGTTTGGGCAGTGCCCAATATGCAGATCCCATGGGCGCAACTCACGATGACGTTGCCCCAGACTATATCAAGACCTTTACAGACGCTTCAAGTGACTCTTGCATGCAGCAATGTCTCGACCTCCAAGCGATGACCACGACTCCTCATCACTCGAACATTTTCTGCCACCAAGCTTCCGATTACGGCTGGGAGCCAAATAAGCCCACATGGGAAGTGTTGATGGAAGTCCGCTGCCAAATCGGAATCTGGAAGAATTACCCAGATAACTACGTTCCCCATTACGGCCAAAAATATGGAAAGAGAAAGAGAAGAAGTTTTCATGAGTTTTTCCCATCCAGTAGCTCCAGCAGTTCTGGATCATCAAGCCAGTCCTCCAGTTCGGGCAACAACAATTCCGGTAACTCCGGAAACTTTGTCTGGGACGGTGGAAACGGTGAAGAAGCTCACAGCAACAGAGATCTTTCGTGGCAGCACAAACCAAGATGGTTCTACTGTAATCAAGGAGCCTGGATTAATAAAGAAAAGTCTCTCTATGAACTTGAGAACTCCTTCGCCATCAAGGACAATATGGCAGAATGCACTCATCTTCACGGACCATTTGACTTCAACGACGGATGCAACATCGAAAAGTATGATTGGTTCCCGGGATGGTACGAGTGCGAGTACCAGCCATACCCATCTTCTCATCAATACTACAATGCTGCTGTTCATGGCTCTTACAACAGAGGCGAGGGCGAAGCAGTTCGATCCGAAGAAGAAGCCCGCTCAATTTGGGGCACAGAAGCTGGATACTTGAAGGTTTGCAAAGTCCAGTGCCCAGCACCTAGTGTTCCAAGAGAAATTCTCGCTGACGGAAGCGTCGGAACTATCACTTGCGACTTGCGAACTGGAGAATGGTCGCCAGCTCCTCCACAAGGATGTGATGAACCATTTGGTAGAGGTCATCAATGCGCTAATCCACAGTCTCAAACTTCAAACCAGTTTAATTGGCACGGGCGATGGGAATGTGAGGGCCCACACGGTCATACTTACGAACCAAAACCATCATACAGTGGTTACAACCCAGGTTATCAGCCAGGTTACAACCCAGGCTATCCTTCTTCGTACAATGGAGGCTACGACCCATATGGCCGAAGACGTCGAGATACCGAGCATAGTGAAGGAGAAGGCGAAGAGGGTGAGCGAGGATACTACGGTTCTCCTTCCTACCCATCATCCTCGTATCCATCAAGCTCTTACTCTGCGCCATCTTATCCATCCAGCGGATATCCATCAAACTATCCCGCACCATCATACTCTGGTTCTCCCTATGCCAGCAACTACCAGCACTACTCAGCATACAGTTACTCGCCACCTAAGAAGACTTATACAAAGAGTGGGCCATATGGATATGGCTATGATGCCTCTATTCACGGACAAACACATTGCCATCTCACTTGTGATCCTGGTTTTGTCTCTTCTACGTGCGACACTGAGCTCACATGCGACCCAACTAACTGGCCATCGTGGGGACCAGACGTCAACCCACCGGTGTGTGTTCCTCGAGAGATGAAGGCTTGCCCAAGAGATTGCGATTTCGAGCCGTCAGTTGTCGAGAACGGCATGTACTTGTGCACTCGACTCCCAGGAGCTTGGAAGACTGAGTGTGTCCTTCAGTGCCAGGAAGGACTCAACCATCGTGGCCTCAGCTACGTAGTTGACGATACTGACATGTCAATTCTCACATGCAACTCCGATGACAAATGGCTCAATGCTCTCGGTGCTAATGGTACTGTTACTCACTGCGTCGAAGCACCTTCGAAATGCCCAACTTCGGCCGCCCAAGTTGGCGCTCTCTTCGACGCTGGCACTGGCGGCAGCTTTGATACAAATATCAATGGAGGTATTGTCGATGTTACTCTCAAATGCGAACAAGGACATCGACCAGAAGTCTTCTCCAAGACAACAACCCGATGTTACGACGGAAACTGGCTGTCTGACATCACCCGATGCATTGAGGACAAAGATTATTGCCTCGATGGACACCCACAGCTCACGACTAACACTACTGAGATTAATGGACAATGGGAATGTACTCGAACTTCTGTCACCGGCATCGAAGTCGTTTATTCTCAAGACCAGCGAACTGAGCTCTTTGATGAAGCCGAGCGAAGCTATGGTTACGATACCAACTACAATGAATACAATCAGGATCACATTCTCTCTGCTCAGGCCAAATGGACTTGCAGATTGATCTGTGATCAAGGATTTATGGTTTCTTACGATTCAGTAACAACTTGCACTGATTACATCGGAACATCATGGGATCTCAGCCCATTCCCAGTTTGTGAGGCAAAGCCTGTCTGTGATGTTCCATCTGAAGATGTTTGCACTGATTGGGACTGCTCAAAACAATTTTACAACCAGAACGCCATCCAAGGTACCTACGGAAACTCTCAGTACAGCTATCACAACTACGGATACATGCCAGCAAAGAACAGCTACTGGCCAGAGAAATTCTATGCAAGCTCTCCAAACTACCAACAGTACTACAAACCCAACGCGTATGGTTACGTTGCTGGCTACCAACATCCTTACCATCACTTGTACTCTCATGTTACTTACAACGCCGGAAGTATGTACTACTCCAACGTCTACAAGAAATACAACTCTTACTCTTCATCTTCTACGACCTATACATCGACTCAGCACCATTACGTTGGCCGAAGAAGTGTCGATGATGACCCAATGGATAGGTATGAAACATTTCTTTTCTGATAATTAGATTAAATCTAGATGGGAATGGGACGACGATATCCAAGAAGTCCAGCGTTGTGTTCCACTTTGTAAAGACAACTGCATTTCTGTCTCTGGAATCACTGCCTACCACTGTTTTGTTGAAACCGCCACCTGGGATGCTGCTCCTGTACGATGCTGCCCAGATGTTCATGCTATTGAGGTTTGCCATTTTTTTCAAGCACATTTTATTGTTACATTTTATTGTATTTCAGAACCCTGACGAAACCTGCGCCATCGATCTTGAAACAACTGAGGGAACCGCTTGGGATATGGTTGTTGCACCATCATGGACCACTGGTGCCGGTAGCACAATGAATGTCACTGATAATGCTGAAAAGCTAGTTGCTGGTTCTTACACTTGTACCAATCTTACTGACGTTTCTGTCCGATACGAGGTTTGTTTTCATATTGTTTTGTTGTTTTACGATGTTTAAGGTTGTTGCTGGAAATGGAGGCATGAACTCATATGGTCACGAGCCCTACAACTACAACCAATACAAATATAAGCAATACTGGGATGGATACTATTGCTCTTACCCAGAAAGCTACGATTCTTACGAAAACATCCCTTACGGTCGAAAGCGAAGAAGTCTTCATACCTTCGGTCTACCATCTGGATCCTCTAGCTCTAGCTCTGGCTCATCCAGCTCAAGCTCTCAGCCAGCTCAATCATCTTCCAGTAGTTCTTCATCCATGTAGGATCATGTAAAAATTCCATTTATTATATATATTCTAGGCCATCTCATTCAACTTCTGGTTCTTCTTCTGGGTGGGCTACTGGACAACCTGCTTACTATGGACCCGCTCCAACTCATCCAGACTGTGTCGTCATCAAAGAAAAGCTCTGTACTCTCACCTGCCCAGATGGAGAAGTCCCAGCTCTTGGACATGACACTTCTGTCTGTCATGAGTATGCTAATGGTTCTCAAAAGTGGGTGAAGAAATTGACTCACTGCGTGAATTCTGCCGATATCATGGCTGTTTTGGTTGATCCTCCAGCACGTAAGTACATTGCATGTTATCATCGTCTCAAAGTATCTTAGAGCCCGCAAATACTGGTCTTGAAACCTGGGCTCCATCAAAAGAAGCAGCTCCAGCTCCATCTTCTCCACAGAAGAACACCAACCTTTCACCAAAAGAAATCAAGAAGGCCCAAAAAGCAGCCAAGAAAGCCGCCAAGAAGAAGAAGAAGGCCGAGAAGAAAGCCAAAAAGAAGGCTGCCAAGAACAAGAAAAAGAAGAACCGAGACAACAAAAAGAAGAACCGATCTGAGATGAAATTCCAGATGCGAGTACGCAAGCAGAATTCTCGACTCAGCGCTCGAGCCCTTCGACGAAACCCGAATCTGAACTATGGCTACTAAATACAACTTTTGCTACCACTGAAGATTAATTTCCAACTTGACGACCTGTATTTTTTATTCGAAATAAAGATTGAATTATCATTCAAATAAGAGTTCTTCGATAAGGATATGCATGCCGCGGCGCCTTCTCGACCCTTTTTGCTGACAAACGGATCGATTAACCACGTTTGTCGGCCATGTTCCTCTATTTCATCAGCAGCCTCACCCTTCCATATTCTCATTATTCAATCTTGTTCAAAGGAAAAATAAACTTTTTTCATTTCTTCATGTCCGAGAAAATTCCCCTGAATCAACCTCTTCTAGGTACGTGACATGCTAGAATTTCTCTCTCTAATTAGCGTGGGCTCATTTGGCGCAAATCCAAACACTTTTTGGTTTCTTGCCTCAGGCGCGTGTGTGTACTTGTGGAACTACTCACGTCCCTACAGATCATTTTGAATGAGTATCGCCTTGATCGATTTATTCTGTTCAAAAATGTGCTCGAAAGGCGAAGTGATATTTGGGCAATAATCCCAAGGGGTGATATTGGACCCGTCAGAGAAACAAAGCGCGATTTTGTTTTCCTCCGCTTTTGAGCTTCTCCTGTGAATCAGAAAAAAATAAAGAAAGGAAGAAGAAAATAAGAGAAAATAAGCATGGAAACACGCTCGAGGCCGATAGCACTGAATATAATTAAAACCGATTTCCCAAACGACGACATGGAGAGAAAAGACTTTGTTGAGCTTGATTTAGGGAAAGAAGGAAGCTCGTATGGAAGCGACCCAGATGCATTGGAAGAAGATTTTACCGGCGAAACTAAGTTTCATTATAAAGATTTTGGAAGTATCGATTGGTATCGAGAACTGGCGGTGGACCAACGAAAACGAGCGAGAGACAAGGAAAAGGCAGAAAAAACACCGAATATTGTTAATTATATAAGGTCTCTTGCCGATGCTGCTTCTGGCTGGATTATCGGTAAAGAAAAAGACACAGATGTTATCTTTATTTTAACTGTTTTAGTTACCGTTATTGGTCTTCTTGCGGGTTTTGCTGCCGGAGTCATTGATATCGCAACAAAATGGCTTTCGGATTTGAAATCAGGCTACTGCCGCGGCCATCTTTACCTAAACCAGGAGCAGTGTTGCTGGTCAGACACTCTTCATGGAATCGACGAAGACAATTGCACAGCTTGGAGAGACTATGGAAACCCAAACACTTACGGAGGTCACGTGCTTCTTTTCATTATGTACTGCTTGATGGGAACACTCTTTGCAACAATCGCCGTGATTCTTGTGAAGATGATTGCGCCTTATGCCTGTGGTTCTGGCATTCCTGAGGTCAAGACGATTCTCTCTGGTTTCATCATGAAGGGTTATCTTGGTTTTGGAACGCTACTCGTCAAAACTTTGACGATGCCCTTGGCCGTATCTGCAGGTCTTATGCTTGGCAAAGAAGGTCCACTTGTTCACGTTGCTTGCTGTTGTGGACATGCTGTTTCTCAATTCTTTCCAAAGTATAGAAACAATCAGGTAATGGAAGAAGTCCGGTCATTTTTTAATTTTCAACATAGGCAAAGCTTCGAGAAATGCTCTCTGCATCAGCTGCGGCAGGTGTTTCTGTTGCTTTTGGTGCACCTATCGGAGGCGTTCTGTTTTCCTTGGAAGAAGTGAGCTACTATTTCCCTCTCAAAACGCTTTGGCGATCATTTTTCTGCGCATTGATTGCAGCTTTCTCACTGAGAGCAATGAACCCATTTGGAAATCAGCACTTGGTTCTTTTCTACGTGGAATATGACAAGCCTTATCATCTGTTTGAGCTGTTTCCATTTATTATTCTTGGAATTTTGGGAGGCCTTTATGGAATTTTATTCATCAACATGAACCTCTCCTGGTGTCGTTTTCGCAAAAGATCGATTCTTGGCCAGCATCCATTACTCGAAGTGGTGATTCTTGCACTTGGAACTTCAATTCTGGCGTATCCGAATCCATACACTAGAATTCAATCTGGCCATCTTATTCGTTTGTTATTCAAAGAGTGCAAAAGATACGATGACAATCCACTTTGTGACTACAATTACAGTCAAAATGCCACAACAGTCTTCAATGACGGCATCACTCAAGCGACATGGCAGCTTATACTGGCCCTTGTTGTAAAATCAGCACTCACAGTGATTACTTTTGGCATAAAGGTCCCAGCTGGGCTCTTTATTCCTTCTATGGTCACTGGCGCAATAACAGGTAAATTCACTTGAAGTCTCGAAAACTAATCACAATAATTAAGGACGGCTTATCGGCATTTTGACCCAAAAGATAATCGAAGCTTTCCCGACATTGTCAATTTGGGAGGGTGTTTGCGCAGACCCAACTTCATGCATCGAGCCGGGACTGTACTCAATGGTCGGGGCAGCAGCTGCTTTAGGAGGCGTCACGAGGATGACAGTTTCTCTCGTTGTGATTATGTTCGAAGTGACAGGGGGACTGCAGTACATTGTACCATTCATGGTTGCAACCATGGCTTCAAAATGGATCGGAGATGCGTTCGGAAAAGATGGAATTTATGATGGGCATATTACCCTAAACGAATATCCATATCTTGATGTCAAGATCGATATGCAACAGCAGAAGGTAGAATATACTTGTCAAAGAAATATACTTATTTTAAGACGACTGCCGGTCAAATTATGAATCCAAAAGGAGGGACGATGGTAACTATCCCTTTCCAAGGAAGTACAACTGAGAAGCTCTGTACAATGTTGGCTGACCATCCCTTTTCTGGATTCCCGATTGTCACCGTTCAAGGGCGATTAGTGGCATTTATAACTAGGTAAAAGGAATCAAGGATGAGTAAACGCAATTTTTCTTCAGAGAAGATCTACAAGAAGGAATAGCTGCCGGACGAAAACTGATGACACTTGATCCTAATGATGCTCACATTGACCAAACGGTGTTATTTACGATGTCGACGCCTCTAGTTTCTGCGGGAAGGGTTCCTATCCGTCTAAATAATGTCATCGATTACAGGTAGAAATTTAGATGCTTACAAACTTAGCAATTTTATTTTAGTCCCGTGACAATCAGCGAACAGACGTCCATAGCTCTAGTTTTAGAGGTGTTTCGAAAACTCGGCTGTCGCCAGGTTTTTGTCCTCCGACAAGGCGAACTGGTTGGTCTTATCACAAAGAAAGACCTACTCCAATTCATTTATGAGACGAGAAACAACGATCAAACTTCCTATACTCAGTTCAAGTAACAAAAATAGACTCTTTAAATTTTCGATAAACGAATAGGTGTGTTCAAGTCTGTAATAAGAAGGAAATATATTAGATAAAAATCGTTTCAAACTTTTGCAGTAGTAGAGATGACTTTGGCGACTTTCGCAGCAGATTCGATGTCAGATAGTGTAATGTTGCTTTCGGGGTGTTGGTTTCTTTCTCGCTCATAAACTCCCTCTCGTTCGTGGCGATTCTTTGTTCGTCTGGCGACATAAGCAAGCGTTGTGACTTTTAAGGTTGATGATGGTAAAGGCATCTAGGTACTTCAAGAGCTTCAACAGTTTACGGAAGAATGAAAACCGTTCCTGGTAGAATTGTACTTAGAGAGATGCTCGAAGAAACATCTCCTTCAAAAGAAGCATTTTCGTCTGAAAATGCGAGTAGTCCCAAACAACCGGAAATAAAAAGGCCTATTGCGAGAATTCCGTTTGCCCAGATGTCGAGCTAAGATTAATGTTTTCATGATAAGCCTTTCGCGATAAACTGAAAGTCAAAATACTTACCCATTCGTAATTGATAATCCTAACAATGGGAAGCCATTCGTTCCATTTCCAGGCTTTGATGACATAAATCAGTGAGTGATAGATCAGCGTTGAAATGATGGAAATTTGGATTATGTTGATGGTGAGTACTGACGGAGCTGGTGCGTTTGCGAGGAAGCCGATGTTTACAATACTTGCTATTTTTAGATTACAGTACTTTTCGTATTTTATTGCATATTTACCAATATTGATAACTGCTCGAAAGAACCCCTCGAAACTGAAAAAGTGGGCGACCAATAACTTGAAAGCATCTTTTGTACTTTCTTTGCAACTTTATCGAGTTTGGTAAATAAAAGAAAATAAATTGCTTTATAAATTATAATTTGTTTACTCGTTCCTGCAAGAAGCCATGGTCAACTAACTGCAAGAAAACCATTCTCACAAAGTTGATACTATTCTGTTCTAGAATAAACGATTGAGTGCGTTTTAAACTAAATTAAAAAATAAACGAAACGATTAAAATCATTATCTTTCCGCCTCAACGAAGTCGAACATAATAAATTCTCTCCTTTTTGAGCATCGTCTTTATACTGCTAACAAAATCCTTTCCTTCCATTTTTTTCTAAACTGACCCAAGTCTGTTCTTTTTACAAATATTTGCCAGGAATATTTGAGTTTAAAAACTGTCCATCATGTGACGGTGGACCTGAGTTCATAGTTGTAAAAATACCCGTCAAAGATAGGATAGTAAGGACACTCACGGACGACCAAATGTTTAAGAATCCGAAATATAATTAATCTCAATTCTCCTCACGATGTAGGAGATAGAGAGAAAGAGTAAATATAAAAGAAGAGATAGAGAGTAACTAAATGTTTAGCGACGCGATCATTTTTTAGACTGTCGCGCTTCTTAGGGGGCACAATAGAGCGCATGATGTTTGCAGGTACGGAGGGTTAACAGTAAGAGATATCCAAAAGAAGCTTATGAATAAATAACGAAGGGGAAGATTCTTTGGTTGAGCACGCACTTGGAATAGGTAAACAAAATTATGTCTGAATAATTTTTATCATATTTTTTCGAACCCAAAAGAAGAATAAGAAGGCGAAGAAGAAGAATGATCTATGATGAGATCCTCATCGCAGTACTTTTCGTCCTTACCAGTATCGCAGTTATTAAACGCATGAAAGGCCAGAGGTCACGAAAAATTCCTGTGTTTGAATGGCCTTTCGATAAAAAGGCAACGGTTTACAATGGCGACCTTGAAGTTCAAGGCCTTTTCATAACCTCTCAAGGTCTTAAAGACAACTTAGAAATTTCAAATTACAATCAAAGAAATTGATGATAATTCAATATATTTCGAAAACGAAGAGGGTTTTTTAGCATACTTGTTAACTTTTTTTTACGAGAACGTAAACCTGGATGAGACTAATTTTGAGTTTATTCAAGATCATTTGAGGGGTGACCCTCCGAATCCCTGGGCACCCTCCGAATCCCTGGGTTTTTGGGAAAAGTCCAGGGATTCGGAGGGTGATGTTCTAGAAAACCCCTACAAAAGATCAAAAAAATCTTTTATTTATCATTTTTCAAAATATACTAAAAACGTAAGCACTTTAGAAGATAACTTGTATGTCATATTTGATTAAACGCCAACCCTTAAAAGAAGAAAATTGAATGAAAGCAGAAAGTAATTTTCCAACAGACATTTTTTTCGAAATTACTATCAGACGATATAAATGAAGATTTAAGGCTTAAAAATTATTTTAATTTAACCAATAGTGGATGCTTATAAATATATACTAATATAAAAATATAATGCGTTTGCTAAAGTTGTTTTTCTTTCAACACTAACCAATTATTAGAGAAAACTAATTAATGAATCTGCTGTAAAACAGCTGAAAGACATTTCTAGAACATTTCGGATTTGACCCTCCGAATCCCTGGGTTTTCGATTTTGCCCAGGGATTGGGAGGGTACCCGCATTTGAGAGATGACAAGTTGCCCAAGATTTACAAGTCGAAGATTCTAGGCCTACCAATTGGCCCTATCATTATCACTGACTATGAACTTATGAAGAAGATCTTTGGTAGCCACAAAGTTTCGGACCGACTCCACAATGATAGGCTTGAACTTGAAGAAAAGCTGATTAGACAAGACTTCAATCTTGAAAAATTCTTCAGAGATGCAACTGGCGACACAGAGCTAATAGAAGGCCTCTATGGAGTGGGCAATGGACCGTATAGGAATGGAATTCTATAGATATATCTGCTTTAGAAGGTGTGTTCTGGACCTGAAATGTCGAATTCTCATAGCGACTCTTTTCGTAAATTACGCTCTAACTGGTACCATGCTGTCCTGAAACTTCATGGCTCTGATAAATTACAGGAATCAGTCAAAGACAACGCTAGACAGCTCTGTTCCCAACTATCGACCCTCGATGGCAAACCTGTGGACCCCCTTCCATACCTTCTCAACGGCTCAATCAATGTTCTCACCAATTTTCTTCTTGGCGTTCACTACAAAATAGACGATGAAAACTTTCAAACAGTTTCCAAAATGACGAAAGATTTGCTGAGAAATCTGATGGGCTATGTTCAGGCGAAGATGACCGCATCAATAACTCCTAAATGGCTCATCAGAATGCACTGGTTCAGGAAGCTAAAGATGAAGATCTTCCCGAAGTACAAAGAAATGTGCGAATTGCTTTATCTGAAATTTCAGCCTTACATTTACTCGTATATCAAAGGTAAGATCCTTCTTTTGGATTCTCATCAAACCGTTGCAGAGCATAGGAAAGGCCTTGATGAAGAAAACTTCCGCGACTATATGGATTTTCTTCTTGACTTGACTCGAACGGACTCAACAATTGGCTACCATACGATCGGATTTACTTTAGTTTCTCTGTACATCGGCGGAACGGACACAATAGGTAAGAAATAAGAGTCAATCAACGACCGGAAAACTCAAATAAGCCCATTGTCAATGCCTTTTATGACTTACGAATAACTAAGTTTCACAGGCGGCTTTATGTCCGGGCAAAATTTGGGTGACCGCAGATGGTTCACGTTTCGGATCGTTAATTTCCAATCGGTTCTTACACGTCAGCAGTAAAATTGATTCCTATTTAGCGAATACAATGCGATGGCTTCTTATCCAGCTTGCTCTTCGACCCTCTTTACAAAATCGACTTTATGACGAAATCTCGACTGCCAAAAGGTACGTTCAGTTAATCCCAACCAATCTTCATCCAAAACTTTTTAGTAATAAAGGATCGTTTGACCAAAAAGACTGTCCTTTGCTGTCATCAGTGATGCTAGAAAATAGACGAGTTTTCCCAGTGGCTGACTCTTTACCGCATCAAGTGGCGGAAGATGTCGAAATTGATGGTTATCGGTTCAAGAAGGGCGATTTCTTTTTAGGATCTTTGGCGAGTGTTATGCGTGATCCAAGTAAGTTTATAATTATTTGCACTAACGAGTTTACTTTTTAGAAAACTTCAAAAATCCAGACGAATTTCTTCCTGAAAGATTTTTGAGAAATGGGGAGTTTGTTCACGATCACAAGGTTTGCTCGTTCGGAGTTGGGAAACGAAACTGTATTGGTACTGAATCGCTTAAAACAAGTTCAGCCTCACACGCAATTAAGGACAACAAATAGCGAAAACAGAAAATTTTTACTTCGCTGCTGAAATCATCCTCAACTTCAAAATCGAGTTTGAAGATGGTGCATCCCTACCAAAGATCGACAAAAACATGTCATCAGTTTTAGCACCAGAACCCTTCAAGCTAAAGTTTCTTCATCGGGATTCTTAGCGAATTTCATTTGGTTACCACTACGTTTATATCACTGCGAATATTTTTATTTAAATGTTGTAAATAAACATAATATTGTCGTTTACTCCTTGTTGATATCATTTTTTATCCTCTATCGGATATATTTTCTCTTTATTTCAAGTTTTATTTCTTGATTCTGCAGATTCACAGTCTGGTTAGATCTGATTGACAGGCTCTTTCAAGCCCTATCGTATTTGTTGTTTGTCCTGATGAAAGAAACGAAAAATGCTGGTGAGAATAGACCGGACACAAAGGAAACATTCGCTCGTGAACACGCTCTCCTGCTGTTGAGATTTTTCGTCGCATTAGAACAGCTTTGCGTCAATTACTTTATCTATTTTTTTCTTCAAATTAAATGATCGAGGAGAAGAAATTCTTGAGTGTTTGAGCTGGCAAGAGAACAACCAGGAAGCTCTGGAGTTACTCAGTTGGGGCCCCTAGAGAAAAATTAAACAAATCCTCAGACAATAAAGAGCGTCAAAATTGAAAGAAAATAATCATGGCCGAGACCGACGGGGAAACCCCAATTACCTTATCGAAGAAAAAAGAGCAGCGAAAAAACGCATTGAAAAAGAGAAAACCTCGGAAAATGAACAAACCCGGCATTTGCTTAGTAAATTGTTACTACGATTCGGTGAAAAGAGCGTCGAAGGTGAGATAATTTCCATTTCGTTGGCTTGGCAACGGAAATTTTTTTTAGCGGCAAGGATTTACGGAAATGGATGAAGATGAGGAATGGACAGTGTTTTGGAACGATCAATCAGTGGGAATCGAAAGATGCTTGAAAATGAAGAGCTACCAAAGAATCAACCATTTTCCTGGCATGAACGAAATTTCTCGCAAAGATCTTCTTTCGCGAAATCTGACGCGGATGTACAAACAGTTTGGGAAAGACTATCAGATCTTTCCGCGGACGTGGACGTTTCCGGCAGATCAGGCTGATTTTCTGACATTCTTGAGCGGACGGAAGAAAGAAAAGATATTTATTTGCAAGCCACAAAGGGGATGCCAAGGCCGGGGGATCTTTCTCTCGCGGAAGCCTCATAAAGATGTCAAAACTAGTGAAGGAAACGTTCTAGGTCCCCCTATAACTACCTTTATCCTTGCTAGTCACTTGCTAGAACGCTGACAAGGCTATGTCGTCCAACAATATCTCGCTCACCCACTTCTGATCGATGGATTTAAATTTGATCTTCGCGTATATGTTCTGGTCACGTCATGCGATCCTTTCAGAATTTATGTTTTCCACGAAGGACTTGCTCGTTTCGCCACAACGCCATACAAAGAACCCACTACCAGTAACATAGATGACAGGAATGTGTTCCCAAATTATTGCAGTAATTTTCTATCTGCTTGTATTTGTCAATTATCAGACAGATTGTGTTAATCGAGGAACTCTTGACAGCATGATGCACCTGACCAACTATGCTATCAACAAGGAGTCAGAAAATTTTGTTGTCGATGACAGCGAGGGTCATAAAAGAAGATTCGCTGCTATTAATGAATGGCTCAGGTAACTTAGCAAAAATAATATGAAAGTCAACCTTATTTTAAGGGAAAACGGACACGATGTTGGACAAGTCTGGAGAGAGATCGACGATGTTATTGTTAAAACATTAATATCAGCGCAAAACACGCTGCAGCACAATTACAGAACATGCTTTGCCCATCATTCGGAAAAATCAGCATGCTTTGAAATTCTTGGATTCGACATTATGCTCGACAAGCGCCTGAAACCTTGGGTCATCGAAGTCAACCACACTCCTTCCTTTCACACTGACAGTCCGATGGACAAAGAAATCAAAGAACAACTCCTCGAAGACTCGTTCAAACTTATTCACGTAAAAGCTTCTGATCGTGTCGTCGCGCTGAATGCGGAGAAGAAAAAGTCTCAAGATCGTCTTTCAAAGAAAGAACGACACAAACCTGACATGGATCGTTCTGAGAAACTCGCGAAACGTGCTCTCGCTGATGCCGTTTGGGAATCTAAGCATCTTGGCTAGGGTGATTAGCAATTATTTAAGAGCTGTAAATGTATACTCTGATTTTTTCGCATACAAGTTTAATTTTGGGCAAAAGACAAAATATAACCCTGATAAAAGTGGATTCAGAAGAGCCTACCCTCTGTCATTATCTCCTGATGCCGAAGATCCGTATGCAAAGTTCTTGAATACTCTCGGGTCGCTGTATCAAACTACAGCTGTAGCGAAAGCGAGGGAAGAAATGGCAAAGCAGCGACGAGAAGAGTTGAATAAAGGAAAAGGTTCAAGACTAATGAATGGACATTCACTTCAAGTCTCGAACCCTAAGAAACAGAAGCATCCTTGTTGCTTTCAAACAGATCTAAAAAATCAGCCGACGCAAGATCGTCAGAAGAAAAACTCAAAAGAAGACCACGAGCTCGCCCTCGATCTCTCTCAAGAATACCGGTACGCTCAGCGAGGAAACGCTTCAATTTTGTCGAGGAATGCATTTCTTATCCAATAAAGGTAATAGAGAGTTGATGACACAATCGTATGCGGGAGTCGCTCAGATAAAACGTGTCATCGCGTAAATTAACTTTGAAATCAACAAGGATTGAGTTCAAAGAGGTTTTAGGAGAGTGATGAAATTGAAAGGAACAGGAGTTTGGATAGACGAATGCGATTTATTTCTGAGCTGGGGCTACAGACTCAGGTCTATCGGACACTGCATTGCACGCCTGGAACTATTTCAGGAAAAGAGTCAAAATAAGGCTTCTTCAACAAAAACGCCAAAATATTCGAAACTTTACAAGACTACCGATCCCCGTCTCCTGTCGGATTTCATCCTGGTGCAGTTGTTCACAACTGGAGATACGGGATCACGCGTGCTTGCATCAATCTCGAATGCCCTGTTGCTAAAAAGGTGATTTGTGAGAAAGATCTACAAGCGATTAGGGCGGTCGCCTTAGGCTTGAAACGAGAACTACTAAACGCAATAAATAACCTTGTTTGAATCGCGAATACGAAATTGCGTTGCAGCAATTTCCTCGTTTTTTCTAAACTCTTACTTCCAGCTTTCAACTTTTATTATTGTCTTTTAGGCTGCGCTAGAAGAAGAGAACTCCAGAGTAATAACACAAACATCCTTCCCTTTTATGGTGCTCGGAAGCGGACAAAAATTCACAAAAGTGCCGTTCCGAGCTGTTCCGAATTTACAACTGCCACTGCCGATCGAACAACGCGAAACATTTAAAGCATCTGACATTCCTTCCCTACGACAGCGTTCACAAGTGCGCCTGATCGAGCGAAAACGAACGAAGAAGCGAGGTCTAAGGCCTGAAGCTTATCGATTCTTACTTTAAGCGATTGATCAAAGCTTTCAGTGCACGTAATTATCACCTCGTATCACCCACAATGCTTTCTATTTATTACAACTGTACAGACGTCACAGAAAATATCGAATTAAAGGCCAGTACTTATTCAAAGATTGAGCGTCGACGGAATTTTCCGACCTCACCCCAGGTGTCTTCTGAAAATATTGATCAGTCCAAAATCTTAGAATAAAGTTCTTACGAGTTTTAACTTCGAGCTGAACCAGGGGTCTGGATTCGCTTTGCGAATTCGCTCATGAGCGAAGCGAAGCGAAGCGAAGCGAATTCGCTTCGCTTCGCTTTCGCTTTTTGTTATTTCAATTCGCTTCGCTTCGCTTTCGCTTTTTACCAAAAATTTTCGCGAAAATTTCGCTCAAAAGTAATCTTTCCAAGAATTGAAAATTTATCCTTTTTTATTTAGCTTTAGCTTAAACTCGAGTGGAAATTTTGCTGAATGAGCTAAATTGGCAGGGGTTCTCCGCTTTGTGTTGGTGCTAAAAACTCGCAGTGGCCAAGTACAGGCAGGTGTCAAGCTGTGTAAATAGGATGCAACGGGCCCACCGACACGCGCAACCTGCTGCGATGTCCTGCAGAGACTGGTCCTAGCACCAATTTCGAGCAACGCTCGGTGTGAGATGGCTTCAAAATCAGCAAGCTAAGCCGAGGATAAGCTCAAAAGTGAAATTATAAAAGAGTAAAAAATTGGAATTTCATAAAATAAATTACCTTTTAAATTACCTCGTAATTTTTTTTGTAGATTTTGATTCAGAGGCCGAAAATAATATTATCTTACCAAAGCTCGCCTAAGCCTGCCTTAGACAAGAAGGTTCGGGTACCAATTGGTACTGTCTGCTCAAAATATAGTCGAGAAAAATGTGTCAAGGCAAAAAGAGCAGATTATAGATAGCGATACCGTTTCTTATATTTTTTATATTCTTGCCAAACCGAGGCTCTTAATTTTTTATGAAGATCATTTTGGGGTTCATAATCGAAATCTCCGAAAAAATCACCATATATGGCGAGATTTCATAAAATTTCAATCTTTATTCTTTTATATCTTCACTTTTAACCGGCTGAGCTTGATCCGATTTTGCAGCTCAGTTCCCCCTATTTATTGGCTCAATCCATCTCACACCGAGCCTTGCTCAGAGTTGGTGCTAGGAAAAGTCTCTGCGGGACTTCGCAGTGGGAGCACATGTCGGTGAGCCCCTTGCATCCTATTTGCACAGCTTGATACCTTGCCCGTACCTGGCCACTGTGAGTTTTTAGCACCAACACAAAGCGGAGTAAAAAGCTGATGTAAAAGCTGACCTGAGAGAAGTTTTACTGTTTTCAAAGTAGCCAATTTTGTGAGCTGCGCTGAGCTGAGCTGTCCTTCACAAATAATCATTGAGCTGAGCTGACTCTTCAAATTCATTCAGTTAATTTGAGCTAGGCAGTCAATATTATAAAATGATTGACCTGAGCTGAGCCACACAGCCTCCTCAGCTCACAAACCTCGGAAAATTTGCAATTTGAAAAATCGGAGAGGGAGTCCGAATGGAGTGGTCTTCATTTTCTTGAGTCGCTGTTTGCCCAAGATCTCTGTTTGCCCAACATGAGGAATCGGCGTATTGGACAAACGGCGATGTACAGTTTTTTATGGAATTTTCGGACATCAAATTTTTGGACATTTTTGCTATTTTAAGGGGTTTTCTTGGGACACTTTTCAAAAGTGCCCGTATCAAATTTTTGGACATTTTCCGCGCCAAATTTTTAAATTTTCGGTTTTTTTTTGCCAGATATGAAGTTTTTTATTATTAAAAATCTTACTTTTCTTTATCTTAAATTTTTACTTTTGAGAAAGATAAGATTGAAGGTTGATCTCGTACCCCTAAAACATTTTTTGTCTTTAGAAGAAGGATTAAACAAAGAATGATGGAGATTTGGATGGGACATTTTTTTTGGCCGCGTGTATCAAATTTTTGGACATTTTTGCGAAAATCTTGGGACATAAAATGTCCAAAAATTCCATAATTAACTGTATTATAATTTAAATCGATTGATCTTATGACTACATATATTGGCCTCCCCACAATCAATCCTGACATCACCATTTTCAATCCCGGCTTCAAAAACTTCGATCCTGGCTTTTCAGACGTCGATCCTGGTTGTCATATAATTTATATGATATAAATCATCATATCAACCTTGGCATCAACCAGCATCAATCCCGGCTTCTTTAACACCGATCCGGGCGTCACCATTTTCAATCCTAGCCTCTCGGACGTCAATTCCGGCTTCTCACTTGTCGATCATGGCTTTTTCAAGTTTGGATTGACAATGTCAATTTGACATTGGAGAAGCCGGGATTGACATTGGAAAAGCCATGAATGGCCCATGATTGAAGTCGGTAAAAACAGAATTGAAGATGTTGAAACCAGACTTGACGATAAATAAGCCATCATTGATAAAATATGGATGATGTTGAACAATACATGATTGAAGTATGTGAAGCCAGGATTGACATTGATGAAGCCAGGATTGACGTTGGAGAAGCCAAACAATGTTTAATTATCAATCTATATAATTTTTTTCACATCGCCGTTTGCCCAAGATCTATGTTTTCCAATGTAAGGTAAACGACGATTTTGGGAAACGGCGACTTGGGTAAACGGCGACGCAGGCAAACTGAGACCATCGTCCGAATGTCCGAAAAACTAATTAAAATGAAATCATACATGAAATGGGCACTTTTTCAAAGGTTATATATTCCTGGAAAATTTTCGCTTTTTTTCGCTTTTTAGGAAAATTTTTCGCTTCGCTTCGCTTTCGCTCACGAAATTTTGATTCGCTTCGCTTCGCTTTCGCTTAAAATTTTTGAAAAATTTTCGCTTTCGCTTCGCTTTCGCTTTTCATTTTTGGCCAAAATCCAGACCCCTGGCTGAACCCAGTATCCGTGATTGGGATCTCGAAACCATTTCGTTTTGACTCCAGCGGGTTTGACAGTAACAGTAGGCTGTGGCTTGACGATTTCGAGAGTCATCAGGTTTTTCCTGATCTTCTGAACTCCAACACCCATCATGGCGAGGATCTTCATTTTACCCAGCTTTCTAGTCAAATGGCCGCGAAATAAGCCCTGAATATGAAGAAAAAAGACCTAGAATCTTAAAGAAAACCTGAATCTTAAGAGCGGCCTTTTCTGCCTTCTTGTCTGTCAAATCAATATCAATCTCTTCGCCTGTCGCCGGATCTATCAGTTTAGCAGTCTTGGGATCTTTGTACGGCCTGCTGACGTCAACACCAGGAGGTGGTACCCATTTAGGTTTCTAGAGCAGATAAACGGTGAAATTTGTATGAGTACTTACTGTTTCGAGAGCTTCATCTTCTTTCACTGTTTCAAGGGGCTTGTCTGTTGGGGGTGTTGGTGCCGGCTTGGCTGGTTCAGGAGCCTTTTCTTTTGGTTTTTCCTCCATCGATGCTGGCTCTGGTGTTTTTTCCGCTTCAGGAACTTTTTCGGGCTCTGCAGATTTTTCTGATTCCGGAACTGGCTCTTGTGCTTCTTGAGGTTCTTCAGCTGGTTTATCTTTGAACTCAATCGTGACTTCCTGACGATCGTCTCCAAGAACGAGCGCGATTTTCTTTCCGACATCTGCCTCAGAAACACTGGTCATTTTCACCCAGTTCATTCCATCGGTCGATCCAAAAGAAAATATATCGTTTTCTTCGATTCTCTGGTCATCTAAAAACCTTTTTCTTTTCTGGCAAAAAATAAGCCTTCACCTAAAAACCATTGAGCTTCGATGCCCTCCTTTCCGGGAAACTCAAACTTTGCCTCTTTTCCAACGCCTTCTGCGGAAATCTTCCACTGAGGTTCCATTTTTATGAACCTGAGATCTAGCTCAGCTAGTACTCTTCAATTAAAAAATGCTTGAAACTGGGACTTCGCTCAACGAAGTTCTGCAAAAGTATTCTGAGTCTCGTCAGCGGTGAGTGCTAAGAAACCCTTCTGCGCCTTCGTCACCACGCTACCACAAGCGTTGACCCCATCAAGAGTTGATTTTATAACTTAAGCTTTGCTTGTGAAAACCATCGTGTTCTTAGATATCTGTGACATTTATGAAGATTAGTTCTTACGAGTAAAAAAATTTTCACGCTAAAATAATTTTCTTGGATTTCACATTTCATAAAGTTGAGACATCGAATCTCCCTTATTTCGTACAATGACTTGAATCACCAGATAAAAGCATTTTTAAACCGTAAAAGTCTGCATAAAATCACGCAAAAACGATGTCGTTTTTTATTGTTTCCATAGAGCTTCAGTAAACTTGGTCTTGTTCCATAATAAAACACCTTAAAAGGCAGTAATGATAAAAAAGCTTAAAGCAGCGGAAAAAGAAGATAGCTTAGCGCGGAGATGGCCGTGATGGTGTGACATCTGTTAGTAATTTATAACCCCTCCTCAGTGAGAAATGCCCCTATCTAAGCATAAACGCTTGTCAAACCGCTGTTGTGATGTGTTGAAATGTACACCGGCTAAGTTTTATTTGGATTCGCTTCTCGCAGGTGGCCGGAAGAAAAGACTTAGATACTAATTAATTGCATAATAATGGGCTGCTGATCGAACTGATATAAATTTAAAGGGTCACTTTCTATGTTGAAAGTAGCTGAAAAAGGTGAATTCAGATCGACCCTGTGGTAGACATGATAAGTACGGTTGCTGTACTTGATTTACTCCTTTTCGATACGATATAGTTTTCTGATCTATGACAGCTTAGCATGTGGTGTGAGCTCGTTAAAATGCAGTCTGAGCGATCTCTACCTGCAAATGGCAATCGACTGCAGTAGGGAAGGTGATGAACATGCTGACGAAACTATGATCTGTGGTAAGAGTCCCGTGCAGTTAGCGTCAGTTATTATGTCAAAATCACTTCGACAATCTCAAAAAAATTCATTTCTTTTTATTATTTTGAAATCCAGGGTCAAAATTGCACATCAAAAATGTAACCCTGGCGCCTGGAATTCATAAAATAAAACTGTAAAAACTTCCTGACCACCGGTGTGAACGCCAGGACCCGCAAATATCAAATGGTCGTATGTTTAGTGCGTTTCAATTCATCTCACAGTGGTTGAACATAGCGACTTCCAGCGTGAGAGCATCTGGTGATAAATTTTTTAATTTTGTGGTTTGAGCTTCCGAGACATCATAAAAACGGAAAACACGAGGAAATGGATTTCAGAGAATGGGGGATACTGGTGAGGCAGGGTCAGACAGGCGTCTTTTTTGGTATTTTATTTGAACTTGAATTTGACGGAATTTTTATATTCATTCATTTTTTATATCCAGAGAGAATGATTAGGGCTTCTACCAGGACAGCACAAGCATTCCACTTGAACAATGGCCCATTGTCAATGGGTGAAGCTTTAGAACTGACCCCTGATAAGTACAATGAAATTTTTCTTGGGAAGTCATCCCCCTCAAGAGATCCCCGAGTTCGGGCCATGGAACTTCTACCAGCGGGTATGTACTCAAACATAAAGTTGACAATCTTGAGTTTTAGTGGATTCCTGTGCCCTTGGACCTCCATCGTCAGCGATGACAGTAGCAGCAGCTGAAACGCTAGAAAATGTTGGAATGCTTGTTCTAGTTCTGATCTCAGTTTCAACCTGCATCAACTGCTACTCCATCCACTACTTCGTCAACTACACAATGGGCTTGTACAAAAAGAAGCCAATTAGAGCAGGCTACATTGACGCAATCTTGAGAACACCACCGGTGTGTTGCTTGTGCTCACTGATGATTTTGCTCTCTCCAAGGATCGCGCTTTTTATGACATTCATTTTGAATTTCACCTTTGGTCTGTCAATCAATGCGCTTTTCTCCTTGATTTTGGACTATTTCGACAGCTTTGACCACTTTCTCAATCAAGCGAAAAAGACAAAATGGTCGGTGAGAATTTGGCTATGGAGATTTTTCTTTTGTATACCTCGGTAAATAGCAAGCAAATACAAGTATTCTTGAGTGCTTCAGAATAACTCCTTCTCGCGAGTGGTTTTCTCAACTCTACTGGGGATCCCTGCAATGCGTCTTTGTCCGCTGTGCGTTTATCATCGCAAATGCTTGCTTCGTCGCAGAGGGAATCTGGACTGTTGACACTGGTAGTATTTCGTCGCTCTTTGGTGGACTCGTATCAACTGGACTGGCTGTCTTCTGTCTCATTGTGCTCTCGGAAAACTTGAACTTTTGCATGGCCGATTTTCATATCAAATTTAAATTCATGCTCTTTCGACTAACTCTCATTTCGTATGTTTATTACTTAGGTTAATTTTTACGTGTATTTCAGTGTAAACATCCAGCCAATTATTATATCATTCTTCAATTACTCCTGCGTCTATCCTCATACAGCAGCTGGGCGCGGCACTATTTTGCATAACGCACTTGTTGTAATTGAAATGTTTCTCGTCAGCTTGCTCTACAGATATGTGTTCATGTACAAATTCGTAGAAGATAAAAACTTCGATCTCCAGCGAGAACTTGTTTTGCCAAAGGATTTGAAAGAGCTGGCAGAGGGATTTGTAAGCAGACTTACGCATCATGTTATGCATCAAGGTAGCTCGTTTTTAAATGATTGAAATGCAATGAAAATGTTTTAGACGAGGATGGAGGAACTCCAAAAAGACGAACTCGCTGGATTTCGGAAGGCGATACTGATTCTATGTTTTCTGTGCACATCAAATAGATCATTTTTAAATAGTTTATTAGAATATCGTATTTGTATAGATTCGTATTGCACACAGGAGGTTGTCACAAAGGGCATAGGTACTTTTTGTGGATTTGTCGAGTTTCAGGTCTTGTAATAAAGGCTCTTCTGCAAAGAAATAAGGTTTATAATAAATAAGTTTAAAATGCTATAAAGCTAAAACACTAGAAAGGCTAATTGAGGATACGCTTCTAGCACGAGTAAATGCTGTTACAATAAATTAGCGTAAATGAGTTTAAATGTCGGGAGCAACTTGCCGAAGCTTCGAGTTCATCCAGGTCTGGACGGAAGGCACCAAACAGCCGCCAAGAAGAATTTGAGTCGGATGATAGCAAAGAAGAGGGATCGAAAGGAGACTCAAATGATCGGAGCCGCTGTAGATGATTTTCAACATGGGAATTCCAAGCGTGAGGGACTAAAAATGATGATCCTATTTTTTGAAAGATTTACCTTGTGAGTAGCAGTGAACATGATTGCTACAGTATCTTTGGCCGTGAAGCCAAAGCATTGTCGCTGAGAAAGCCAGAAGGTGAGGGAAATAAAGGAGACTTGGAGACAGAAGATGATGACGGCGATAGTGATCAAAGAGTAAGGATCGATTTTCAGATGAGGGGACTGAATAAAATGTATATTCTGAATGATACAATTTGAAAATTACCAGAAATGTATCGCAGAAAGTGGTGTAAATAATCATCAGCAACATAAAACTGCTCATCTCCCCAAAAGGTGGCTTTCTTACTTCGAGCCACTCTTTGACAAATTGGCGTAAGATCTGACCACAAATTAATGGGATGACGACGGTGACAGAAAGCTGGGCAAAAATTGAAGTGAAACTCATCGCTGCAGATTCGCCCATGAAAGTCAACAAAAGAAGTGGAGTAGCGACAATTCCCTAAATATGTGTTGTGAATATTGCAAAAAACATTCTTTCAATTTTTGCGTGCCAAACTTTGGCAGCCAAAGATGCAAACAATTGAAGAATAATATTTGAGCCCTCAGCAAAAAAAGGAGCGCCCGTAAGCTCGTCAGGCAGCACGCTAATTGGTCGGCGTGAAATAGAAAATCGATTTATAACCCGCGAAACAACACGCCCGGCTGAACGCTTGACTAGCTCAGTTGGCAGCGCCGAGCCTGCGGCTCCTTCTCCTCGAGTTCAATTCACACCCTCGACATTCACCTTCCTGCGGAACAGTAACTAATAATTATTATTTCAGAATGAATCGGCAGCCAAAGCGCATTCGGCTCACAACCCGAGTACCCCTACGATCAATGAGTGCAAACGTGCCAATCCGTGTTCATCGGCGAGTCTTGACTCCGGCTGAGCCAAGACAGTCTCCGCCTCACCCAATCGGCACGACCTCTGTCGTTCAACCGAGCAATACAGTTCAACACACTTACACTCAGCAATCGCTAGAGCATCAGAGAAATATAGACCGTCAACTCGAGACTCTGCATCAGGTAAGGCTGTTTAATTATAAAAACTAACAATTACTAGAGCATCTCGAATACGAGCTAATTGCCATCTAATATTATTCTCCATGTAAATATCAAAGAGGATCTCTTTGTCACATCTGCAAGAAATTTCCTGTACATATAAGTGATTATTCCTGCAATAAAAAAAGATTTTTCATTTTCTACGCTCAAAATATTCGAAACAGAAAATATCATTTCTTACCAAGAAGGAGCCGAAGGCAGAATTAAAAATAGCAGCAGCCTCGTTACCACCAACTGCTTTTGTGAGAATAACTGCGGAAGAAACCGGAGGTGGCATACATGAAACCACAGTCAGTCCTGATAAGAGCCAAGGGTCCAACGAGGTAACTTTCGAGAGAAATCCTTTGAAGAAGTACATGAAGATCGGAACAAACAAAAGCGTAAATGACTAAAAATTGAGTAAAACTTCATCGATCTTGTCAAGATTATACCTGTACAAAAGTATGCAGTTTGACTTGCATAACTGCTCGTTTCAGTTCTTCTGATTTCAGAGACAGTCCCGAATTGAAGAAAATAAAACCAACGGCGAAATATTTAACCGTGACTTCAGGATGCAAAGGACCACCCTTGCAAAATTCAAAATCTGTTCTTAACCCTTTTCACGGTTATTGATATTTGATGAATTATTTTTGAATTTTCCTTTTTGCCAATATCAGGGTCAGCCCAGGCCAAAAGAATAAATAACACAATTCCACATAAAAACCAGTTTTTCAACAAAATAGCAGCAAGAGGATTCATCTTCTTCCAATATTTCTCTGTTAACGCATAAATAAAAAAAGGGTGTTTAGCGATCTAGAATTTACAAAAATGTACGATATGGCCGGCCTGGGTTTTCATATTATGACCATCCAGAACCTGCGTTGAGCCGCCTTGCCCCGCGGACTCTAATAAAAAATTTCAGGGATGAGCTTTTCTCTGACTTTTGCAAAAGGAAAATTCTTCCAAAGTTGATTTTAGTTTTTTTTTAAACTTTAACGATCCGAAGTTCAAACAAAAGACCGAGAGCAAAAAGCGTCTGTGTGTCCGGTTTGAGGATCAACAATAACAACTCTTTTGTTGCGTTTTTATGACCTTAGACTTGATTATTCAACTTTTATATTCATAGGTTTGTTTGAATTTTTATTAGATAAAAGATGCAGCGTTTCACAAATGATTAAAAATGGAAGACATCAATTTATTTGAATTAGGTAAATTTGGCTTTATTTAGACTGCAGTTGACTCTTCGCCTTCTTTTCTCAGTGGCTAAATTAAAATTAGCTGGGAACGTGATACGCACAACAAACTGTAGTTTCGTCGGGTTGATTCTCGACAACTTTTGCAAACTCATCTCTAGCATCGCTTTCTTGTGTTTGGACTCCTGACACGCTTCCGCCAGTTTTAGGGTCTCTGACAATATCGCCCGAATCTAAACGAAATGTTTCTACGATTTTTCGTCTGATATAAGTACCATTTTCTTCTTTGTCATCCTTTTTGCGCTTCAAAATGAAGAAAATCAGAGCACCGATAAGTATCAAAACAATGATGACAACAAGGATGATCCACCAAGGGAAGCTTTTGTTGACGAAAAATCGGCAGAAATCAGCGTGATCTCTTTGTAAGCTTTCACGGATCGAATCATAAGTCTGTCCTTGGAGTTCTTGGAGGTCGATCTTTCTAGAGAAGTCGTAGCAGAGCTATAAGAAATTTAATTTCACGAGGATTTCTGTCAAAACATACGATGTATTTTCCACTTTCTGTTGGGGTAGGTTCCATGACAACATGAAACTGATCTTTATTTTCCTCATCAATGACTGCATCGCCCGACAAATCAACGATAGACTGTTCATCTTCGTTGTAATAAATCGCGACAATACTATCTCTTGAAATCGATCGAAGTCTTCGAGACACTGAAACTGTCATTCTATCAAACCATGCCTGCATTGGGAAAGGCTCTTCTTCTTTATTCGCGTAGTTGGTTCTGGCAGATTTCATCGGGACGTAGTTATAAAGAGTTTCGGTATTTCCATTTACGTCCATCACTTCCAGCATCGCAACACCAAAGCCAATTGGATATTCTCGCATGATTTCTCTTTCGATAAGATGCTTTGTCCCATCGGTTAGTGCCTTTGCCTCTATACATTTTTCGGAGAGGATTTTGAAAACAGCCCGACCATCTTTCGCTATAAATCCTTCTTTGCACTGGAAGACTGCATATTTTAGATTTGCTACTTCCGGATCTTTTGGTGTGCTTTCGGCTGACACTTTTGCCACGAGACCAAAATGAGAATATTCGGCGGTCGGTGTTTGTAGCGCTAAAAACATATTCTCGGGGCTCTTAAATTTATGTACAAACTTGCTTCAGTAAAGGTAAACTCCTTTTCGACCCATTTGCCTTCGTTCAGTGAGTTTCTTGCTTTACACGAGAATTTCATATTGTCTCCTGTTCTCGATCTGGTTCCTCGTGGGTTGATTTCGTTTGCGCCTTTGTTGTCAAATCCGTCGGAGCTGCACTCCAAAGATGGGTTTCCATTCGTCATGTCAAGAACTCCAGCGCTAACTGGAGCACCATTGACGAGAATATCAACATTACGCACGGGGCCTTAAATTCCATGAAAATGAGCTTACGAGGCATTCAAATACTGATGACTCGGATGGTATTGTCATCTGCGGGCCATCGTTTTGCTTTAATGACATCGACAAGTTCGCCGTTCCAGGCTTCTTTGTAGTGCGCTTCGCACAGAAAATGCGCCTTGTCAAAGCTGGAAGAAATGCCTTCAATTTGAGTTGAGTCAAATGCGAGAGAAAGCGTCGTCGTTTGAAGTTTTCGCTGATCTTGTTTATCCATGTGGATGAAATCTAAATCGTAAAACAATCTCGTAAAGAAAACTGCCCGAACCATTTGTTTTTCCACAAAAGTTGCTGTCATCGAGAGTTTTAAGTTTGCTCTTGCAAGAGCCGAATTCGTTGCTGTTGGAAATTTCATCGCCGCTAGAATCGAGCGCTCTCCAGATCAATACTGGCGCTTCGGGGCCGGCTTCTTTCGATTCGCACTCAGCGATTTCATATCTGATGCCTTCTTTGTATTCTTTTTTGTCTTCTTCGCCGAGTCGTTTATCTAGAGCGGTGTTTTTATGAGACTTTTATATGATCAGCTGATTATAAATGATTAAATTTTTATGATTCTACCTCTGACAACAGGCTCAAGATCGTTTTTGTCCATTATAAAATTAACGAGAAGTTTTCTTTTGATATCAGCAGGAGTAATCTTTCCGTTCTCATCTTTTACATCTGCTTGGCATTCGTAAAAAGCAATGTCGTTCAAGGAGAAATCATCGTCGCCCGATTTTGAGATGACTAAAGCACCCGTATCATCGACTGTGTATCCTGGTACTTTTTCGGCGTTTTTGATTATTCCATTTTCATTCGCAAGTTCAGCGATTTCTGTTTTCGACGAGCCCGTGAGATCAGATCTAAACCAACTGATTTGGAGGACGTTCTTCAAGGAGGTCAAGTCGGCACATGGAATTCTAGCCGAGTTATCGTAGCCAGGGTTCTAAATTTGAGGCAAAATCTAAAAGTCTAGTCTGTCCGTGTCCGTGTCCTCCGCCAAAATCCCAAGTCTAGTCTATCCGTGTCCGGATCGAAAAAACGGATTTTTGTCCGGTCTAGTCCCGGACATGTCCGTTTTGTCCGTTTTTGTCCGTAGAATCCGGAAACATTTTTTTTAAAAGAAAAAGTCTGGTCTAAAAAGTCTTGTCCGTAAATGTCCGTAAAATTCCATGGGTAAAAAAACAAATTTTTATCGAAATAAACCCGACAACACCAAAAAAAATCTTTGAGAAATAAATTCGGCAGACAATACAGCGACTTTTAGCTAGGACCTTTTTGAAGCTGACCTTAAAGAAAATTTCTCAAAGCTGAGCAAAGCTGTATGAAAATTTGCGAAACTTAGCTGAGCTTGCGTTATCTTAACTTCTCAATGCACGTGGTCCAATCATTGGACCACGGCGACTTTGACCCCCTGATTTTCCCGTTGTAGTTATCTGTTTGACCTGAATTTTGAAATGTGAGCTGACAGGACAAAAACGAACCACTCTGTGAAGTTTCGAATGAAAACTCAAAAGTGGTGGCGTTTTGCGCCAGATTTCTCTTTCGCTCTCTGGTGAAAAATCGGAACGGATTTTTCGATTTACAATTGTTTATTTTTATAGAAGAGGGTTCAAGCTTTCTAGCAATACATTTACGAGCTTTTTTACCCGACGGAAACGTCAATTAGAGCCAAAAGTCCTGAGCGCTGTTTTTCACACTCTGAATTTGGCGCGCCGCGCGGGGCTGGATAATGCATTGTGGTCCAATAATTGGACCCCGTGTTTTGAGCGCTTAGTCGCGCGCCCGTGTATTGAGAAGTTAATGTCAGCTGGTATTATCCAAGCTGACCTTAGCTCGCTTTATGAAGAAAATCATTAGTCTGAGCTGAGTTCTCTCAAAATGATCGAGCTGAATGACTGAGCGGGCTAGCCGGACCGCTGACCCCTCAACACGTTGAGCTGGCTTTTTCCGAAAATGCTGAGCTGAAAGTCCCAAATTAGAACTCGCAATGAATTAGCGGAATAATGAAGGACCTAATTCTTAATTTAACCAATTTTCCTTGAAACTCGGTCCTCAAAGTTCCGTCTTCGCACCATCAAAAAGACATATCAATTAAAAGTTATCATCGATATTTTCCGGCAAAAAGTCAAAAATTTTTATATGAAACTTGATTAAACCTTGATTTGATATAAAACCTGGCTTATTTTATAAAACAATGACGTTGGTTCAGGCTTTTTTGAAACGAATTCCAACTCAAATCGTGTTTTTTACGGATTTTTCCGGATTCTGCCCGGATTTTACAGACACGGACAAAAGTCTGGGGTTGTCCGGATTTCACGGACAAATACGGACAAATACGGATTTTGTCCGGATCGTGACAAAAGTCCGGTCTAGGCTGTCCGTTTTTTCCTCAACCAATAGACTAAAAGTCTAGTCTGTCCGTACGGACAAGACCGGACAGACACGGATAAAATCCGTACACGGACATGTCCGTTTAGAACCCTGATCGTAGCTATTCACCCAAAAATCGGTACTGGCAGCAATCGCTAGAGAAAAATACCAATTTAAAGCTTCAACTATATTTATGAAAACTTACCATAGCTTGAAAGCGATGCAAAAAGCTTCATTTAGCCGTCTTTACTCGATTTCGGTGTCACCTTAAAATTTTAAGAATGAGTTTTTGTAATCTTTTTATGTCATAAAACGAATGATCTCTATTTCCGAGTACAAAAGCGTCAATATTGAATCAAATTGTCTCTTTCAATCAGTCTCTCTCGCTATTTTTTGTTCAAGAATGATATTCCGAAGAAAGTAAAATTTGAACTTCGATAAAATTCTCTAGTCCTTACACCGTAAAATGACAAAAGTGATTGTTGAGCACAAAAATTTACGACGGCGTGCCAGATATTTTCTATCACTCACTTGGAGGTCGATTTTTGATGGGATTTTTACGATATAACATATCCTCTTTGTTACAAACTTGGAAGCTAGAATGAGCAAATTCCTGAACATCAAATATCGTCATTTTCTTCAACGGGCCTTTTCCCCAACAGCGGGTTTTTGCAACGAAGTCAACAAGGCAATTCCATGCCCATTATTTGAGTGGAGGACTCTCGCCCAAGTGGACTCCCGCCCAAAAGGACTCTCGCCCAACTTGGGCATACTCTGGAATCCCGGGAACTCAAAAATATAAATTGATGAATAATTTTTGACATTTACCTTCAAAAGTTTAAGGGTACGGGTGTCGGCGAGGCTCTAACTAGGGCTCTATTCCTCGGGATATATAAATGTTGGAAATAATTCGCCCACACAGGAGCAAAGATTCATTTTAGATCTACATTTTGTCAAGAAGAAATTTGGATTGAGAAAGATTTTTTGTATTAAAAACTGGCTCGAAGTCGTGATCTCGACCTAAAATGGTCAAAATGAGCCTAAAAGATGCTGCTATTCCGAAAAACTGAGCTTGGTAACTTACCTTTTCTATATTTTTATATAAAAATTCAGACCCTTATCTTAATTTTGTCAAGAGCTTTCTGAGATTGAATTGCAATTTGTATGGAATCTAATTTTTTGAAAAAAAGTATCCTTGGCATTTTACCGAAAATTGGCATTTTTTGAAACCGGGCGACACATTTTCGGCTCTAGAAATTGTTGTAGACTGATTCAAGAAAAACTGAGGTTATCATGATGATCCTCATCGTCTAAGCTATCTAAAGAGCCCTAGATGAAAAAAATCTGAGCCAAAAAATTTTTTTCGACAACTTTTCACGTGATCATATCTCGTAAAATAACAGAGATAGCGGCTAACAATAAATTAAGACTTAGGCTTAAATTTTGCGAAGAATTCAATTAAATGCTCTGTTATTATCCGTATTTTATTATTAAGGGATTTGGAGAGCCGACACCCGTACCCTTAACTGCAAGTCATTATCTGCGAACTCCGTTTTTTGTCAGAATATTTATTCAAATAAATTAGATGTAAATCAATACAGAAATATTATCAACGAGTCAAGTGAGTCGAAATGAGGATTGTACGAGTATTTTCGAAAGAAGAAATATGTAAAGGAAAATTTTCAAGTCTACGAACTCTGCAAAGTGTGGTCATCCCGCTTTGTTGGCTGCTTCTTTCGTCGAATTGTTAGAAATCGGTGGTTTCTGCTTCTCAGGTAGGGAGCAATTCAACATTTTCTTCTATTTGCTCCCTCCCCGTTCCTTCGCTGGAACCTTTGATGGAGTCGAAGCCCTTCTCGTTTTCGTTTACTTTTGGCTTATAAAGGTCAGTGAATTTTGATTGCAGATAAACACTTATTTTCAACTATTATTGCTAAATCATTACTACTGCCCTTGAAATAGTATCCAGCTAGGAAGAAACAGAATATATTTAGGCCCTTCATCGCAATCGCTGAAAATATTTGTAATCTCAGAACAAACTAGCTTTCTTACGTAATATAAACATGGCATTCCACAAGAGTTCGTTGTCATAAATCCAACAAGATCCAACCTCCTGGCAATTATCTTCTTGCCAGACAAGGCATGCCATATCCATCAGCTTTCCAAGAACGATCGGGCCGGGGATCGTTCCGAATATTCTCAAGATCACCCACTGTAAGCCCATTGATAGTCCCTTCAAATTCGGGTCAACAGCGCGAAGGGTTCCAATTGGAACTAAAATCTTATTGAATTTCAGTCGATAAATTAGGTTTCACCGAGTGTCGGTGGCATAAATTCGAACATGACGGTGAAAAACGTCAGGATCAAGAAAGTACGAGACTGATCATTGCAGATTTCTTGCTCATCCTCTGAAGCGGAGCAAGTTCCTTTGATGGCTACCAGATCAAGATCGCCGGATTCAGAGCAAGCACAACTTGTAAAATTCTCATTAGGAGTACTTATGCTGGTTTCAGAACTATCATATAGACTCTATATTTTAGAGGGATACAATGTTTTTGTTCTCATCAACTACCATTAAAAACATCTTATAGTGTTTTATATCATCAAACATTATCAAGCCGTATTGTTATGTTTTGGCCTGTTCTCAGAGTCTTGGAGACATTGAAAATAGAGTTTCCAAACGATGTCCTCATGGTTAGTTGTTTTCAAGGGAAAATTCAAGAAGTATTAAGACGAATAATTACTGAGTGTTTCTCTAGTACTTTTGATATAATCGGTCTTTCAGCCATAAAAACAGTATTTCGATAATTTTGGGTAATATTTCTCTATCTATTTCCAGACGTCTCTCTGGCTCAGTAGATTTGATCCAAAACAATATGCGATGAGAACGGTATAAGAAAATCCCTCTAATTGTCTATTTCCTATACGAAATGTGAAACCACGAGACCTTTGAGTGCAACCAGCGTAACATGGTGAAAAATAGGTCTTGCCGTCAAGACAAACAGGGTCGTAGTACTCTGTATCGCAGCTGCAGTCAGACAGACAAGGAATCTCGTTTATGTCAAGAGTAGTTTCCTCCATGCCAGGGTAAGGAGAGAAAACCCCAGTAATGTTTGTTTCATCGCATCTAAATTGCATCGCTACATCGAGCTATTTATTGAATTATTTTGAAAATGATTTTAAAATATCGATTTTGAAATAAGTTATCTCGTTTGATTTCTAGCTCGTTCCTGCAGAGTAAAATCCGAAGACGGCTACTGCGCAGAGGCTGGAGATGTACATCATTTGTCGTCCATTCAATTTGAAGACCTTGACGATGATCCCACCAAGAAGTGACCCTATCATTGCCCCAGGAACACAAGCGATTCCTGCTTCTAAAGCTGCTTGTCCAGCTGTTCGACGGAACCAAATTTCGTACATTTTAGGCCCAAATGTCATTAGTGTTGATGACAAGTAACCATCCAGTGCGCTACCTATCGTTGCCCAGAGAAAGACAGGATTCCACTAAGTAAAAGTCACTATCTGAGAAAAATATCTATTTTCGGACTATATGAATTTATTCTTAAGAAATTTGTCGAAACCTTGCATCACAAGGAGCTCCTTATTTTCTATATTATAAATATTTTCTTACCAAAAGACTCTTGAAGCCCTGCATAAGACTCGAGTCTTCGCCAAGATCTTCCGACTCAATCGATTCCGACTTTTTCTGCGCCTTGATTTCCGCGACTCCAGGAAACTGCTTCGGGAAACCAAACATTGGAAGAGAGCACAGAATCGCGCCGATGCCACAGGCAAGCATGCCGATCCACCAGGCCCCGACCCATTGTGGGTTATCCATGTCAATCTCTGGTTCCACATGCGGGTCAACCCAAACAGTGAGTTGAACAGCACCAAATACATAGCCGATGGCGGGACCGAGGCAAGAGCCAGCTTTGATTTATGTTTTAAAAGTGTAGTTTTTATATAATACCGGATCTTTAGTCCCTTGGATACTGTATCGAGTATACTTCAAAATATGTTTATATAAGGCCCTTTTCTCTCCAAAAAACCGGCTAATATAGCTTCGAAAAGTTAAGAAATAATAGTATTATTATAGAAATAGCTGCGTAAAAATTGCTATATCTTCCCTGAGAAGATCGGGTCAGAATAAATTTAGGTATTGCAAAAAGCCTCTCTTATGGGAAAAGAGTTGCCTGAATGTTTCAAAAACATTGCCTAAAATGAAAGCAAAGTGGAGACCGGCATTTTCCGCCGTTGTGGAGTCCTCAACAAAGCTGAAGCCGATGGTATAGAGCGGAGTTGATCCCCATCCATGCAAAATCTGGGCAAAAATGAACATTGCAATGTAGCCAACTAGCTTTTCAAAGTTGTAAAAGCCATTGATAAATAATTGCTTTAGGCTTTTAAAAACTCTTTCTTGGAATCAGACTCAACACATTCCTCCGGATCGTCGCAAATATCCTGAATATCACCAGAACTGTACGCGTAATCTCCTGTCAGAAAATGTGGCAGAGCAAATAGCACAGAACCAAGACCGAGCGTTAAGAATCCAATTGCAATAACTCTTGGAATATGTGTCTTTACAAGCACATGAGTGACATAGAAGCTAATCAGTACAAAGCCAATGTCGTAGGAAACAGCCATAAGACCAGTCATCCATGATTCGAAGCCGAACCGCTTTTCTAGCGTCGAAATACTGATATTTACGAAGCCATTTACTGTCGCACCCTAGGAACAATTCTGAATTCGCTTTTGCGCGTGCTATGATTCTTGCCTGGAAAACGCACATGAGCGAGAGAAAGAATGAGAGAGCTGCCAGCTTATTGACGCACTGTAAACATTTTGGAACCCATCCGAAGCATCCATAAGGCCCTTCTTCTTGAATCCCCAACTCCTAGAAGAACGGTTGGTTCGTTTTTCTATAAAAAATTTACGGCCATTTTTAAAACTGACTTTGATAATGTAACAAAAAAAGCATAATTATGAGCACTAGAAATCTTCCTGTACTATTGATTTTTCAATTTTTATTCTACCTCGAGTCGTTTTTGGTGAATTTCCTCTTCAGTCTGTTTTTCATAGTTTGCATTTTTCTCTTTCATGAATAACAAAAAAGTTACGAGCAGTAACTTGTGCGTAGCGCTTGAATCTCGTGTGGAACGATTTTCAAATACTTGAATTCTGCTGCAGAGCTAATTCAACAAAAACTCTGCATGTAAATAATGGCCGTTCGCCAAAGTTCTCTTTGTTCAAATTTCGGACGATAATCAAAACCAAATATCAGACGTAATCTAACACTTGCGCAACTTCAGTAATAAACGAAAAAGAAAGTGATTCAGTCGCTTCATTCTGCCAGAGAACAATACGGAACGTCTCTTTTGATTCTTGAGCCAATCATCAAACCCCAGTCACAATATTACTTTTGCTCGTTTATTTCAAGTTCTGAGTTCAGTAAAAGAAGTTTCTTCTTTACTTGCCAATGTTCAACGCGTTCTTATCCATCATCAATTTGAGCAAAATATTGCACCTCTCTTCTGCAGATGGCAGAAAGCCTTCAAGAGCGAGGACATTCGGCACACCATTCATGCAGGCTCGAAGAACAGAGTCCAAGGAGGCGGATGCGGATACTTCAAAAACAGCTAGAAAAAGAGTGATAATTGCGGAGATGTTGAAGATCATAGTTGTTCTAGTGATTCGATGAAATAAATTCCCGTGCTCTCCTTTATATGTTTGCGAGGTACTGGATTATTTAAGCGAAACAGGAACTTGGCGGCGAAAGATACAGTATCTCGTCCTTGATTTCCAGGAACTACTCATGAAAAATTTAGTCATTTCGAGATCAGAACATCTCATTTCTCTCGGAAAGAAATATTTACAGCAGATGGTTCAGCTTTAAAAGACGATTTTCATTGAAATAATGAAATTTGCTGGCTGATGATGGGGAAAGCCGGCCCTGGTCGTTCGGGTAAGGACTCCTAAATTACACTTAAATTTCTTCATCTTATATATTTATTGGCAATTACTTTTAAGGACTGCCTGTGAGAACTTCCTAAGAAAAAGAGAATTACTCTGAATAAATATATTTTAATATACAGTGAAACCCCAACTTAAGGCCGAGCAACTTAAGGCCACTTTTTTGAAAAATCCCCAAAATCTGTCATCCGAAAAAAAACCAACTTAAGGCCACTTTTTTTTAATTTTCATTCACAGGGAGTAAATCGCAGATTCACTTTTTAATAAAAAAACTCGTTATCTTCGGCTGCTTCCTTGGCGATTTTGAAGTCGATGGCTTTTCAGCGTCGGCATCTTCTCTCACTTGAACTTGTGGTACTTCTTCAACCTCCATCGGAGTTGCAGCTCGTGTTTCATCAATTTGAAGCGCCAAGAAATGCTCCACTCTTCTTCGGCGTTTTCACTAGAATCTCTGCATATCTTTTTTTTTTTCTTGGCCAATGTCATGTGTATTCTCTTTTCTTCTTGCGACATGTTTGCAGCAAATTTATTTTTAAGAGAATGAAAAGATAACCTAAGGTTTGATTCAAATAGCGCATTCAGTTTTTCCAATTCATACTTGGTTCGTGCAAGAAATTTCATTTTAGATTCCCATGATTCAGTCCCTTACTCCAGAAATACAAAAATTTTTGCGTCATCCAACTTAGTTGGAGAATCACCCAACTTAAGGCCACTTTTCAAATTAGCTGTCATCCAAAAAGTGGCCTTAAGTTGGGGTTTCACTGTACCTTGGAGGGACCCCAGTAATCCCTAAAATGGGCGTTCACCGCAGAAAATTGTTGGTTGATCTTTCTAGGGCGCAAATGACAAAATGGAGTGGAACGAAATTACCGGATTTCCGGTTGCGATTTGGATCAAGTCCCTAAAAAGCCACCCTGGAAAAAGGGGAGCGATAAATTCTAGCGGTCATCTAACCCGGCGCACGATAACGATATCAGCGGTCTGTAAATGCCACATTGTCCGCCATAAATCGGCCACACTCGGGGTTCCCCAGCCGCGTGAATTTTCCCAATTTCATGGACCTTCATTTTTTACCAGACTCAGCCTGTTTACAAAATAACCTTTGAAAGAGGGATGGACACAATCACTCTCCTGGCGACCTTTGTCCAGCACAACAGATGGCTAATTTGGCGAGCTTTTTGGGAATTTTGTGCATTGTTGGACGGTGTGTCAATGCAAATTGGATCATCCGGCGACGAGTGAGAAGATTGATTGCACTTTTTTCCGAAGAAAGTCGATACCAGACTTTTCGGAAGAAGAAAGAATGTATTCGGTTCATTTTTATTCTACTGGAAGAGTGCGCGAAAAATATATATTAGTTACAGTAAAAAAATATATCGTGAAAAATTATACTGTGTAAATTACACTGTAATCATGTGGAAGATGAATTTTCGGCACGGAATTGATTCAGTTTTGCCTCAAGTTTTTCGCTTAGTTTTTGAGCTTGATTGAGCGTTGTCCTAAATTTCATAAGCTTTGGGTGATTTTTGAGTTTTTCCAGTTGAGCCCAGACCTTCTTGAGTCTCTCCAAATTTTCTGCCTGTTTTGCATTAATGGCATCGAGTTCGTCAATTTGTTTCTGGATAAATTTTAGCTCGGTAAGCTGGATAATTATGACCATGCATAAATATTCCAAGTGTGCTTTCTTGTTCTCTAAAATATCACATTAGCATTCATCAAAAATATTAATTGCAAGTACCTTCAGTCGGTTCAAAGAAAAGCGGAGCTAGAAAAGCAGGAATGATGAAGATAAGACAAAAATGAAAATATTTCAAGTAATCCTTGAGCTGCATTATCCTGAAAGTTTCAGGCTGAAACTGCAGCTTTTTTAAACAAATCTTTGATGACCAGAGCATTCTAGAGACAATCAAGTAGTAAAATGAATGTTCATGTTTATCGATCATTCTTACGGGAAGAAGAACTTGTACCAGGAAGACGATGTATTGTCATTTATCACCCCTAAAGTTTGTGCTCCTAATTTCATGGGCTCGTCGCGTCCCACTTTCAAGTCCAATAAATTGAAATAACAATTTTGCCTTTTGTGGTTGATATGAGTTTGCCCCTTGGCTCGCCATAAATTTGTTCAGCGGGTCGTGAAGCGCCTTTGAACTTGTCGCTTGCAACAGAATCGATTTCGATTTTATAGCTTTACGGCAAGCTCCTCCTTCTCGCCGGCTCTTCCTTCTTCCCGGCAAATTATACAGATCGATTCAAGCCACATGAGGATAGACAGCTTCGCGCAGGGGCCCTTCTGGCGTCCGTATGGCCAACTTGCCAAATTGAACTCACTCAAACAAATTAATTTTTTATCGAGCTCGAGGACAAAAGACCCGGATCATTGGTGATCGTCGCTTTTTTGCTAGAATTTCGCCACTTTTTCATGCTTTTTCTTCTTGCTTATGCACTGAAAATGTCTGTTACTTATTCCAGCTTTGCTAGAAAACTAGTCATAATTTCCAATTTTTCTGGGAAGCTAATTTTAAGTCCGCGCCTGCAAATGCTCCCATGAAATTCCCCTGCTCATTTTTTTCTTCGAAACAACAACTTTGATTTTTGCATATTTTTTATTATGCCATTTTTTCAGCAAGTGAAGATTTTTAAGATTGTATAAATAATAATATTTGAAAAGATTGACAACTCTGGCAGCGATTTTTTTTAGGTAGAAGTGACTTTTTTTTTGAAAGTTGTAAATTTTTAGCGCAAAAAATATTAAAAAGCCTAGAAAGAAGTAAAAAAAACAACGAGTTTACAAAGAAGCAGCACGGAGAAAAATTTCAAAGGTTGAAATTTTTTTTAAGCGGCACGAGTAAGCTTGTAGAAAATGAGAAGATTCTAGCACGTTGAGATTTATAAAGAGGATAAAGATCGTTTCATTCTTTCAATTTTTAAAATATTTGGAACTAGTATGGATCAGGCCATAGCGTACTTTTTAAACGATATAGGAAGAATATCATCAAAGAATACGCCATGAAGTGATAACAAAAGAAGGAACAGCAGCTGGTCGGTCTATTTTTTCAACCCTGAGAGCGAGTCTAGGCGACTGAGGAACACCCATACGCGCTCTCCTGAGAATTTGTTGACGTCTTTTGTTATTCATATTAATATATATTTTTTCTAATAACTTTGTTCAGCTCATTCGGGGGTAGACAAAGTCCAGCAGTGTCACCATAACGAGCGGCTTTCGGACGGCGTAGTGCCAAACCGACCATCCTTGGAGGCTTGTCAGGTCCAGCCGCGCGCCCAATTTGACCAAGGTCTTGGCGAGTTTGGCATCTCCAAGAGCACATGCGGCCAGAAGAGCGGTGTGGCCAGACTTGTCGTAGAGGTTGACATCGACGCCTTCTAGCAAAGATGTATTCGTGCTCAGCTGGCTAGAGAAACGAGCAAAGACGGAGCTCCAGTGGCCGACTGCGATGCATTTCTCAAAGTTCAGCACTTCGCGGGATTTCTCCTTTGGCTCTTCGTGAATTCGCCTTCGCTTGGCAGAGACGATGACCGGACGAGGATCGGAAGAGGGAGGAGGAGTTTTTGACGGGCTAGGAGGAGTCGGCGGCGAGTCATCTTCAAGTACTCGTTTTCTCGAGCGTTTTTGGATGATCCGACAGGTCAGGGACTCTTCTAGCGTTGCCGATGGAGCTTCTGTAGATTCATTGAGCGGAGACGCTGGTGGAGAATCGAGGTAGGACTGAAGATATTAAGTTACGAGATGTTCAGAAAATGTACGAAAAGCTAGATGGCCTGCTGCCAAATTATGCGCGAAAAACTGCCCGCCACAAAATTAGATCCAATATACGCTGCGGTATGTTTCCCCGTCCGGCCCCGCTACTAGAAATTTTTCGAATAGCTTACCATTCTTGACTGTTGTAAAGGCTGCTGTTGTGACTGCTGATTCGGGTTTTCGTTGTTGTTTTCTGGGTCTCTTGATTTTTCAGAAGAGGCGTTTATCTCTTGTTTTTTGTTTTAGTTTTTTTGTTGATCCACTTTTTTGTGGTTGTGAGATTTCGAGGCCAGTGGTGGTGGTTAAATATAATGATGTCCGACGCTGCGCGACACTTCGCCCCGCGTAAGAGTGCGCTAACGCGGGAAACCGAGGGCGGTAGTGGGCCACTGCGCAACATTTTCTTTCGTGAGCTGCTCAAGGTGCTCGAAAGAGCTCCTCGTGGCGTAACGTTAGGATAAACCAAAAATCGGAATCTGAACAGCTCATCTTGGGCTAAACATCTTGGTGTACCTTAATTTTTGAATATAATACGTAGTCTCTTCTAAGTCTTATTATACGAGCATAAAAATCGAAAAAGAACAGTTTGAAAACAACATTTGAAAATCGAAGTCAAAGTACCAATGAAGGACAAAAGGTAGAACTGATATTAAAAGCCGATGTCAGTTACTGTTTGCCACCATCAAAATTGAAGAAAGTTGTTTCCTTCGCCGTTAAAAACGCGCGAAAATTAATAATTGAGACTGGTGATTACCCGTTTTTCAGCTCGGTGCCAAGAAAAGCCTAAAATTAGGCACATTTGGCGTTATCTCACGAAACCAAAATAATGTCCTCGGCACGGGGTAATTATTTTAAAAACGAAGAAAAACGACGCGCTCGATTTATATGCCCATTAACATTCAAGCCCAGTGCCAGTTTTACATTGCTGCATGTTTTAAAAAGGGACTTTACGAGTTAAATATGGTTACGTTGCTCTCAGACTTTTTCCATAAAGAAGAATCCGATCTTTGCTGCTTTATTGGGCGCTTCAAAGAGTAACCCAAAAAAGACAGACCAAGCATGGCCCAGAAAAAAAAACGTTTTTTCGCTCTTTTTGTGTTCAAAGAGCTAAAAATAGGACTCTCCTCGATGGGGGTGCTTTCAGATGAGCTCCACTGACCCCTGGTACTGGTGACATAAAGCAGCTGTTACTGTGATCAAAGGGCGGCTCGATATCGAGCTGTAGCGGGCGACCACTTTCATTTTCAAATTGGAAGTTACATGACTTAATTGCCCTTAAAATATTTATACAAGTTTGATTTCCTTCAAAGAGCGCGACCCTTTTACATCACTTTCAACAAATTTTACAAATTTTAAACAGAAAGAAAAAATCAAAATGGACATCGCAGAGTGATAATTCCCCGTGAGAGGGGTCGATAGATTTCAGCGAAAATTGGCGATAATTCTCCATGGATTCGAATCGGATGAGGGAAGGGATGAAGTCCTGGGAAAGAGGATTCGATTTCGATCAGAATAATTGATCAGGTGCGCGAAAATGATCCAGTACCTCAATTTCGCTTCGATTTTTTCAATCAGTCCCAACACAATTTTTTCCTCCACTTAGGCTCGGATAATTATGGGATCAGGAAATTGTTACGTGTGTTCAGTGATGTCGAACTAATGCTCGATTTTAATGGAAGTGTGGTACATTACTGGCGGTAGAGACCGCAAGGCCGGCAGTCTCTGAGACGCCGGTTTTCTTCACCCTTCAATCTTCGCAGAGAGAACGCCATGTTGTTTACGAAAATGTTATGAAATCTGGAGAATACTGGGGAGCTACCTATGATCGCGCTGCGAACACAGGAGTCGGAGCATGAAGAAGCTATTCGTCCAAAAACTAAGTCCGTCAAAAATATATGTTTTCATCCTTTCTGGCTCTGAGGACTGATCCCTGCCCTTTGAAGTGCGCATCGCCAGTGGCCTCCCGGGCCGATAGTTTTCGGCTAAAAGGGAGTTAGAAAAAGGTCGCACGCTTGGGCCTCACAGTGATCAAGGGCGGCTGCTGATCCGGGATCAGTTTCCTGCAAGGCGCATTTACACCTCCCTTTGAAGACGGATTATTTATTTTTCGAAGCTTTTGCACGGAGCTCAAAGCTGCTCCCGCGACCGATTATCGTCCCTTGGCCTTAGTTTCCACCGGAAAACCGCTCTCAGGAAGTTCTTTTGATTTTTTCAGGTCGGCTTTAGATTTCTACAGAAGCAGTCTAATATTAGACTATTCCCAAAGAACGGTAAAACGACCAAATTGACCTTCCTTAGGCAAACTTATTCTTTACTTCCAATTATTTGATATTTAGTATTTTCGCCTTGTCGGCTTTTGCGGAAATTCCGGACAAGCTGGAAAACCTCGGCGAGCTGCTCATCAAAGCTTTTCTAGAGCGTGTGCGGGATCTACGCGCTCTTGATCCGCCGTGCCCCGGCCACTTGATCCACGTGACTATTTTCCCCTCAACCGGTCGGTCGAAATGTGCTAGCTACAAAATGTCCGACATGTTCGCATTCCGCCACTTTTCCTTCCGCCACTCGTTTGTTTTGCAATTGCTGTTGTCTGCTGTCTGGTAGACTTCAAGTAGAGAAGGGCGTTTTACGTTATTGTGAGATTAATAGGTCAGATAAGAGCATTCTTATCAACTAATTATAGCGAAAAATGTTGTTCTCGTTTTACTCATGGGAAACTCTCAAGGAGTTCATCATGCAGTAAGCAAATGATCCTAGGTTACTCTTCCCGGCTCGATTCTCGTTACATAACGATCGTCATGTCTGTACAAAATCATCATCCAGGGTGAATCACACTGGTGGATCGATAATTACGGAGCGTGAATGCGAAATTTCCCAGCGGAAAAAAAGTAATCCGTAATCAAAAGATCACACTTTCGCGTCAAAATCCTGTCGAAACGGGAATTCTTCGCGTCAAAATGTCAATTTTCGCTTGACTCGCTTTTTGAGGAGGAAATATTTTCGACTCAAAATGGCAAAAGTTCAGTTACAGTGCTACTTATGCCGTTTATTGATAAAAAACGGTTTCAAACAATAGAAAAGGCAATGAAAAAAAAATCAATCGCTAAATAAACAACTGGAAACTCTTCAAAAACTCTTGTCAAAATGCGCTTATCCTATTTAACCCGTTACGCGTTTATCTCTCGTCCCCCATCGAGGGTGCGAAAAGTGTGCGTTGATAACCTGCTGCGGGGAGTTAAACTGACCTCCATCCAGCTCCTCGCGCCCCAGAACTTAATCCCATGGCAAATTTATTAGCCCAATAAACCCGTAAAAAGTAATAATCGACTTCTTTTGTTGTCAATTCCAATTGACCGCAGACAAAAAAATACGCAAAAACACGTTGATGACTTTTAACCCTTCGCCTCGCCCATGGGTTAAAGTTAACCCATGGTCGGTGAAGTGGCTTTTTTCTCGATTGAAAGTGGAAATTTCCCGTAAGAAAAAGAAGGCACAGTACCGCTTGGTTACGATATCTTTACAAAATAAGCCGAGGTGTAGTGAGGAATTCTCAGGGAGAGCTTTCCAGTCAGGTAGGACCAATTTCTAAATGAAGGTGAAATACGTACGAATTAGCCGGCAGTCCCTGAGACTTTGGGAGAGTATTTTCTCGTCTATGCGCATTTACGGATACTTGGTGTATCTCATGTGTATAATTATATTTTGGGAACACTCGGTTTTTAATCTGAAAATTATTTTTGGATTTGCTCAATCAAATTTAGTTTTAACGAATCAATCATTGATGGAAAATCATAAATCACAATTTTCATCATTTTTTCATGTTTTTGCGAATTCTGGAGAAATAAATTTTCTTCTTTTATTTTGAGAAAAGCTTGTTTTCCCCAATGAAGAGGCTTATCTCTCATTATCTACCAAAAGCTCCAAAAAGACGAGCTTATCAGCTCGCACTTTTTCTTTGGTGCCAGCTCCGCCCAAAATACAAACAAGGAGCCCTTCAAGAACCGATGAAAAATGGAAGGGGCCTTTGAAAAGTCCAGATGAAAAGACGCGAGGAAGTTTGTGCCTAAACATCCTAATTCAACCCAATTTGCGGAAGATTACCTAAGCTTGTGGCCGCTCAAAGAACACCGCCAAATATTCATTCAAGCCTTGTTAGCCAGCGTTCCGGAACAAATCCGACGTCGCCACCGAAAAATACAAAATTAGCTGCTTCCCCAAAACAGTTTAAAACTCATTGTTTCTGCCCAGTAGATTCATTTTAGTCATTTTTTTGATGAGTTTTTTCCCGCCAATATTTTTGGGAAAATAATTATCTGGCAAAAGGGTCTCTTTTACACTTGAAAATTTGAGTTTTATTACGTTCGCCAAATATTCATCTTCCCACGCTCTTCTTCTTTTTTGACATAACAGCTGATTTCTAGCTCCGCATTAGCCCAGATTCATCGGACAATTTATTTTTTTTATCGCGTTGGGAAATCGCTGCTTCGGATTAAAATTTTAGGCAGCTAACAAACTCGTCCTCTAGGGCACACACTCGCAGGCACGCATCTGATTGTCCGATCGGAAATGATTTCGCGAAAAAACTCGTTCCCATGTCAATTTAATATCGAATGGGTAAATATGATTTTCACCTGATTTTCGAGCAGTAAAATGCACCTGTCGCAGATATTCGAAAATGGCTCCTTGTCCTGATATGAAGTAATTCTCCAAATACACTTCCCCTCAATAAATCTTCTTGACCGGCTTCAAATCTTGTCAAGTGACGGTTTGTCTTCCTCAAGAGGTCACGTGCACGCGCTCTGTCAACAGGGCTGCTTCTGGTCCCTGCTGGCAAGCCCTTCAAAGGCCCTCTTTACCGGAGTTAGCTACTTTTCAAACTTTACTCAGTGGAGGCTTCAAAACGGCCTCAGAAAGGTCATTCCGGGGGTATGAGCTCGATTGATGACCCTCCGGTTCAAAAGATTTTTTTGACATTTTGACGAAAAAATTGCCTAAATGTCGCCGCAACGGCCCAGGAAACGGCAATTATCGCCGCTTTATTTGAGAATCATTCTGTCCAAATTTCATGATTCGAGGGATGAAGCATATTTTTCAAAAAACGAGTAGGCATCATTTGAAAAGTTTCTGCCGTGAGAGG